CTTAGAGTAACACCCTTGATGTGATATTGAAACATGCCTTGTGAAGGTACGTAGAAGAAGGTAGAATGAAAAAGAAAAATTAAATTAAAGACTTAGTTCCTTGTTGATCAATTATTCATATTTATCAATAATTATATTTATCGTACAGATACAGATACAGATGCTTTATTGATAATCAAAGTAACCAACAAACTAAGCAAAAAGCCCGCAAGGAGCAGAATAGTTACAATGAATCATACATAAAAACAAATATCCTATACTTTATCAAATAAAGAGATTACAAGGATTTGTTCTAACTATTTTTTTCTCGATTTTAATAGCAGTAATAATAGTTTTTTTGATATCCCCTACCAAAAAGAAATAAAGATACACGTATTTAACCTCGATATGTTTTTGATAGGGGTGTACCATTTTTGCCTCATAAAACTTCCCCATTTTGATATAACATTCACTGACACTCAGTACTTATAGTTATGTAGATATTTAAGATAGAATGACCTATACTCATATACAATATTTAACTAAATTAAGACATGACCCATGCTTTCAAATGAATTGATTTAATGATTTGATAGAATAAATTTATATATGATTGTAGATCATACCCCAAAACAATATACAGAACTTTATCAAACGTAAATGCATTATAACATAGGATGTCCTTCAAAATGAGGTTCATTTCATATAAAATCATTATTATATAAAATGATAACCCATATGTTTGGCACATTCCCGTATACCTAATAAAAGGAAGTAAGCCCCTCCCCCCCCCCCCCCCCCCCCCCATTTCCTCCCGTGTTACGATATTAATAAAAAAAATAATGGAAAAACATATTAGATAACATTTTGTTGATCTGAGAATCTCCAGCTATTCATATATATTCATTGTATAATTAAATTTCATTTGTGTAAAATTATGTAATACAGAAAAACCCTTGAGACGAGGATATATATCCTCAACCCAGGTAAATAAGTTTAGATCCTTTTATTACAGTCTAGAACTAAGGACAAGGAAATATTTACATTCATAATGTTTATAGATGATCTTGTTAATATGGTTTGTTTATATATTTTGTTATGTTGTGTCACATGCTATAAATGTAGTACACAATGACAATAAAGATTTGAAATGAATTTTAATAGGGCTAATTAATAACTTTCACTTTCGCTTTTAAATTTTTGGAAAGCATTATAAAAACATGTCATGCATGTGATAGCAACATCCGTTGACAACCATAATGTTGTGGTGGACAAATTTTTCTCCATGTATTTAAAGAGGTAATTATCATTAACTTAATATAAAAAAGAATAAACGAAAAATTCGAACTCCAGGTAATTTCAAAAAGGAGGAATCCATAAAACCTGACAACAAATCCTATATTTTGCAGTATATTAAATATACTTTGTAACAATTGATATATACATATTATATATATGATGTATGTTGGGTTTTTTTCAGTTTGTCACAAACATGTTTTTTTAATTTGTTTACATGACATTAAAGATTATTTATTATCAGTATACGGATATGGATAGTAAAATGCGCATTGCTAGAAAAAAAAGGGAATATTGATGCCATTGTCAAATAAGATAATAAAGTTATACAAATGAATAGACAGGAAATAAACAATTTAAAAAAAAACCATTGAGTTACAAAATCTTAATATGCTAACCGAGTCCCTGTGGGTTTTGCCTGTTGTCATATTTCCTTTGATAAATCAATAAAATATTTTGAACATGTTAAAATGAAATGTAAAATTAAAAATTGAAAATTCAGAAGGCATTGAAAAACCCCACAGCTAATCTTTTAATAATTCAGTAGAAATAACTTTCACTTTCACTTTCAATATTTTGAAAATCATTTTTCTAAAGCATGTTATACCAACTCCTGTCGCACGGTTGACGACAATTGTGTTTTGTGAATAGAGGTTATTCAGAAGTTTTAAACTTGGCAATGTGTGTGCTGCGTTTGGCACACACGCATAGTATATATCTGCAGTTAATCATGGTACTAAATATATAGCCGATAGCTGAGATCACAGGAACTTTTTTCTATCTGGGGACAAAATATGTTCTTGTTTCTATCAATTCGAGGAGGGGGGGTCGTCTATCCATAAAGATTATCCATATATACATTGTGACTTGGATCATACCTCATCTACTTATTTATATATACATTTAGTTTGGCATTCTACAAGATTATGTCTAGTCATGCACATAATGTTCAATACCGGTATATTATGTATGAAATTCAAGCTATTTAAGGACCAGCTGAAGCCCGCCATGATAGGGTGGCCTTGGGCTGGTTTCTGCTCTTTGGTCGGGTTGTTCTTTCCTTGACACATTCCTCATTTCCATTCTCAATTTTATTATTATTATTACATATTTTTTTCAATAGGTTATTATTATGTAATGTGGGGCCGAATAATTTTATTCACACTGAAGGATTTGAATATGAGTTTGTCGGACAATGGCTCACTCTCTACACGACCATAGGTACTTGGGGACTGGACATTTTTGTTTGTTTTAAAAAATCCTTATTTTTTTCGTTTCTATTACTTTCAATTATTTTTGAGTTTTTCATTATTATAAGAACATAAATATAGATCTACTAGAAATAACTTGTATTTGCTATCTACTATCAATTCCAAGTTTACTATCCACAACGGTTACTGCTATATTATATACAGAGTATCAGTGACCACTGTCACAGTGTGGATAGTAAACTTGAAATTCATAGTAGATAGCAAATACAAGTTATTTCTAAAATTGAGAATGGAAATGGGGAATGTGTCAAAGAGACATTAACCCGACTAAAGACCACAAAACTGCCAAAGGCCACCAATGGGTCTTCAACACAGCGAGAAAATCCAGCAGCCGAACGCGTGCTTCAGATGGCCCCTAAACAAAAATGTGTACTAGTTCAGTGATAATGGAGGCCATACAATTCTAGTATATTCATGTTCATATTATAGAGTAAAGCACGAAAATAACCAAAATTAACGGAAAACAAAAAAGTAACAGATTTTGAGAAAAAAGGGGCCGGTCAAAAAAATTGTCCGATCCCTAAGTACCTATGTACACGACAACTGTCAACGTATATATATATTTGTTCCGCCTAACAGCAGTTCCGTTTGGAACCTATATTATACAGGAAGCTTTATTTTAGGCAGTTGCTATTTGTCCGGCTAGCCGCACGAATAGTGCCAGGACTATTTGTCCAGCCAATACAATGCGCATGTCACTATTTGTGTGTGCGTGTAATATTATCTTCAGCAGCACCAGGGGATCGTAAATTATAAATATGGATTCAGTGAATGGACATTTAAAAAGCAATGTTTTGCAATCTTAAATTGTTATGCCCCAATCTTGTTACTGGTAATTGAAATTGTTATTTTCTTCATATATATAGTCCAATGTGGACAACATTAGAAAAAAAAATCATTTGTATCCTATATTTATTTCTTTATCTATGGCTTCACATTGTAAGAGGAGGGAAGAAATAACTTGTAAAACAAATTTGGGTCGTGATTGACTCGTGCATTTTAAGTTAACATAAGGATTTGGAAAGTAGTTGAAAAAGGTACAAAATTATTATGTCTGAAGCTGTCAACTAGAATAATAGACCCCCTTAACATGCAGTTATTTATATTTTGAGTGAGAGGTGGGAGATTTTTCTATAATGTCTCCCCACAAAAGTAAACAACACTGTAAAAATCTTATTAAGAAATTCCAGGCGTGATATTATTCTATTTACGTGAAGGCGTCGGGTGACACGGGGTGCTTCTTTTCTCAAATCCATTTTTTCTCCCCCAGATTCCACCTAAGTCTTCTATATTTCATATCCTCATTTTTTGTTCCTCGTCTCCCACCCCTCTAATTTCCCACATTCAAAATGAAGATTAATTTTCGAAATAAGGCCTTTCTCAATTACTCTTGCTTTTCCATCATTTATACAGCTATAGCGAGTCGAATAATTTGATAAAATTATGTTCTCCGATCAATCACCTTTTTCTTCACATTTTCCTTGTGATTTAAATTATTTTTGAGTCCCTTTTAAATTATATCACTCTTTCAAGTTCATACTATCGTACTCCCGTGTCAATTATTTCTGAAAACGGGAACATTTTTCACAAATATTGACATCGCTGTTTTCAGCCATGCGATAATACTATCGTATTCCCTTGTCAATTATTTCTGAAACGGGAAAAAATTTCACAAATATTGATATCGCCGTTTTCAGCCATACGATGATCTCAAAATTGAAAATCAGTGATCGGATTACACGCGACCCCCTGGTACTGCTAAAGATAATATTATGCGTACTTTTGTACGCACATACAAATGACATGCGCATTTCAATGGCCGGACAAATAGCCCTAGCACTATTCGTCCGGCTAGCCGGACAAATAGCCACTCCGTTTATTTTATGACACAGCAACCTCTAGAAAAATGTTTTAATCCTTATCAGATTCTCTACCATAACTTTAAATTTTTTCTTTCAATCTCAATTTTCTTGAAACTGCAGGTTTCCGTTCATGTTTGTCCCATCTTTTATATTATCACACTGGAATAGACAACGTGTTTTGCATGAGCTACAAAAGGGAATACATCAAAAGTTCAATGTAGGATAAAAAAAAAATAATTCACATAGTTTTTTCACTGACCCCCTCACCCCCCCCCCCCTTTTTCCCCCCACCCATCCCCCTTTTCTTAACTTAATTTGTGAAAAATTGATTGACCTATATGGATATATGTAAAATCGATGTCAAATAAACAAAACTTGCAGCAATTTTTACCCCCACCCCCAAACTATTTGAATTAAGTTTTTTTATCCTACATTGATCTTTTGATGTCGTCCCTAAGTCGTTACAGAAACACAAGTGTATCAAAGTGTATGACAAGGGAAATATCCTTACGGACCAATCTCATTCAAGTATTTATAGATATGCAAAACGATTTATACACCCATATAAATTCTTTCCAACATTTAATTGTAGAAATTGAGAACCAGTGACAATTAATGGATGGTAGGCATAACAAAAGAACAAAGACTAAAAAGCTGTCTGTTAATGTATCACAGAAACCACGGTTGCACGATAATGACAGTTGTGTTGATGAGTTGAAGACAGGCAGGAACAATGATACATCTTTAGAAAGTGAAGAACAAGAAATACCTACAATGGCACATACCGATAAGGAGGATCATTCCAAAGGTTCTGGTAAGGCAAATATTTTTAAAATACCAGTAAAATGTATGATTAAACTTTTTAAATTAAGATGTGGTAATTGACTGCAACTATTCACCAGAGACCAAATAATGTAGATGTTAGCAACTTATAGGTCACCCTGCAGCTTTTGACTCTGAGCAAAATATATACTGTAAACTATGAAAGGAACAAACTTTTAAACAAAAATTACACGAAAACTAACAAATTTAATTCCGGAAAATGAACAAATTAAAATAAAATATGATAGTTCTCAAATCTTTGTAATCTCTTGTAACACAGAAATTAACAATAGTTACTATAGGTCACCGTACGACCTTCAACAATGAGAAAAGCATATACCGCATAGTCAGCCATAAAAGGCACCGAAATGACAATGTTAAGCAATTCAAACGAGAAAACTAACGGCCTAATTTATGTAAAAAAAACAAATTTAACAAAAAACAAATATGTAACACACAACAAACGACAACCACTGAATTACAGAAATCCTGACTTGGGAAAGCTTATACATACAGAATGTGGCGGGTTTTAACATGTTAGCAAAAACAGAGTGGACATGGCTGGGTACTTGACTTGTACATCCCAACAACAAAAGACACTAAGTACAGACCTGAGAGTACTCCTGTACTGACAACTAGATCAAAGTCACTAACAACTAATAACAAAGTCATGCATCTAAGACTAAATTATCAATCAGTACACATCCAATATCCAATGGATTTAGTGGAAGTCTGGTGTCATTAGCCCGATTAGGTCCATCATTACTACAAATCTGGTGGTCCCAGTGAAAACTTGATGGTCCTGACAGTGTGTTTGCAGTAAATTTTTGCTATCAGGCTTATTATGTATATTGTTCAATATTAAATATTGATATACATCATGTACATTGTGATCAGGAGCTCACTAAATACCAGATAGCATAAAAAAAAATAAATAGAACCACAACTTGTAAGAATCAAAGTTGGTGGAGCTGTCTAATGTTTTGATGTCTGATGTTTTGTGATGAAACCGACAGTTCTGCCAGTTTTCTCGAACATTAGACAGCAACAAACTACAACCATTGAATTACAGACTCTTGACAGGATGGGGTGACAGGCACTTGGATAATTGAGTGCTCAACCCTCCCCTTATCTGGTTTAATGTTGTAACATTCAACACAATATGAGAACAAACCGTAGAAATAGTTTTAAAAAGACTTCATCAGATCGCAATAAAGGACAAAAAATAACTATCAAAAATATTTTTGTCTCGAACCGATGCTGTTCCTTAAATTAGAGGTAGTTGTCGCGGCGTCAACAATGTATTAATAAGTTTGTGATTAGGGCTAGTTGATGGGGAATCAGTAGTGGCATGTCAATGATGTTTGGTATGCAGTTGTATTAGCACTGGCACGTCACATCTTCTATGGAGATTATTTTGCTTGTCCCCTTAGTCATGGTCTATTGACTTTGGAACTTTTGCTTAGTTAACATGTTTTAATTTGGGATATGGTCAGTTTTTGGGGACCCATTAGTTGTAGGTCAATGAAATAAACTTTATCTTTTACAGAATCATATCATTTTTTTGTCTCTACTAGGCGATACAAAGGTGTTGCCTTTCCTAAGTTTAAGACATATCTATCATCAAACATTTAGACACCGAAGCTGAACTTAACATTAATGTAGTTTTTATTTAGATCCCCCCCCCCCGCATGAAATTTGAAAATGAGAAAGTATTATAGAACTTCAAACTAACTTCCATCCGGTGTTCTGATATATATCAGTATTTATAGTTCTGAATTTTGTCTATAGATATAAGAAGATGCGGTATCCATATTTGCGTTATAAGGCTTTACCCTAAACTTCTTGCAATAAGAGCAACACTGATTTTCAGCCAAAATAGCCTCACAATTAAGAGCTAAGACTCCACCTAAAACGATATTTTATTACATAATGTATCTTATAGCGTTTGTAAAATACCTTTTGTAAGAATTAAAGCCTTTCATCATATCTATTTCGTCTTAATTCTATTTGTAAAATTTCTGTTTTTGTCGAGCCTGCGACTTTTGTCGCAAAAGCGAGACATAGCGATTCTACATTCCGTCGTCGTCGGCGTCTACAAATATTCACTCTGTAGTTTTAAAATTTTTGCAATTTGAGTAACTTTCTTAAAGGGGCACTAGCTGTCAAATTCATGTTCACCGATTTGACACAAATTCATATATTAGATTTATAACAATGTAAAACATTTATTCAAATTATAAAAAAATAAACAATTTACAAGGCATGGCATCGATAATATGTAGCTTCGTTCGTATGTATTTTAGTCTAGACGCCATCAAATAAACTATCGTTACACCCCAGTTCTATTGTTATACTTCATAGTTTCTATTTCTGAAACAAGTGTAAATAGATCTATGATTGTTACGAATAACAATGGATTTTGAGCACAGGGTGTGACGAGCGGGGTTTCTGGAAACCCCTGCTTCTACATCCCGTAAAAAAAGTCCATTGTTATTCACAACAATAGAAATTATTTTTTTTAAATAGCATGAACACAAGAAATCACTAAAAGTGTTCACTACAAATTGTTTCAAGATATAATAAAAAAACACATTTTAGGAAATTCCAATAGCGAAAAAATATTAAGCATCTATTTCGAATACAAAAATATCCTTTAAATACTCCTTTGTACGAAAGCCTATTTGGGTCACAAAAAAAAATATTTATCGCGTAATTACGAGATAAATATCTCGTAATTACCAGAAAACTATCGCGTAATTACGAGATAATCATTTTTTATCTCGTAATTACGAGATAATTTTCGCGTAATTACGAGACAACTATCGCGTAATTACGAGATAATCATTTTTTTATCTCGTAATTACGAGATAATCATTTTTTTATCTCGTAATTACGAGATAATCATTGCGTAATTACGAGAAAACTATCGCGTAATTACGAGATAATCATTTTTTTTATCTCGTAATTACGAGATAATCATTTTTATACGCCCGTTTACGGGACGTATTATGGTATACCGTTGTCCGTCTGTCCGTCCGTCGTCAACATGTCGGACATTAACTCAAAAACGCTATAACTAATTTGCATAAAACTTTGGTGAATTGTTTATGTCTATTGACGTGAGCTCCCTTTCGTTTTTTTATAAATTTTAGATTTTACGTTTCCGAGTTATGGGGTTTTATTCATAAAAAAGGGGGATTTTCCAGTTTTCGGACAAAAAATAAAAAATGCTTTCTGCAGTTCTTATAAAACTTTGGTGAACTGTTAATATCTATTGATGTAAGCTCTGTTTAGAATTTTATAAATTTTTCATTTATCATTTCTGAGTTATTGGGTTTTATTCATTAAAAAAGGGGTGATTTTCCAGTTTTCGGACAATAACTCAAAAATGCTGTCAGCAATTCTCATGAAACTTTGGTAAATAGTTTATATCTATTGATGTAAGCTCCCTTTACATTTTCATAAATTTCTAATATGACATTGAGAATTAATTGAACTTTATTTGTTTATAGTCTGACAACAGATTTACTAAGTATTGCGCAACAGCACAGTGTATTGCACAACAGCAAGAAATCTTTAATTGAATATAAATTCAAATCTTATAACCAATTTCAAGTTCTTTGACTACATTTATTCAGAAACCTATAATATGTCAAATATTTAATTACAATCCAAATTCAGACCTGTATCAAGCTTGAATATCGTGTCCATTTTTGCCCCAACTGTTCAGGGTTGGACCTCTGCGGGCGTATCCAGCTGCGCTCAGCGAAGCAGTTTATTTTATCTCGTAATTACGCGATAGTTTTCTCGTAATTACGCGATAGTTTTCTCGTAATTATGCGATCATTATCTCGTAATTACGAGATAATTTTCTCGTAATTACGCGATAATTATCTCGTAATTACGCGATAGTTTTCTCGTAATTACGCGATAATTATCTCGTAATTACGAGTTAAGGGCATACGATACAGTTACAGGGGAGGTAATGACGTTGCTAACGTAAATTGTTATTTTCGCGACGTCAAACTGTGACTTATCGGGAAAAGATGCAGTTTTTGACTGATTTATATCATTCAAACTGATTTAACTTGAAAACGAGTTCATGGACCTCTCTTTTTTAAAGTGACATTTGGTTTGATTACGTATGAAGATTATGTGTACCTATCTTCATGAATTAGTCAATAGTGCAATTTTTTTAAATTTGATAAATATACAGCAAAAAATGACATTATTTTTCTACATTCATGAACATTTGATAGATATGAGTTAATTGTAAAAATAAAATGTACAAATTTATAGAACATTTATATAAAAAAGAAATTACAAATAATTTTACAAAAAACAGCTTGTGTTTATCTTTTAAAACAAAAAAGTTATGTTTTTCTGTCGAAAGGAAAAATACGTCCACAAATCCGAATTTTGAGGAAATATCTGAAATTTCAACCTCAATTTACTCAAAAAGTAGCACATGATGGTATATTTTTTATTACATATTTGATTAAATCAGGTAACAAATAGCCTATATGCATATTTTCATCAAAATTTCAATATGGGATCAAAACTGTATCGTATGCCCTTAAAAATGATTATCTCGTAATTACGCGATAGTTTTCTCGTAATTACGAGATAAATATTTTTTTGCTTGAAGGTAAAAAAAAAAAATTTTTGTCTCTATTCTAAAGCATGTTGCTATCTGAAAAAAACGGGGCTTCTAAATCCTGGACCCCTTCCACCGGGTTACCTAGTGGCCGATCCGGGGGTGGGGGTTCCTCGGGTTGGACCCGACTTTTATTTTAACGATCCAAGCATTTGAATGGTTGGAAACCCCTCCCCCTCCCCCCTTTTCTCTTGAGTTGGGAACCCCCGGCTGGATCAGCCCCTGATTGACCCCAAAAAGGGAGTTCCTAAATATTAAATCTGTATCTCTGTATGTTGAGCGTGTCTGGTAGTCGCGTTTCTTATGCAGACACATCTATTCCTTAGTATGTCCGAATATGAATGCTTGTTTATTCTCGAGAAGAAGGGGTGGGCTTTTTTTTATAAAACTTTAAGATATAAAATACAGTTATGATTACCTTTATTAAACTGATACAGGTAAGTACTTTGGGTTGTAATATTGCCTTTATCTTTAGTCTCTTCAACCAAATCCAACGCTTGCCACAAAATGTCGTCCGTCTTATACCTGTCCATATTGACAACTGCACACAAGGAGCATGATGTATTTTTTGTTTGTAATCAGAATACACGAAATGGTCAACCTTGACCTGCTGATCCCACAGGGACTCGGTTAGCAGATTAAAATCTTGTTAATTAATTTTTTTTTTTAGTATTTCCTGTCTATTTGTATTACTTTATTAACGTATTTGACGTTGACATCACTATTTCTTTGTTTTCTAGCAATGTGCGGTTTACTATCCATATCCGTATACTGAAAAAATCCTACAAATAGACAGGAAATACTAAAAAAAAACAAAAAACATTGATTAACAAAATTTTAATCTGCTAACTGAGTCCCTGTGGCTGTTCCATATTAGCACATGGATTTAACGGGAATATGCAAAACAGCAAATTTGACATTTGTAAAATATACTCACTTGTCAAATAAACTCATCATAGATACCAGGATTGAAATTTTATATTTACGCCAGACGCGCGTTTCGTCTACAAAAGACTCATCAGTGACGCTCGAATCAAAAAATGTTAAAAAAGCCAAATAAAGTACGAAGTTGAAGAGCATTGAGGACCAAAAATTCCTAAAAGTTTTGCCAAATACAGCTAAGGTAATCTATTCCTGAGGTAGGAAAGCCTTAGTATTTCAAAAATTCAAAGTTTTGTTAACAGTTAATTTATAATTATGAACATGACAATGATAACTCAAGTCAACACAGAAGTGTTGACTACTGGGCTGGTGATACCCTCGGGGGATCAAAACTCCACCAGTTTGAACGAAGATAGCCAAAGAAAGGTTACAAGTGGGGTTTCAAGTAATGAGAAAAAGTTCTTATAAATCATGGTTTGATATTGTCAATAAATATGCTATCGTTTTTTTTTTCTTTCATTTCATAATCAATGTTAACAAATAAAGGGATTATAATCGGGTGTAAGTTAGTTATACACCTCGGGATACGGCGTGTCTGGATAAGAAACCCCTCCGGCCGACGGCCGACGGGATTATGGATTTTTACCGAACTTGGATAGAAGCTTCTATATATCAAAAGATAGTATCTAGAGGAACATTTTTAATAATTTTTGCCCCATTTTTGTTGAGTCTGCGACTAACAGCAAACGTAGGCGAGACACTGCCATGGGTTCCACGGAACCCTTACGAATGCTTGTCAAATGTGTCAATTTTCACAAAGATCTCCAGACAGTGATCACAAATGAGGTTTTATATACATGTAAAAATTTTGAAATATGGATTTTTTTTTTTAAATTTAAATGGGTTTCCAAAGGCTCTATTCATATCTCCTTCTTTTTCATATTATATTCACAGACCAAGAAGATTCAGATGGTGAGACAACCTATGAAATGAATCGACCTACTTTACTGCGACAACTGCAAACTATCCTAGGGGAATACCCAGACGATGACGGAATATTACGTGTAAGTTTTATATGAATGCAGTTTGTACAATTATTATTTTCTATTCAATGGAATTCCTCCTTGTATTTAATCAATTGATACAGTTAATGTTCAATTTGGATATTGCAAGGGCAGAACTGTTCATGTACACTTTGTGCCTTTTTTTAATCTAGATAAGCAGTTATTTGATGGGCTTCCTATGTGTAACAATTTCTACAATATATTTCTATGATATCAAACTACTAAGTGGTTTTAAGCTTAAATTTGTAGAACTTTAATCATGGTAATATATTATTCAGTGTAGCTTTGTTGTCTGTTTCGTCTGCATGCATGCATATGTCTTTGAGTAAAATTACAAGTAGGAGTTTTTTAAGGGATTGCATCTGAAAATGATGAAACATCATAGTTGATACCATGGAGAAGATGCATTTAGTGTAAAATTACATTGTTTGAGAAAACATATCTTCAAGGGTTTATCACTACATCTGATAGTTAGAACAACACTCTTCTAGGGAAATTTTTCAATTTATAAGTGATATATTATACTCAGATATTATAGATTACAAAATGATGATTGATTGAATAACCATCTTACTCAAGAAAACTGTTTAATTAAAAATGACACAAGTTGGTCCGGGTAAAGTAAAGTAAAGTAAAGTAATCTTTATTTAACGTCGGGTTGCATATATACATAATAACAAGGAACATGAGCTCTTAAGAGCTCTTTATCCGACTAATATTAATAAACAAAACATAATGTAATAACATCAGATACATATACATATACAACACAAACATACAGACAGACAGACAGCACATATATGTATTAATACATAGATAGCACATGCAAAATAAAAGCTAAGCAAGATATATATTAAAACAAATGTCAAATATCAGCACAAAGTAGCACACAGTATTTATATCCGAATAGCACATGCAAAATTAAACACTATAAGCACAAGCAAAAGACTGTATGCAGCTAAAGCACAGGTAATGCATAAGCAAAGCAAAGAAATAAATAAATAATAAATAAAAATAACTGCAAAAAATAAAAACATAAAAAACAAACAGCAGGCTTCAAGGTCAAGTCATGGGGAAGCAAAGAGTTACACTATTTACAAGAACTGCAGGTACAATTTTCTGAAAAACACCAGGTGGAGATAAAATTTTTGAACTGGCCAAAAGTTGATAAGCTCCTTGCCTCATTTTGCAAGGAGTTCCAGAGTTTTTCTGCCTCATAACTAAAGCTTTTCTTACCATACCTTGTTGTTTTTGGCCGTGGTATATCCGCTATGCCTTTGTACCTGAAGTTATATGAATTTTCTTCAATATTTATTAAATTATGTAGGAATTCTGGACTTGATTTATTAATTATTTTATAAGTCTCTAATGCCATGTTTCTCGTTCTTCTGATTTTTAGTGCTGGTAGCTTAGACTGTTCAAGAAGTGTATCGTAAGAATTTGTGTAGTCGTCATAAATAAATCTGAGTGCTCTTTCTACTCAGTTATCGTTCTTTGATCTTCTCAATATAGTGCCTAACTTTCCAAATTTATTTCTTTATGTTTAATGCATGAAATAATAAGTAGAAGGATGAAATCATATGTTAAAAAAATTTGGGTGATGAATTTTTATGTAAAGTAGTGATTTGGTTTGGTTAAAAAAGGCAAAAAATAAGTATTTCTGCATGAAGCTATTAAACTCAATTATAGACCCCCTTATCATAGAATTGTCCATGTTTTGAGTTAGAGCTGGTAAACTTTAATTTTGATATTATTTGTCTCAAAAATAGAACAATACACTGTAAAAATATTTTTGAGATAGAGCAGGTGTCATTTTATGCCCCCGCTGTTATCATTTTATGGCTCCGCCAATTTAGGTCGTGGCCATATAGTGTTACACTTATCCATCATTCCACAACAGTTAATTTGAAAATTTCCATTCTGAAAAATGACTTTATAGCTTTTTTATTGCAAGCCTGGCCATTCGTGTCATTTCAACACATTCAGTTTTAATTTCAATTTAAACCGTTGTTCCTCTGTCCGTCTGTCCCTACTTCCGTCTGTCCGTTGTCAACATGTTGGACAATAATCCAAATCGCTTTAACCAATTTGCATGAAACTTTTGTGAATTGTTTATATTTATTGACGTGAGCTCGCTTTTTATTTTTTTTTTAAATTGAAGATTTTACGTTTCCGAGTTATGGGGTTTTATTCGTTAAAAAGGGGATTTTCCAGGTTTCAGACATTAACTCAAAAGTGCTTTGATCATTTTTCATGCAATCTTGATGAATTGTTTACATCTATTGTCGTGAGCTCCCATTCGAATTTTATAACTTTTAGATTTCATGTTTCGAGTAATAGGTATTTATATATTAAAAAAGGGGGATTTTTCCAATTTTTGGACAATAACTCAAAATTGCTTTGAGCAGTTTTCATTAAACTTTGGTGACTGGCTTATATCTATCAAAATAACCTTCCTTTAGTTTCTGATATGACATAGAGGAGTTACGGAATTTTATTCTTTGGAAACGTGATGGGCATATCATCTGGTCATGGCGCAGCTCTTTATTAAAATATATCCTTGTTCTGGTCTTAGAGTTGGTGAGCCAAATAAAAGTAGGTGTGCGTTCAGTATCAGTGCATACTTATTTGAGAAAATAATTTCAATATTTAATTACACAATGTTTTATATCATATTACAATGCAATTAGAAAATAAGCTGTGAACTCGATTATATCACATTTTCATTTAAAGAACTACTATTCATCCTTAACCTGGCATGAACTATTCCAGTGTTGTAAGAATCGGGACATTTATTATGATAGATATAAGAAGATGAGGTATGAGTGCCAATGAGACAACTCTCCATCCAAGTCACAATAGGTAAAAGTAAACCATTATAGGTCAAAGTACTGTCTTTAACACGGAGCCTTGGCTCACACCGAACAGCAAGCTATAAGGGACCATTAAATGACAAGTGTAAAACCAATCAAACAGGAAAACCAACGGTCTAATCTATATAAAAAACGAGAAACGAGAAACACTTATGAACCACATCAACAAACGATAACCATTGAAAATCAGGTTCGTTATAAAAGTAGGTTCAACTACAAATGTACAATTATGAATACAGGGAGATACATGTAACACTTATTTAGAATATATGATTTGGCTAATGCAATTAAAGTTGAAAATGGAAAAGGGGAATGTGTCAAACAGACAACAACCCGACCAAGAGTAGAAACAGCCAAAGTCTACCAATGGGTCTTCAACACAGTGAGCGAGAAAACCCACACATAGAGGTGGGCTTCTGTTGGCCCCTAAACTATATTGTATGCTATTTCATCGAAAATGGACCCAATGCACACATATAAATTCACCAAAATTAAGAAAACACACAAGACTCACACAGGCCAGATGTTCCTGACTTGTGACTGGTGCAAAAATGCTATGTTTAATTTAAAGTTTACATTGCAAAATGAAAGCAATCTTTACCCTGCAGTGCTCACAAGCTCTTTGATTTATTTTATTAACAGGAAATGGTACAGAATGCTGAAGATGCTGGAGCTAATTGTATGAATATCATGTACGACAGCAGAACTAGAGATCCCGGAGGAAATTCTAAGATTAAACAGTATTTCAGAGTAAATAAACATATCTGTAAAAAAAAATTAAATATCTTTTTTAAACATTCTTCACCCAAATAGGTAATATAAGTTTTTTTCCAATAATTTTACATCTACATAAAAACTTACTTATTTATCATTATAGTGGTTAGTAGCTTTATTTGTTTTAAAAGTTGTACAGATTTATTTTCATTTGTGGAAACAATACGGAAGACATAGTGGATAACTGTAATTTGTTCGTAGACTCCTGGTTTATGTGTACACAATGATACCATTTTCACAGAACTGTTATTGCATATAATGTTGTGTACCTTTTGTTTGTAGACTCCTGGTATATGTGTGTACAATGATGCCATGTTCACAGAACTGTAATTGTTGTGAACCTTTTTTGTAGACTCATGGTATATGTGTGTACAATGATGCCATGTTCACAGAACTGTAACTGTTGTGAACCTTTTTTGTAGACTCCTGGTATATGTGTGTACAATGATGCCATGTTCTCAGATGATGACTGGAAGGGAATCATCAGTATTTATAACAGTGTGAAAGAGAAAGAAACTTTGAAAGTTGGTCGATTTGGTCTTGGCTTCAAATCAGTTTTTCATATGACAGGTATGTACACCCATGCCTCTAAGAGGAATGCAAATAGTGATGGGAATGTCCATATGTTTGTTGAATGCCTGTTCGTCCTTTATCTGTTTGTCAGTTACAAGTTTAATTTTGAATATCAAAGTACCACTTGACAAAATCTTTTGAATTTTTTTCACAGGTCACCATAAAATACAGGTCAAATTTGATTTTGATGTATCATGCAAAAGTTAAGTCTCTTACATACCTTATAACTTTGGTTTTCTCCCATATCATTTGAGTCATAATAAACACAATGCCATTAACCATAAAATACGGGTCAAATATGATTTATTATGATGGTATCTATGATGAGTTTATTTGACATTTATTAAAGATAGAAAGAATAAAACAGCAGGAATGGTCCACAAGATAAGATCTTCAAATAAATCAACTTAATAAAAAAAGTCAATTATTAAACTCATTATCCTTACTGTCCTTGAATGACAGTTTTACTAATTTTTGGGACATGTTTTCGCTCCCTATGCCATCACAGCAAGTTTGCCAACTGCTTCAGGAATGCTGACATAGGTATAACTGTCCTTACCCAGCAAGCTGATGTTTAGTATCATCTAAAAATAAATTGTAATGTTTGTTGATTGATAAACATGTATTATATACAATGCCAGTTATGTATTATCATTATGTGTTTGGTCCTAATAATTGTTTGAATAACTAGCTTTGGTGATTTAGATTTGAAAGTAAACGGTTTGTTAAGCAAACTTAGTGCTTAGAATAAGTTAAAATAGTGAATGTACTGATTGAAAAACAAAAATTGAATTAATAATCACAGCATAGTTCCTTTGATCTCAGACGTCTGTGATTTCTTGAATATGATATATACTTGGTGGTTTAGTATGGAATGAACATGCTCACTCATAAAGAACCTCACAACATTTGCATTTCATGTGACAGAGAGGTCCAATTATTTTAAAGTAATTGCCCCCGAGATATGCATTTTTTCTCCTAATTTCCAGTTTTTAGAGGGCCTGAAGGATCAAGTAAGCTTTTCTCATCAAATAGCATCTGATGTTTGTTAACTTTTACAAGAATCTTTTCTCTGAAACTTCTTGGCCTATTGGAACCAAAATCATCATTTAGACATTTAGTATAAAAATGTCTTTAGCGGTCCTAGTCCTGCCTTCCAACCAAGGATCTGAAAATTTGTTCACACAATTTTGATCATTTTGAGTTGACTGGGTTTCTTTTCAAACTGTTGAATTCATACTAGATTCATGCGTCAATGAAGTAACATTGATGATTTTACTGCAAGTTGTTAACCTTTTTTTCTAAAAACGTTCAATATATATAAGAATATGTGGTATGACTGCCAATGAGAAAAAAGAATCTGTATCCAAGTCACTATTTGTAAAAGTAATCCGTAATAGGTCAAAGTACCGCCTTCAAGAATGATTTATGGAATGCAGAGGTTTAAAATAAAATGTTTTTAATGTCTTAGATATGTAAAGATAGTACGAATTGACCACACTTCTTTCCATTTTGAGAAACAAAATTAAAACAAATTATTTTGTATAAAATCATAAATTACGAGTGTTTTCTGATTCATCTACAGGTATGTCCTGTTTATCAAAAACAGAAAATCATCATGTTTTTTTAATTTACATTTCTTACCTGTAACATGGCAATAAGAGAGCCCTAAGAGTATTAAGTTATTAACTTTTTCCTTCATTATTTTGTAGACAGTCCTGTAATAATAAGTGGCAGTAAGCTTTTGGTCATAGATCCGTTGAGATCAGAAGAAAAAGAAGAGGAATGTAGAGAATTCAAACTGAAAGCTATAGGAAGAAAACATCAACCAGAAACAACACTTGCCTGTTTAATGAATAAGTTTGGCTTTAATACAGATGTTCTGAGAGAAGGTCTGTATGAAGGAACAATTTTCTGGTTCCCACTTCGTCAAAAAGAATCTAAACTGTCACCAACTATTTATTCAGAAGAAAAAGCACATAATCTGTTTAAATCCTTTATGAAAAGGTCAACGTATAACCTGCTGTTCCTGAAAAGTTTGGAGAAAATTGAAATTTATAATGAACATAATGATTGTCCATACTTTAAACTTGAGATGGCAGGTACTAATGAGGAAGAATTTAGTAAGGCAAGGAAAATGTTCAAAGATGACTTGAACAATCTAAAGAATGAGTTACCAAGGAAATCTATAATGTCACAGTATGGAGCTGTTATCAAGACTAATACCACAGAAGAACATTATGCTGTAGTTAATATGCTAACTGGTGCAGACTACTTGTCAGAGCAGATGAACCATTTAGTAAGTGATTCAAGTCTCCATTATAGTCCTTACACAGGAGCAGCTTATTGTATGAAGTCCAGTATAGGAGAGAAGCCACCAGGACATATATTTTGTTTCTTACCACTGCCTGTAACAGAAAAAAGTATGACTGGCCTCCCTGTACATGTTAATGGTTTCTTTGACCTTGAGCACAACAGACGACACATTAAGGAGCCTGCTGCCAATAGTGAGTCAAGACAAACTGACCAATCGTTGATGTGGAATGCTGGTATGATTGGGGAGTTACTACCAGAGACCTACTACACCCTCATTGAGATGATGAAGACAAGGTGCATCAAGGGAAATAACTCTCAAGACATGGTTGATCAGGTGTACGTTGCAATTCCAAATCCAGATGCTGTTGAGTCTAGCTGGAAATTGGTCTTAGAAGAATTACTTGAAAAGGTATTGCATAATAATACTTTCTTTACCAGACAGAATGGAGGAAAATGGATAAAATTTTCTGAAGCATTGTTCAGTGTATTTGACCCTGTAAAAAATATAAACCAGAAGACTAAGACAACTGTGAAGAAATTACTGTTAGACTGTGAGGAGAATTTGGTGGAGTTACCAGATCATGTGATCACCATGCTGAAATATACAGGCCACGAACCACAGTCAGTTACACCACAAACAGTAAGGGAGAAACTGAAAAGTTCTGAGTGTTGGAAGACATATCCAAGAGAAGAAAAATTAAGGCTTTTGTCCTTTGTTCTGGAAGACTGTAATTATACAGATTTGAACAATTTAGAAATTTTACCATTGAACAATCAAGAGTTTGTTCCCTTTAGTACAGGAACTGATGTATATGTGATCTGTGATGAGACAGCTCATTTGTTTCCTGGCTTAGAGGATCAAATTATATCTGAAGGTTCAGTGACTGAATATATATGGACTTGTTTATCCAAGATGGCAAAAAAAGGTAATATTAATTGTAAAAAGTAGTTCCAATTAAAATGGTTAATGTGTTAAAACTGTTTTCTACATATTCATAATATAGCATTAGAACTACAAGCCTGAACATATTCAAGACAATTGCAACAAGTCTAAGGAGTTTAAATAATAATCCGTGAAGATAAGTGCATCTTATTGCTATGTGCCATCTTAACATCTTGTATTGCATGACTTATCATCTCTATATCAAATGATGGATTGATCAAGAAAATAATCTCTGAAAGTTGATTGTTTTATTAACTCCCCTGCAAGGTAATATATTTTGGAAGAAAAGAAAATGAAAAATAAATCTGCATAAGTAGTTATCTAACTCATCCTGATTATTGGAAAACGAGTGCAGTAGTATGTTCTGTAAGAATGAACACGCTAGCAGACTAAGAGCATATAGATTACATGGCACACTGCTGGAACACTGTTCCTTAACTGTCAAAAAATTTGAAATGAATATAACTTATTTTCTGAATCCTGAAACTTTATTTGATTTCCTATATAGATCAATTACTTACCCTGGCACCTTTCATCAAATAAAAGAAAAACAAATAGTGTCTGAGCAAAAACTTGAAAACGCTTTGACATATTTAGATATGTTGTTTTTGTGACTTAATGAAATCAAGTTCGATTTTCACTATTTTAACTTTTATAGTTGTTGAGTTGTAGACCACAAAGTAGAGAACAGTGATGCTTAAATTGATTATGGCCTTTTCTTTCGAACACTACATACATCCTTTTTTTTTACTTGATCCTGTTCAAGGGTCCAAATTTTCAAATATCATTTTCATGCAGGATAATCCAGTTTGCTGTCAATCTGGCACCCTCTTGCTTGTTGTGTTGTTACACCCTGTTTAAGGTTGGGGAGAGTTGAGCCTCAAAAACATGTTCCACCCTGTCCATGTGACTTGTAAACACAACTCTTACAAAACAGCTAGACATATATTGATGAAACTTTGGTTACTGTAAAACACTCTCTGATCATGTGATCAAAGGTTTATAATCCAAGTTCAAGGTGTTAAAAGAGAGATACCAAAATTGTGTATTTTAAAATACTAATAGTATTGCTTGGCTAAGGATACCTTTGGTGAGTTCACTTAGAGTTCCAGTTTTTAGATTTCCTTATGACTGTTAATTGTTTCCTTTCAGAGTTGTTTCAACTGAGATGTATAACAGATGAATGCTTGCCTAATGTTATACAGAAAGTCTATGACATCAATTTTATTAGGAAACAGAATGGCCGCTTTGTTCAAACATCACAGTCAAACCTCGGAATTGATTGGATACAGAAAGTATGGAAAGAAATATCTAAAAGAGAATATGATAATCTCTCATTGTTTGAAAGCATACCTGTTATAGTTGTTGGTCCAGATGATGTAGAAGACATTAACAGTAGTACAATCGATGAGAGCCTAGTGTTAGAATATGTTAATTTGAAAGGAAGGTATATGCTTTCTAAATTTGACAATCATGAACCATTGTTAGCAGCCTTGGAGAAGGTGGTTACCCTAACTAAAGTAGAAATTTTCCATCCAAATCAAATGATTAAATTTCCACATACAGATGTTATAGGAAAATATATTCAACTTCCAATTATAGATAATATATTGAATTGTTTTAAAATGGCTGCATTATCAAGCAGACATCAGCAAATTGCCAGAGAGATAAACGAGCAATGTTCTGACAATGAAAAGACAGAATTGGTACAGTTCCTTACAAATCATCATTCAGATATTCCAAGAGAAGCATACCAATTTCTACAGAAATTAGATTTGTTCTGTGAACATGACAATGTATCAGTGGCTGAGATGGTGTCTTTAGAGGACAACAAATTCACATTGAAAGACTTTATGTACCCTGAAGGTATCAGTTACCCCAGAAAATACTTGGAGAGAGAACATGCAGAATTGGCTAAACTTCTTGGGGCAACTGATGTAGAAGAAATTGAATGTGTTGACCACACACTTGATTTAATGTTAGAAAACAGTATCAAGTATTCTGTTGATGATTACACAGGATTGATGATATACCTACAAGGTAGACCACCAAAGGTATTAAATCATGTTCTTGAGAAAGCAAAGTCTTTGAAGTTTATGCCATGTGGAAATGGAAATCTACACTCTGTAAATAACCTGTTCGATCCAACATCAAGCTTCCTTAAGAACTTATTTTATGGTCAGGAAGGCTTATTTCCAAATGAAAACTTTATACAAGAAAATGGACTGAATCAATCGTTTTTGCAAAACTTGGGACTAAAAACTGAAGATAACATTTCTTCAGAAGATTTATTCCAGGTAGCAACCAGTATACAAATGCTTGCAAATGGTATGGAAGAGAAAAAATACATTAAAGCTGAAAGTTTAATTTCATATCTGAAGAGGCATGAATACAAGACATCAAGTAGCAATGCATTACATAAGATTAAGGGTATACAATGGGTCCCTATTGATCATGAAAAGCCTGACGACTACCCTGATGGACTTGGATGGTATGGCGGTAAAACATTCTGTTCTCCTGATGAAGTTAAAAGCATGCAATTCAAAAACTTGATTGGAACAGTTAGTCCATTGGTACGAGTAGATTTGTTCTCAAAACAGATTACTGCTTGTTATAAGTGGTGTGAACAACCAGAGCAAAATGATGTTGTTGAACATTATAGAAATGTTATTAAATCATATGAGGCAAGACAGAACTCGGAATATCTACATATAACCAAGCATATCATCAGTTACATCTATGAACTATGGAGAGCAGGCAATTTGAATATTGAAACCACCAGAAAGCTAAATGAAATGAAATGTATTCCAACAAACTGTCAAGGGTTCAAGTCTGCAAATATTGTTGTTCAAGAGATTGTAAATAAACACATAATTTACATTCTAGAACCATACATCTTTGAACTAGCTAGAGATGTTGCAGATTTTGGTGAACTATTTCTTGAACTTGGAATAAGGAGAGAGGTAAATTTTGAGGTATTGGAGTCACTTCTTCAGCAAATTTCTGAGAAGTATATGTTGGACGAAACGACAGGAGGAGACGGAATTGAACTTGAAAAAGACCAAATATTAACACATAATATATTAAAATCAATTATCGCCATGGAGATAGACAAGTCAGAATTGACAGAGTTACTGATCCCAATTAATTCATATAGGGAAGATTGTATTGTATTTGAAAAAGTAGAAAATTGTACTTATACATCCGGGAAAAGTCCATTTTCAACGGCAATATTTCTAGAGAATGACAATGATGATGATGAGGAGGAAAAAATCATATATGTTCATCCATCTATAAATGAATTAGCATCAAAACTTGGTGTAGCTTCTGTCACGAAGCGATTCATTTACACCCAGAATACTGGAGTGTTGGCATGGGGACAGGAAGAGAAGTTGACAACAAGGATTTCTGGACTACTAGATAGTTATACTGATGGTCTTGCAGTTCCTAAGGAGCTTGTACAAAATGCTGATGATGCGGGTGCCACCAAGGTATGCTTCCTTTATGACGAAAGAGAAAACAGAGATTGGAGAAATGGACTTTTTGATCAAGGAATGGCTGAATGTCAGGGACCTGCTTTATGGGTCTACAATGATGCCATATTTGAAGAAAAAGACTTCAAAAATATCATAGAACTTGGTGGGAAGACAAAAATTTTGGATACAGAAAAGATTGGCAAATTTGGACTTGGGTTTTGTTCAGTATACAATGTTACTGATGTTCCAAGCTTTGTGAGCAAGAACACATTAGTAGTTTTGGACCCCCATTTACATCACCTTGGTGAAGCAGCCATTGGAACAAATCCTGGTTTGAGAGTACCACTAACCAAAAGTTATAGGAAAAATTTGTCCAACCAGTTCAAGCCATACAATGGTATTTTTGGATGCAACCTGGAGCCGAACAACAAAGATGAATATAATAAAACTTTGTTTCGTTTACCTTTGAGAACACAGAAACAGGCATCAGAAAGTGAGATAAAAGATCTGCAGTATACAAAGAGGGAAGTTGTTGAGCTCTTGCAAAAGTTTTTAGATTCAGTAGCAAATTTACTTTTGTTTACTCAGAATGTCAAAGAAATATGTGTTTACCATCTAAATTCAAAAAGCCAAAATCCAAATGAAGATAAGAAATTGTTGTTTCAGGCATGGAAAGAAAACACAGAAAAATCAGCAGAGGAAAATGAATTCAACATTCTGAAGAAAGTTACATCTGCAATGAAAGGTGAACAACCAAGTGAAATTAAATTTCCAGTTCAAATTATAGACATTGGCATTGAGGTTTCCAGTGAAGCACAAGAAATATCTAAGGAATTTCGTTCTTCTAGAGACATTACTTCATGGATCATTTCATGGGGCACAGGAAATAAAACATTTGAGCTTGCCAACAAATTAAAACAACAGGGTGCTATTCCAGTGGGAAGTGTTGCTGTACCAATAAGACGGGATGGAAGCAAATTGATATCTTTCATGGATATGAATGAGCTCCCAAAAGGATTCTATTCTAAGAGCAGAATGTTCTGCTTTTTGCCCCTGCCTGTGGAAGCACAGGTACCAGTACACCTCAACGGATATTTTATGGTAGAACAGGACAGAAAGAGCATTACTAGGTACAACCAAGATGACAAAACAAATGATACTAGTTACTGGAATGATGCAATGTTAGATAATGTTGTACAAAGTGCCTACATCAATTTATTATCATCAGTAGCATGCAGATCAAATGACCCAATTGTTGAAACTGATTATTGGAAAGTTTGGCCAAGAATGACTCCAATGATGAATCAGGACATGGTTTTACTGGCCCAGTCATTTTACAGAAGTATTATAATGAAAGATGATATTGTGTTTTACAGAAGAAATACTGGAATTGGCTCAGGAGTTAAATGTTCTCTTAGTCAGGCAGTTGTCCTAGATCCTGAATTCAGAAATTTGGGAGAAAATGGTCAAATAGCATTTGATTGCTTGTTGGAGTTCTATCAGGACAGCTGTATTATCATAGATATGCCTTTGGACATTTATATAAACTTTGGTGAAATTCCTGGTGTAGATATCAACAGACTGAAAAGCAGAATCATTTCCAAGACTGACTTCTATAACAAATATTTCTTTCCTAACTTGAAAGAAGATTATTGGCAGCAATTAGACAGAAGAAAAGAACGCGACATATTAGTTATTGGAGCAATAGAGGATAAAGAAATGCACGATCTTGTCAAAAGATATGAGTGTATACCAGTGCAAATGTCAAATAGGCTAAGAAAGCCTTGTGAATTAGTTCTGGAAAAGGGACCAGTCAGTGCCATGTTTACTGTAGAGGATGAAGTGTTTCCTGATGTCTCATTAGAATGCTACACTTCGATACTTATCAATATGGGAATGATGGATGATATAATTTCATCAAAATTGTTGATGGAGAGAGCTAGAACAGTTGGAACTTTATGTAAGGAAACTGCCTTGGCTCGATCAACAGCAATTTTGAAATATTTGAATACGAACATGCACTTGCATTCTGATGCAGCAGAAAATCTGAAAAACATCCCCTTTTTACCAGTTTTGAAAATTCTTGATGGATGGCCACTTCCTTGGAAAGCAGATGATTTAGAACCAGAAGAATATCTCTTTCCACCTTGTCAATTATTTTCATCTAACGACAAGTTTGTTATTGGATCAGTTGGGTATGTGTTAGATCAATCTGTAGGTGATGTTGAACAAGCTGTTATGGAGAGCATTGGAATTAGAACTGTTCTCATTGAAAACGTAGTTGAACAGATCAATGTTCTTGCAAATTCAAACTTGCATTCTTCTGTTGGATTGGAAGAAACGTGTGAAAAGTTGTACAAAAGACTGAATGATCAATTACTGTTTGATTCTACAAATCTGATGGTTGTCAACAGTTTGAAAGACTTTCAACACAAGAGAATTGTGAAAGTAGAGTCTGATATGGTGGAACCTATTAGAGTGGCGTTAAATCTGATAGGATCATGTTCCCCTTTCTTGTATGAGATGCCGAGAAACTTGAAACAGTACAAACTTCTATGGAAATATGTTGGGATACCACATTGTTTTGATGAAAATACTTTTATTGGAATGTTGAAAGAACATCTTAAATTAAAAGGCGAAGAGCAAATAACACCAGAGGAGACCCAGGGTATAATGTATATACTCAAAAACTTATCTACGTATCATCCTGCTCCACCAACTGGTATGCCAGAAGAAAAAAAGAAAGTAATATTCATCCCTGATCAGAACTGTATTTTGCGTTCAATGTGTGATGTGTGTTATGATGACCCAGATTTTGACTACGAAGATGAAGATGTTTACATAGTTCATGAAGAGGTTACACAACATATCATCAAAGGTCTTGGAATCATGTCAAAACGTCATTTGTATCTATCAAGGCATTCAGATTCCATACCCTTTGGACAGAAGGAGAAACTTGTCATAAGACTTAAGGGTATTATAGATGCATACCCAAAAGACCATTCCGTCTTAAATGAACTGTTACAAAATGCAGATGATGCCAAAGCAACAGAAATACATTTTGTATTTGACCAAAGACAACTAGGAACTAAGGATATATTTGATAAGAAGTGGGGGCCTGTTCAAGGCCCAGCATTATGTGTATTTAACAATGCCTGCTTCACAGCAAAAGACTTGCAAGGTAACTTGAATTAATTATTAATGGCAAAGTAATTTATTATTATGAGTGTAATACAAGGGAAAAAAACATGGAAGGAACAGCCCTTCTATTGCTTGTCTTCATCCTACTCATAAGCAGTAGTATTGTCAGAATGACATTCAACACACAGCAAACATTCTGTAAGGTCATTTCATTTTAAGATTAAGATTTTTAATTTGTTGCAGAATATTCTTAATCTGTTAAAATTTATCAATTTACTCAATGTCCACAAATGCAAATTTTACAGTGCATGAAAACAATATCATGGACTGAGTTGAAAAGATTTTTATTTGTTTTAAAAATATCATTGGAAGGAAAAATATTGTAGAGCTTTGATATACATGATATATTGGGGTTCAGAACTATGTCTGTCTCATTTGGTCAGCTTTGTACTTTCGTTGCCAACGACCAACAGGTTCGAAAGACATCGGGTCAAAAGTTTTCTTGGCTTCTAAGAATTAGAATGATTTAAAATTTGGTCCGCAGCTTGGTCATGTTGAGTTATTACATGATAATATTTACATAATTATGTCATGTAGCCACTTCCTGTGTACTGATAGTTTGAAATTCATTTTATAACGATTATTGTTGTCAAACTTTCCTTGACTTTTATGGAATGGAACGGTTTTATATATGATTTACCACTTGATAACGGTTGAGTTTAAGCTTGTAAGCAATTACCACTAGCTGTTTGCTATGTCTTGAAAAAAAGATATACACAACTTCTTATAAAAAAAACTATTTTCACTAAAGTTTCAAGGCTTCAATGGTATCAGGCAATGATTCAGTATACATGAAACCTCAGTCATTTGCATGCTGGGACAAAGGCCGAGACAAGGTATTAGTCTTGTTATCAATTTGATTGAATTCAAGTGCCATTTGCGTCATATGTATTGAAAACAATAATAGTATCAGTATAATTAATATTAAGGAAGAACAAACAGATAATACATGATATCAAGAACTTGTATTTGGTCCAAGGATATATATTCTATCTATTGGTTGTTATTCGTCAACCTGTGAAAGAACAAATATGGGATAAGTACTTAGTAGTCTTTTTATGATCCCATTTATGACTGTATCAATTTATTGACTCCTGTTATCTATCTAGATGGGCTGGGCACTACCATAAATACTCTTTGTTTAAATTCGTTGATAAACATACTTTCCTAGAATTGATATCTATAGGCAAAACACCACGTAACTTTTCTGGGACACATAAGATCACAACCAGTTTTCGGTTGCTCAGTTTTACGTGTTCTATGTTCTGTTTTGTATACTATTTTTGTCTTTTTGCCATGGCGTGGTCAGTTTACTTACGAGTTTTTATACCCCTTTGATATCTTCTGTCTCTCCCTTCTCTGTCACCAATATCATCATAGCTCGGAGTGATAATACACTATTATATCTTGACATGAAATAACATGAAGAATAAGATAGGTTTTGGTCTGATCATCACAAGGCTGTCTATGAATATACAGTTAGTTTCAAAAACATTTTTTTTGTATTGAAGAACATATTTTACAGTATTCATAGATGTCAGGTTAGCAGAGTAGGCTTCTGTTTTGTAAAAAGTATATCCGAGACTTAAAATTTTATTTTTATTACAGGTATTCAAGACTTGGGAGAGGGAAGTAAGTCGGGTGATCCTTCAAAAACTGGACAATTTGGTGTTGGATTCAATGCTGTATATCACTTGACCGATGTACCCTCCTTCTTAACTCGTGGACAGGACACTCCAGACGGTGGAACATTTTGTGTATTTGATCCACATTGTTCATACCTACCTGTTGCTCAACCTGAAAATCCTGGAATGAGATTAAAACTTGAAACATTTCAGTCGAAATATGGAGATGTCTACAAAGGGTATTTACAAGATAAAGTTAAAGCTGATACGGGGACATGGTTTCGTCTACCCCTTCGTACTCCTGAAATGGCGAGAAAGTCTGAAATTAGCTCCAAATCATTTTCAAAAAAAGATATGAACAGTTTAATAGAAAAAATTAAGTCACAAACGAAGGCAAGTCTTTTGTTTCTGTCAAATATTAAAAAGATCAGCATTTCTTACATTAAAGAAAACTGCAATGAGCTGTCAGATACATTTAGTGTTTGCTTGTCAGTGTCAGATTCAGACATTGAGAATGTCAAAGATTTTTCAGCTCATGTTATAACAGAATCCAAAATGATCATGTCAAAAGAAAAAACACTAAATCAGATTAGTATAAAGGAAGTAAGATATACAGCAACTTTAGAGGATAATAAAAATAATTCTGACACCTGGCTTATTGTCCAAGCCTTTGGGTTCAACGAAGGAGATGCAGTAGCTGAATCTATTTTGACAGCTGCTTCGAGTGGAGAGTTAGGATTCTTACCAAGAGGTGGTACAGCCATGAAAGTGGTCAAGAAAATTGAAGATAATCAAAGAGGGTTACCGTACACATACATTCCAGACAGTCGTGATGGCAATGCCTTCTGCTTTTTACCATTGCCTATTAGAACAGGGCTTCCAGTTCATATAAATGGTCATTTTTCGGTTTATGCAAACAGGAATGGACTTTTCGGAGGTAATTCCGCCACACCTATAGATGACAATAGAATCAAATGGAACAATTTGCTACTACGGCAAAATGTGGCATTTTCTTATGCAAGCTGCTTAGAATATTCAAAAGAAGTTCTTCCAAATCTGTTGAATACTTACAAAAACATTGATATATTGAAAATTTTCTTTTCCAGTTTCCCCGACCACAATGTCACAGGAGCCTATTGGAAAGAGCTTGTAAATGCTATTTATAAAGACATACACAAAAGAGCATTGAAGATTTTTCCAATATACCCAAAGTACACAAATTCTGTACAGAAGATGTCCTTGTGTAGTCTACAAGGAGAACTTGAGCAAGACGAAATAGACTGGATTCCTTTAGAGACAGAAGGTCATACATTTAGAGCTTGTTTTGATAATTTGACCTCTTTTTATCAACTAAATGAACAGGATTACAAATCAAAAAATGGACAAATTCTTCTTCAAAGACAGGAAATTGTAGTAAGACAGATCTTAGTGGATTCAGGAATGAAGTTGATATGCATACCATTATGGATTTTTAGAAGTATTTCTAAAGCATTTCCAGTTGATTGTTTGTCCAGTAGCAGTTCTGCATCTGATTTAAAGTGTGCAGTTGCAGATGTTTTGACATTTGAATATGCTGATAAATCATCAGAAATAGTAGTTAACTTTTTCAGGTCATGGAACACTGGAAACATAGATAAATGTAGGATCAGTGATGTAAACATTCCACTCAGAGAATCTATATTTCAGTCCGTTGAAAGACTTTCATCTTTTCTTCAGTTTTGTTTGAAGTTGGGAATTGAATGTCCAGAATTTGAAGGACTTCCATTGATGTTAAACAATTCTGAACAATTGGTTTGTTTCTCACCCTGCACAACTATCATGTCAGAGTTCTGTAACTTGCTCCCATCATCTAGCGCCATGTTTGTTCATGATAGGTTGGTAGTTCCTTTATGCAAATTCAAACAGTTCTTCAAGTGTCTTGATGTTGGAAACTTTTGCTCAGAGCTTCTCCATTCAGTAGATGAACAGTATTGCCAACAGCATGGGCCCTTGCCATGGGACAGCTCACAGACATATCTCCCAAATGATGCATGGATGCTAATGTTCTGGGAGTTTTTGAAGACTGTTCCTTCAATATCAGAGCTTAGTAATTGGTGTCTTTTCCCGGTATTATGGTATCAAGAAGAGCTAGTTCTTGTTTCTTTTACTTTGGCGTATACAGTTGTTAACTATTACAGCTTTGATCAGCAATTGATTGATGACAGGAATATTGTTTCATTACTGAAAAAGCTTTCAATACCAAGTTTGTCTCTATACAACGAATTTTCAAACAAGGCATGTGAAATTGTAGCATCTAAACAGCAACCAGAGAAACTAGCCAGGTGTTTAGTATTCCATACAAAAGCTTTTACTAATACTTGTGTGACTCAGGATGAATGTAATAGACTTGTTACCTTCTTAGCTACAAATGTTAGTGGAATTGGATCAATTGTCAGAGAGAACCTCAAACAGCTGAAGATATTTACATCAATTTTTGGCGAAATAGTGAGTGTTGAAGGATTTAGTGTCTTGGTTGTTGACATTGATAATAGCAACATTGTTCTTGATGGTTTGGCAGAACAAGCAAATCATTCTAACATTCTTCTATTGAAGCACAATGCCTTTCATGTAGATTTGTATAGAGTCCTACAGTTTAGAGTTTGTAAGATACTACAGGATGAACACAAATTGCTGGAGTTTTACAGGATCTTTGTTCTGCCAAATTTTGAAATTTTACCAAGGAATTTACATCTTCTACATTTGACTTTTATAAGAGATAGACTTATCAGAAGTGATTATCTTATGGAAGCTTTGAGAGACTTGCAATTTATTCCATCTACAAATGGAAATATACTAAAGAAGGCATGTGAATACTTTAGTCCACACCACAAAGTCTTTTCAAGTCTTTGTAAGCCATCGGAATTGCCACCACATCCATTTAACAGCATATCATGGAGATGTTTTATGGAATTTGCTGGAATGAAACTGGAATTGACTAAAGAACAATTCTTAGAATTTGCTTGCCATATACAGAATCAAGGTCCATCAGAATTATCTGAAAGTCAGTCAGTTGAACTTGTTAAATATTTGTTTTCTAAGCAGAGGCTCGCAAAGGACATGGAGTTTTTGAGAAAAATTAGAGAAATTCACTTTATTAAGGCATATGTAGTGCCATTGGATTGTTCTACAATAAGCCCTCAGCTTTCAGTCAATAAACTTATAGCTTTTAGTGGATCTCTTCCTAATAGGCACTTCAGACTTGCTTGGACAATGCAAAACATTTTGCCTGCTTATGCCAGCACATCAAACCCTGTATTATTAGAAAGTTTGCTTATCCAAAGAGAACCTGAGATAAATACTGTTATTTCACATGTTCACAATGTTTGTTATTCACTTGAACAGAAACGATATACAAATGAAAAAACAATGTTTGTCAAAGATTTAATGACAACCATTTATGATTATATCGAGGCTTTACCAATGAAAACTTTAGAACAGATGAAACCACAGCTAGCAGAAACTCCATTTATACACATTGTTGAACACAACACATTTATGAAAGTTAGAAATGTCATCTTAAAGGAGGGAAAAAACTACGAAATACCACCATATTTGCTTGTAGGATCTGAAACCTATGGAAAATATTTTACATTATTCAGGACACTTGGGGGTAAAAATCATGCATATTTGGACCATTACTTTCGAGTTCTAGCAAGCATCAAAGAAGAAGCAGGTGAGAAAACACTAGTTGCAAGAGAATTGGAATGTACAGAATCCGCTGTTCGTGGTGTTCTTTTTGTGCTACAGTCTCTATCTGATACACCACAGGTTGAAGAATCTGTGTTCTATCTGTTAAGTAGTGAAGATAAACTTTTCCCATCTTGTGAACTTGTTTATGCTGACAGACCTTGGCCAGTTCAACATCGACTTAAGAATCAAAATGAGATTAAGTTTCTTAAACAAATGGATCAATTCAAAGATGTAGGATTAAATGTAGATCATTGCTTGTCATTGCTGCCAGCTACCATGCAGCTAAAACGGTTAAGCTCGGTTGTTAGAGAAGAACTGCTTACAGATCAGAACATTGTTCAATGGGAAGTTGCTGAAAAATTACAATATTTTCTCACCAGTGAAATATTTGTATATGCTATAAAAAGGCTAGTGAAAACAAAGAACAAAAACCAAGGTAATAAAGACATTGACGACAGTACTTTAGAAAACATATCCTCAAGTGTAACATCAGTTAGAATTGTTACCCTCCAAGATGTTAAAACAGTTTTAGTTTATAGAAATGAACAAATAGCATCAAGTGCAGAAGAAAGAATATTTTACCATAAGAGGGCTGAAAACATTGTGTATGTGAAAAGATCTGATTTGGAAATGGGTGTATGGCTAAAAAAAAAAATACTACGTCATGTTGTAAAAGTAATAGTAAGATTATGTATGGATCGAGTAGAAGCAGAAAAATTACAAACTGTTCTGTTACATTATGATAACAATTTTAAAGAGATGGAAGAATTGTTAGATGATTTACAAGCTGTTGCATTGGATTCCAAGCCTGTATATACATCATGGATTCCTTTACCTGGTTCTCCTGTCCCACTTGATTGTCTGGATTCTTTAGTACAGGACTTGGTTAAATTTTCACCTGGGGATTATGCTGTTCATGAAATATTCGACAATATAGACGATGTTGTAGATAGTAAGGACATAGCCAGAATTTACATATATGTAAAAATTATAGAACAGCTAATTGATGGTCAATTCCCATTGTATAAAGTTGATGTTGGAGAAGGACAAAGTAAAGAAGTTCATTCGTTCCTACTTTATCAGATACAAAGAATGAAGAATCAAGAGATGGGATTAGAACTTCATACACATGTGCATGCTGGGTACAATATAGGAACTAAGGATAAAATAAAACAACAAATTGAGGAGACACTTGTTGATGCATGGAGATTAGGACAGGACAAGTTCAAAAAGGTCTACAAACGATTACTGCTTCAATGGCATCCAGATAAAAATGATGATTCCAAATTTTGTTGTGAGATAACACAGCATATTATTGATTTTGCTAACCGTTTGAATTCTCGTAAGATGGACATTTCAAACATTCCACAATACAGGGAAAGAAAAGGCAACTCATATGGTGGGAATTGGCAAGCATATAATGATACTTGGAACGAGCATGTAAGTAAGGCTAGAACAGCACCAAATGAACCCACAAGAGAGCAGTGCTATACATTTGACGTAAATGGATATGCGGATAGGGTACGACACAGACACAGTCACAGTCACAGTCAAAGAGATTATAGCAATACTAATTATCATTACTCTGGACACCATCCTAATAATAATGATATATATCGTCCAGATCCACAACCTAAGATGGGAAGGATTTGGTTGAAACAGGCAAAGAACGATATTGCTACTGCTAGATCATTACTAAACACAGCAACAGAACAGTCCTTTAACTGGGTGTGTGTGATAAGTCAGCAGGTAATTATTACTGTTTTCCTGTATTCCTTCCTCAGACAACTACGATATGAAATATTTTGGCAGTTGTTGAATTGTGATCAGTTGGTCAATCGTGTTTGTTTGTGCAACAAAATATCGTAAATTGTATATCTTGAGTATTACCCTTCTAGTTAGTTGATGTTACTCTTGTGATAAGTATTAGGCACTTTTATATTAGAGATAATTGAGTGTAAAAGATTGAATATTTAGCTTTAAATTCTCTTTAGTTGTAGAAATTTGCAACACAACGGGATGCCACATGTGGATCAGTATCTGCTTACCCTTTCGGAGCACCTGAGATCAACCCCGTTTTTTTTATGGGATTCGTGTTTCTCCGTCTTTAGTTTTCTAGGTTGTGTTTTGTGTGCTGTTTGTCTTTTCGTCGATTTTTGTTTTTTTGTCTCATTTCCAACAGTAGCTAACACCCATAGTGATAATATCTGTTGTCTTCTACCTTGTCAGTATCCTGTAATACCACACTTTAGATTAAAATACACATTTCTTTGAAAACAGATGGACAGATTTCAACCACAATTGCAAAGATTCCTGTATAGAAAATGAAGTTAAACACCTATTTAAATGTTTGATCTTGGTCTTGAGGTTGTCGTTTTTTGGGGGTGGGGTCCATAAATAACTAAGTACTTGTCCATTCCTGTTTGTTCATGTTTGTTAATCTTCTACTCCTCCAAAACAGCTAAACAGAATTCAACCTTACTTGTACATGTATGAATATGCTCACCTGCTATTTTAATTGTTCAGCTAATTAGTTTTGTGGGTTTCCTTTTTAAAACATTGACTTAGTCGTTTTTCCTTATATTATTATACATTGGCATCATATTTCAGAAAGCTTTCATAATTTTAAACCTTCATTCTAATTTCTGTCCTTCTGTCCATCCATCTGCAACACATTTCTTTCACATTTTTCTCAGCAAGTCCTAATCAAAGTTTCGTGATATTTGGTACCTGGAGCTATAGTCTTGAGGACACAATTATGTCCCGCCCGTGCAGTAAATAGTGAAGGCAAGACATAGCGATGCTACATTCTTTCATCATCATTGTCAACATCACCTACATTTTGATTCATTCTGTGGTATAATTGTTTAAGACACCAACTTTGTCAACCTAAGATAATGAATGATATTCCCTCAAAGCTTTTTTGAATTCAATTCTGAATTAGTTCAAATACACAACCAAACAGACAAACTGTTACATAAACCCCCTCTTCGATCATTTGTGGTATATTTGAAAATTTGGACTTCACAACAACATATTTATTTTTACTTTATTAATCTTATTTGGCCTAATTTGAGAGATCTATTCTCATGACTTGCACTAAAATCTAGTGATTTGATCCTTTTATTGTCGGTTGATTCATTTACATAAGAAAGTTTAAATATTTGAGATTTCTTATATATTTAGAATATACCCAGACCTAGACAAATCCTTCATTAGCCAGCTGTGCTTCAAATTATGCAACTTTTACAGAAAATACTGTTATAATTAATTCAAGTAGGAGTTCGTTTAAACATGGAAGTATGTCTATTAGTAAAATTATCAAATTCTAGGCAGCAGAAAAAGCTTTAAAAGCCATCCAAGTTTGTGAAGATGCTAAGCAAGTCAGCAAATATCATTCCTTGATAACACCAGTTTGTTTGAAAAATCCAACACTGAAGCAGGCTGCTGAGGAGTTAGAGAGTTGTATTGGTGACTACTCTAAAATGAGATATCCAAGACCTGTATTTTTCCCAAGTACGCCATCAGATTTATACAATCATGACGATGCTACAGAAACATTAAAATGGGCTGAAATTATTGTTAGCACAGTTGATGATATGATGTAACTAGTTTAAATTTGTTTTGCTTAAATGTGGATAATTTTTTTTTATATTAATATTGTTTTTTAGCTATCTTACCTATTATTTTGGCATTTGGGAATCACTATTGTTATAGATTTAAAAACTTCTCTAACTAATCCATTTGGCATGTTGAATGAGGACTAGATGTTTTGAGAAAAATAAATCTAATGATTCCATTTACCAACACTTTTGATAATTCATTAAAATCACAAAGGCTAATTAAAAGAAATGGTAATACTAATATTGTTTAATTATTGCATCATTGTTTTAATTTGGTTGCATGATAGAAGGCTGCCAATCACGATGGAAACCATTATCTTAGTTTAAATCTTTAAGGGCATAGTGTATTGGATAAATGTTGTTATCAAAAATTGTAAGACATAACTTTACCTTTTTCTCTTTCACATGTTTGAGAAATGTACATTTAATGACCAATTTCAATTTCATAAATCATATATTTTCAAATGACATAATTATGAGCACATAAACAAGACCAATTTAATATTTATCATGAATTTTCTTTAGCGTGTTTCCTATGAAAATTTTACTAACTAATTGTACTAACAAATAGCTGATATTTGTAATAAACAAGTGATCTCTGCTTACTCACCACTGGAGAATGACTGGTCATATAGTTATATTTTTGCTTTTTTAAGTTATCAAATGAGCAAACACATTCATTTGTTACAACTAGATGTTGATAGAGAATGTCAGATTTTAGATATAAAGACATTTGAGTTAAAAGTTTTGGTGATAAATCTACTACAATGATGACAGGCTGTAGGGGTAAATTCAATAAAAAATCTCCTATTGACTTAAATGCACATCTATGTCTTGAATTAAATTTATACCTGGTTTACCTTTAGAAATCAGAAGCTTTCATATATCATTTATTAAAATACAAATGTAGCCACATCTTTTGCAACAATAAAAACATGCAGCATTTTTGGGCATTCACATGGCCTTGTTTACAAACACTGTAGATTCGCCCTTACAGACCCCTATTACTTTTCAACCCTGAGGTAAAAAATTAAGTGCATTCAGCATTCCTTTTTTATTTTTTGTAACTAGTTTTGATCCAATACTATCAAAAATATTTATTACAAACGTAATCTACCAATCAGGAGAGCACATGACTTCAGTGTTATACAGAAAGCTCTCCCCAAATGGGCGGTCCCTGATGATGTATATTTATTTACTGAATTTACCCCTGCAAGGTCATATCCACCAGTTTCAGGGGAGGTAATCACTAACACAAAATTGACATTCATGCTTTTTCCATGTATTAAGTTGATAGTGGTTTACCAATAATTGATAATGACAGTTGTCGTACAAAAGTGTAATGCCACAGTGTTTCATTTTGTTATATGAGAGAACAAATAAATTATATCTAATATCACTTAAATATTATTTGTGTTATTTTGAGTGGATTAAGATTGGTAACAACATAGTTATTACATAATGTCTGCAATCTCAATGTGGATTGGTGGGTATGTCCTTATGGAGCCTCTTGTTACTGATTATTTCAATGTGTGATGTTTGTTGATCTTGAAATTATATATTTTACATTTTTTGTTTATTGATATTGTAGTTTTCACAATTGTTGATCAATGTTATTTGTCTATGACAATGTACTTTATAAATGAGAAGGTTCACAAAGGGTTGAATTGGTCCCAAGATTTTTATATTCGTTTTAATCTTGCCAGAATACTATAAATTTGCATAGACTTAGTTATGATAATACTATTAATACCAATGTCTTTATGACACATCAAATTATACATTACGAAGTTAAGACCCCTTGATTATGCATTATTTGTGTTGAAACAACAGTTTTGGTCTAACTCTTCAATAATTTATGATAGATTTTGGAAAAGTTTACTTTGGCGCAACCTCTGATCCATAGGTTTTCAAATCAACATTTGCACCTTTTGGTCGTAGGTGCAGCCAAATTTTTCTTGAAGCTTTTAGGTGAACACAATAATCTTTTTTGGAAAATATATTTCCAAAATGTGCTGACTTTGGAGCCTTTAATGAAGATACGTGTTTTGCTAAGCATAAAGGGTTTTGAAATAGACCCATTTAAGTACTAAACGTGACCTATATTATAATTTATGATAAAGTTGAAATTCAAGGTCATATTTTGGTAAAAGTGAACCTTGTCCTTTGTTTATCAATGTGATAGTAGCACTAAAGTGTTTGTTTTTATGACATATTTTACCTATTTTGGGTTCAAAGATGAACTTTTTTATACGAGTTTTTTATGTGGCCTTTTTAAATAACTTCAAATTTTTTTTTTTATTTCTTTTTGAATTGTTTTTTAATAGAATTAGGAAATTCACCTGATACTGTTGATATAGATATATCACATATTAAACCACCATAACAAACATTGTCTTCGACATAAAGGATCTGGTCTTTCTGAAGAGTCCTTTTGTGAATTTTATCAAATTATTGGTCCAATATAATAATGGTAGAAGATAACCTTTTTTTAAAAGTTTGTGTGTTTTTTTTTTATTGGTGTTCAAGGCACAAACAATTATTTAACTAGAAAAAATAAAAAGGAAAATTCATGGTACTTGAGATACAGTGTTAAAGACAGCCAAGTTTGAGCTACTGAAGTTTCATTGTTTTTGAAATGCACTGCAAGCTTAGTAACATATTTGCAAATTCGAAAACTCCTTATTTTTAAATTTAAGCTTTTCAAATTTGGAAATTATACTTTCACTCCGTAGATAAGTAAAAGCTATCCTTGTAACATGTCTTTATTTTTTTTTAATTTTTATTGCAATATATAAAAGTTAAAACATGGAACATATCTACTCTTAAATAAAACATAGTGTAATTATCATAAATACTTGATAAGAAAGAGTGGAGCTTATTTTGATTAAAGCAAACAGTATGTTATCCTTTAAGTTAAGTTTTGTAGTTAGTGTCTTACAGTATATTGTAGTTTTTTACACTTTAATTTTGAATTTTGAATTAAAAAATGTTTTGTCATACGTCTGTTTTATAGGCACATTAAGTTCAAGTTATGAATTAGTAGATTCTAATTGTCAAGTGAAAACTATTCCATGCATATTCAGGAGAAGTACAATTTAACAATACATGATTTTGTGTGATGTTAAATGTGACTCAATCAGGAGAATTAAAGTTAAGTTTTGACTGCCACTGAAAAACTAGGTCATACTGTATTGGTTTTGCTGAATGTTGAAGGCAGTATGTTGAATTAGCTATTGTTGCGTACGTTCTCGTCCTGTGGTGTTTGGTGGAGAGTTCTGTCATTAGCAATTACAGTACATGTGGATTGATTTATTTTCATGGGTACCGATTTTAGTGGATTAATGAAAAATTTATTTTCATGGAATTTTGATTTAGAGGTTTTGTAAAATTATAAGCCTAAAGAAAAAAGTAAAATAACAAAAATACCGAACTCCGAGGAAAATTCTAAACGGAAAGTCCCTTATCATATGGCAAAATCAAAAGCTCAAACACATCAAACAAATGGATAACAACTGTCATTTTCCTGACTTTGTACTTTGTTTAACTTTTAAATTTGTGATTCATCGGTACCAATGAAATCCAAGCAAATTGGTATCCCATGAATAACAAACATCATTGAGACGGGAGCCATCTCTGTGGGCCCCGCTGTAAATAACGTGTGGTAAAACATGTGTATGGATAAGCTGATATGAAGCACTTTTTTGAGTTATTACATAGTCTCGTTATGTGCTGAGAGTGATTTTATTCTATGTTTTTTAGTTAAAGTGTTATATTTGGCAATTTAATTAAACTGATAAATATCCTGAACTTACTTTCATAGTATAATGGTGTTGGTTAATATACATGTCAAGTATTAACTTTGAAATCATAACGGTTCTCAAGATATAGAGCGGACAAGATCTTAACCATAGGACATGGGGTCAACTGAAACCAGTTTTTGACCTTTGACCTAAGAAGTACATACATTATGATACACCCTCTGGTGTTGGTTAATATACATGTCAAGTATAAAGTATGAAATCATAACGGTTCTCAAGATATAGAGCGGACACAATTTGTTAGGGATGAACGGACCGACAGACAGACAAACAGACCTAGGAAGTTGCACATACATTAAAACACACCCTCAAGTGTTGGTTAATATACAGGTCAAGTATAAACTTTGAAATCAAAATGGTTCTCAAGATATAGAGCGGACACGATCTTTACCATATACATGTCAGGTATAAAGTATGAAATTATAACGGTTTTCTAGATATAGAGCGGACACAATTTGTTAGGGACGAACGGACCGACGGACAGAAAGACAGACCTTTGACATAGGAAGTTGTACATACATTATAACACACCCTCAAGTGTTGGTTAATATACAGGTCAAGTATAAACTTTGAAATCAAAATAGTTCTCAAGATATAGAGCGGACACGATCTTTACCATATACATGTCAGGTATAAAGTATGAAATTATAACGGTTTTCTAGATATAGAGCGGACACAATTTGTTAGGGACGAACGGACCGACAGACAGAAGGACAGACCTTTGACATAGGAAGTTGTACATACATTATAACACACCCTCAAGTGTTGGTTAATATATATACAGGTCAAGTATTAACTTTGAAATCAAAATGGTTCTCAAGATATAGAGCGGACACGATCTTTATCATATACATGTCAGGTATAAAGTATGAAATTATAACGGTTTTCTAGATATAGAGCGGACACAATTTGTAAGGGACGAACGGACCGACGGACAGACAGACAGACCTTTGACCTAGGAAGTTGTACATACATTATAACACACCCTCAAGTGTTGGTTAATATACAGGTCAAGTATAAACTTTGAAATCAAAATGGTTCTCAAGATATAGAGCGGACACGATCTTTACCATATACATGTCAGGTATAAAGTATGAAATTATAACGGTTTTCTAGATATAGAGCGGACACAATTTGTTAGGGACGAACGGACCGACAGACAGAAGGACAGACCTTTGACATAGGAAGTTGTACATACATTATAACACACCCTCAAGTGTTGGTTAATATACAGGTCAAGTATTAACTTTGAAATCAAAATGGTTCTCAAGATATAGAGCGGACACGATCTTTATCATATACATGTCAGGTATAAAGTATGAAATTATAACGGTTTTCTAGATATAGAGCGGACACAATTTGTAAGGGACGAACGGACCGACGGACAGACAGACAGACCTTTGACCTAGGAAGTTGTACATACATTATAACACACCCTCAAAGAGGGACGAAAGATACCAGAGGGACAGTCAAACTCATAGATCGAAAACAAACTGACAACGTCATGGCCAAAAATAAAAAGACAAACAGACAAATAATAGTACAGATGACACAACATAGAAACTAAAGACTAAGCAACACGAACCCCACCAAAAACTGGTGGTGATCTCAGGTGCTCCGGAAGGGTAAGCAGATCCTGCTCCACATGTGGCACCCGTCGTGTTGCTTATGTTATTACAAATCCGGTAAATAGTCTTATTCGGTAAGTCACATTCGTGAAAAGGGAAGGGTATTGTAGTTACGACATAAGGAACATATCCGATATCATCTGTGAAACGGTTATTCCATAACGGTCAACCAACTCGTGATGGCGTCCGTAAAATTTACGAAGGGATGACTTCAACTTCACTATTTAGTGAGAGAACATCATCTATATAGCGGAACGTAGAGTTAAAGGATATTGCTAACTTCTTATCTCTCTTCCTAAGAAGCTCCTGTATGAAGTCAGCCTCATAATAATAAAGAAACAAGTCGGCAAGAAGAGGGGCACAATTGGTTCCCATTGGAATTCCGACAGTCTGTTGAAAAACACGTCCTCCAAACGTAACAAATATGTTATCAATCAAGAAATCAAGCATCTTGATAATGTCAGTTTCAGAGAATTTTTTGTTTGAATCAGAGTGATTCTTTACAAAGTAGGATGTATCCCTCCCCAAGACAAGATACTTGTATCTACGTTCGCCATTCTTTTTAATGAAACAAAGTAATACCAACTCTTTCAATTTGTCTTTTAGTTTGGAATGGGGAATACTTGTGTAAAGTGCAGAAAAGTCAAATGTTTTAATACTATTGCAAGATGAGAGAGTCTTAGATTGTATGTACTCTAAAAGATCTTTGGAATTTTTTAGTATCCACATCTGATTCACGCCACCTCTAGAATAGGCAGTTTCACAATAACTTTGGAGCCCGGCTTTGATTGCTGATAAAATAGATGTTAATAATTTAGAAAGAGGTTTCGTGGAGCACTTGGAAGACCCAGCAATATACCGTTGTTTGTAAGGACACTTATGTAGTTTAGGTATCCAATACAGTGATGGAAGATCCAGTTCTTCGTCTTTGGTAGAAATTCCAAAGGAACATAGAACAGACCTATGATTATCTGGGATTTCCTCTTTGGTAAATGTCGTGAGGGTATATGTTGAGTTTCCAAGTGAATTGTCAATACCTAATTCATTTATCAAGCAGTTTATGTAATGATATTTACACACAAAAACGATGTTGTTTGGGGCTTTATCTGCGGGGACAACAACATATTTGTCATGGAGGTAGGACAAGTGTTTTGCAACATTTGGGTCTTTAAAAATTGATGTAGCGTGGGTATTGATATGCCCATTTAGTTTCTTAATTCGGATTTGTATCAACGACCTCACAGCCTTAATCCATTCGGAAAGAGTATCTACGTCTTCTTTCTCGCGTTTAGCCCATTGCCTGGCATAATCCTCGACTGAATCCATCAGTATTTTGAAGTTGTATTTCCAATTGATGGATTTAGCCTCACGATATTTCGGACCTTTGGATAACAAATTTCGCAGGGAAGTGTTATTGACAATGTTGAGGTCTCCGGTAATAACGTGGCCAGCCGGATTATATGTGAATTGGGAACTAGCACAGGTGCAATCAGGAGGTTTAGACTTGAAGTCGTCAATGTTGAGATCCTGCAAAACGTGTTTGTATTGAAAATTTTAGTTGCAAGTGTTGGTTAATATACAGGTCAAGTATAAACTTTGAAATCAAAATGGTTCTCAAGATATAGAGCGGACACGATCTTTACCATATACATGTCAGGTATAAAGTATGAAATTATAACGGTTTTCTAGATATAGAGCGGACACAATTTGTAAGGGACGAACGGACCGACGGACAGACAGACAGACCTTTGACCTATGATGTTGTACATACATTATAACACACCCTCAAGTGTTGGTTAATATACAGGTCAAGTATAAACTTTGAAATCAAAATGGTTCTCAAGATATAGAGCGGACACGATCTTTACCATATACATGTCAGGTATAAAGTATGAAATTATAACTGTTTTCTATATATAGAGCGGACACAATTTGTTACGGACGGACGGACGAATAGACTGATCACTATAGGGCAACCCTCCACTAGGCAGGGCCCTAATAATGAATCCACAGTAACCACATCATATTTTCATACCAATTGGGAAGGGCTAGATATTTTATTTTACAACAGATCACCTGCAGACTCTTCTGAATATATCTGTTGATCAGGTTCTGTAATAAGGTGACTATGATAAACGTTTTTATAAAACAGTTATATTTTCCAACTTTTCTCTGTAATAAAACACAATAACAACTAGCAAAATTACTATTTCATTGTTAATACTTTATTAAAAATATCATAATTAACATAAGTAGTGTAAATATATTTAATGAGTGATAACATAAACTATGGACGGATACCTCTATAAAGACCATAAATATAGTCTAAACAATTGTCAAAATAATTATTTCAACTGCTCTGGATTTGTGGAATACCTTTTTATAATTATTAAACTTTTAGATATAAAAAGTTGGAGACATAATACCAATTTAATATGTAGTTTCATATATATTTTGGGCCAAAGATTCAATTTAACATCTGAAATCAAATTATGTCTTGCATTGAAATAATACACTTCAGTCAATGCAGAGTAAGGGAGATAACTTTCAATACAATAATTGAAGATTATCAGTTTTGCAAATGATGACTACCTATACCAGGTTTGTTTATGATGACTAGGTAGAAACTGAATCTGACTTAAAGTCAAAATAAAGGAAAATGTGCAAAATAATCAATTGAATGAAGTACAAATATGAAACAGAAGAAAAACAATTATTGCAGAAAAATACAAATTTTAGAAAATCATTAAGTTGCAGAAAGTTTTGAAAATAAATCAGATAAATTTTAAATTTTGACACTCAAATTTCTAGACAAAAAAGCAACAGAACCTTTTGTTTTATTTTGTGGTTTAACAATTTAAAATCACAAACAAGACATTACAGTGTAAAACTGTAACAACTTGCATATTTCATCACTGCATTAACAATATATTATTGACTACATGTATTACAACTTGAATTCTTTATAAGAAAATTATGAAACTGTTCCAAAATTAAAATTTGATAAGAGTATAGGATTATGAACTGTGAAAAAAAACTGAACGACAGAAACATCCATTTTTATTTATAACTTTTGCTAAATTAGGTATAAAAATATGTTCACTGTATAAAAACATATTTTTCTCTATAGTTGTACAGTGATACTGATTTATTTTTTACCTCTAATTGTAAAATAGTCTTAATATGTCTCCTCCTTGTGCATATTCTAACTTTAGTAAACACACAACATACTCCCTGTATGACATTAAAATAACTAATAGATTACTCTTTACAATAAAAAGTACTTTTGGCATGTGAGATGTATATACGGAAGACCATTGTTTGATTCTTATTTCTGTTGCATATTCTCTTTTTTTCCAGGAAAGCTAATGATAAAGTGGTTATGTGTATTGTATGAATAATATCAGTATTATCACCCATCATCTTATAAAGGTTATGCCTAGTGTAGCATGTAGAAGACTAAAATGACAACAAGGAAAAGTTACGCTAAAGTACATCAACAGAAAATGTTGACACAGTATTTTGCATAGAAATATATAAATCATAGCCCATTATATCTTGAATTGATTAGAACTATCGTAAATCTATTGAAAAATCTAGGCAAACCTTTTCCCATGGATCTCTATGGCCAAACATGCATCAAAATCTAACGAATAAGGTAAAAATGACTATTTATCTATCCAGTTTTAGCTCACTTTATTTATAAAACTGTTCAGGTTATGGTTAACCTGATTGAAAATAACATGTAAGGAATTCGAAACAGAATCTAATAAAAAAAATCACGACAAAAATTTTAAAGAATATGTTAACTCTTTATCAAAAATCTTTTACCTCTTTTCTTTTTAAATTATTACAAATTGCACACTTAAAATTAAGAGAAATCTTAATATTTTATATAAAATTTCAAAAACTTCAAGTTTGTTATACAATATATATTCATTCGGACTGATTTAAATGAATATCTCAAAATGAACAATCATATACTTGAAATGAGTATGGACAGAAAAAAAATCACTTTGAACAGTAGTTTTCTGAACACCTTTTTGTAAAGATTTCTGTTTAGTTTTTGTTTTATTTTCTTCACAACAAAGGTAGAATCTATGAAATAATATTGCGTTTATGAAAAGTATGAAAACAAGAATACAGTTTTTGTGATTGGAAATAGTTTTAAGTAGAACAAAATAAACATGTGCTGTCATTTTTTCTTGCATGTGGCCACTTCTGTTTTGAATACAAAAGAAGCTACATAGAAAAGTGATAACTTTTAAATAAGAAATAACTGTTCAAGTATTAAGTTGATGGTTAAATGCATAGTAAAATTACCTGTATCAAGTTGTATCAACAATGTCATTTTTATTTCACTTTTTAATTCACTATCTTCTATTACAATGAATACAAAATTGACCACTTGTAATAAGTTAAATTATTAAATAGTCTATTGTAACATTTGGCTATTTTTACTGATTCAAAATAATACATATTAAAAAAGGACCTGTAAAAAAATATGAACACATCGTCATTTTTACTATTGCAGCTCGAGTCAAATTTAGGAAACCAATAAAAAAATGCACTGAATAATATAATTTAAAGCAAAACATCATATTTTTTCAATCTAGCTATGATGTGATAATGCCTTTTGTGGATGTAAATGAAAGTTCCTAATGACATATTACAAATGACCATAAGATTCAATATGTTTCTACAATTTTATGAGACAGGCTTAAGAAAATGGCAAGATACAAAGCAATTTGTTTTTGTGGGTTTCTTCTCTAAAATATAAAGCGCTAGCAATACATTTTGCATTATGGTAGAGAATGAAGGAGAAAAGTACAACAGATTTGTGTGTAGTGCAGAAAAAACAGCTACTTTTTATTGAGATTATTCTTGGTGATTCAGACTTATTTCACACTACTATCAGTTACATTTATTGTAAAAGACAGACATTCAATACAAAAAAAATATTTCCAGCAACAAAAAAATTAGTATGCAGATTTTTGGTTGTGAAAACCAGCCAAACAATACTGTTTTGTCAAAATTTAGATTAAAATTTCATTTTTTGCCTAAAACAATATCTAGCATTGCATTGTGCAGTATCTTAAGAAACTTTTTAAAAAATAAACATGTGTTTTCCATCCAAATAACTAGCTATGCATTACGATTTCTGTCTACCCTACCTACATGCATATATCATACCCTTTTATACCTGAGCTCCACCACATAGAAATCCTTATTATGTAAAATGTCAGTTATTATGTTGTATAAAAATTAACCCGACTCCATTATCATGAGGAACATTCTGCATGTTAAAGTAAATCTCAGTATCAATCAAACATTAAGAAGATCTGTATCACATTGCATTGAATCATACCACAATTATAATAATATCTTGCAGTAATTCATGTACTTAGATTCACCACATAAAAGTTATGAATATATACTGAATAAAAAAAGTTTATATTGAATTTTAAAAAAAATTGCAAGAATACATTTTAAACAAATGTTTAAAAATTATTTTAGTAAAAATGCATCTTGTAGTTTATTTATTTTATTACAATATTGAGTAATTGTTATGTTTAAAAGTAGGTTTTATGTTTGAAATACAAAAAATGAAAAAAAATGCAGCTAAAATTTTTTACTCAGTATATATATATTTTGAATAGGGATTGTAAGTGTTTAAAATTCCTTTTGCCAAAGATTTATTCCAACTACAATTTTTCTGCAGGAAAGTATTATCAATTCACAATGTTAACTGTATCTGTGCATAATTCTGATTTTTATGTGGCTCGGCTCATTTACTAATTTGTCTATTATTACTGAGGTATTGGATTACGATAAATACTGATATACATATATTATTATCGGGGGTTATATTTTGATTAGGGTACATAGATTGTCAAATAAATATATGGCACCTATTCTACTGATTACAAGTTATACCACTCATTTGTAAGTAGACTTCATTAATTAATTTCTGGATACACAAGGAATGATTTCAACAATGAAACAAGTAGAAAATTTTCAAACTAGAACAATTGATTTTATTTCCCTATCACAGATAAATAAACTCTATTTCTGGTAATTCCTGATTGTATTGTCAGGACCATCTATATTCAACTTAAAGTGTTGTGTTTAAACTTTTGGTAGAAGCATTGTCAGATGTAAATATAAAATTTATTACACTCGATCATCCTTTCCTTTTTCTCAATGGAGAATAATTTGCATGTGCGTATATGTATATATATCTAAAACAATGAGTAAAAGAAAAGACAAAAAGTATGAGTAAATGCTTAAACAGCTAAATAAATAATAAATATGCAGATAAAAATAGAAAAAAAATAGTGAATAAATAAATCATATCACATTCTTTGTAAAATCACAGTGTAAAAAATGAAGCACTTCACCCCAAGTTATAGGACAATTCATGATTTGGAAAAACTGATATATTTAAGTGGAATAAGCCTTTTGGATAGCTATTCATCTGTTTGTACAACAATTAAACATTTTGAAAACCTTGGTTCAGAAACCCATCAATTCAACCCGGTGAAAAAATCACACAAATGTTGTACAACTTCACTTTATATTGTAGAGGATTATTGCAACTTTGGTTCATTTCTGTTCAATAGTCAGAGTAGGAATACAATGTAATAATAAAACAGACGACAACAGACAACAGAAGACAAATAATGATCCCTATGTTACCACTCTGCTACACACAAAAATCATTATTATTAAGAAATACAGTCTGAAGTTATAAGTTAGCACACAAAGTAAATGTGGGTAACTCTCAACCTGTCTAGTTAACATGAGATGAGAGAGAACAAAAATTTAATTGTACACTATTTGACTTAGGGTGAAATGCTTCCTGTTTTTGACATGGACCACCAATGTCATGTAATTATAAACTGATCACAGACAATATCTATTGTGTAAACAAATTTAACAGACACGATTCCTTGTGACGGTAGGATGAATATATATCTTCTAAACTTACAGACAACATGATTACTGAAATATGAAAAACATTGAAAAGTACCATACTAAAACAGATCTGCACCAATAAGTACTGTATTAAAATGATTGATAATCTTAATGAAACATGTTCTCTTTAAATGCATACTTTTCTAAAGTAATCAGTGAAATGAACAACAACATAAAGGGTGGTTTAATTTTTCCAATTGCTCTTCCTTCTTATATAAACCTTCCAGTATGTATTAAAACAATATGTAAAGTTATTCTTGGAAATAATGTAAATGAAAAACCTGATCTTCACTGAAAAAACTACTATTTATAATGCTGAAATTTTTGTATGATATTCTTAGTGATCACATTTAAGATTTCATGGGTGTTGATTTCATAGTAGGATTCGGTGGGGATGATTCACTGTTTATTGCAATGGTGCTGTTGAAAGACATGTCACTACATACAGAGTTGTCTGGTGAAGCCTCAAAGGTAGCTCGGGGGCTAGCTAGACTCTTTAACGACTCGTCTAGGTAATTCCCTGAAGACAACATGGCCTGAGCTTGTGTCTGTGATCGGGCAATGATTTCATTGATGGCTTCCATTCTGGATTTGTATCGTCTAGAAAAAATAGAAAGTGAGAGATGTAAATTCAACAAAATATTTCAACATACAAATTTTTCATTACAGATTGTATTCAATGTACTAACAGGAACATATGGTATATTTCAGTCATTTTATTGTTATCTCAAATTTCAAACCTGAGCAATCAAGAAAGTACATTAACTGCAAAAGTCAATTTTATAAAGTAACTCACCGACCTTTCTTTATACAAAGTAGAAATTCTAAATGTCATGTAGCATGCACATATCCCAAAAGTTTCCTCAAATATATCTGATTTCTAACTTCTATCTGAATTCAAAATTTGTTGTGAAAAAAAATCCTCACAAAAATTCAATACACAAAAGATCTTGAAAGATTTAATAAAAAATAACTGATGACATTTACTTGTCTGAAGCTGAATTATTGCGTTTCCTCATTGCCTGGCATTGCTGTCTGAGCCTGACACAGTCCTCCTCTAAACTCTGTAATGAGGAGGCTGTGATCTTGTGTAAAGCCCTCTCTGTCTGTAGCTCAGTGTTAAGGTCATGGATATGTTTCTTGTACCGCTGAGCGACTTTTGCATCCTGATCTTTACCATCACTGGTCTTTTGTGACTCTAAATGCATTGACATCTGTTGACTCATCTCATGTATCATCTTGTTCATATCATGCCTGAAATGTAACTCATATCATGTATCATCTCCTTCATATCATGCCTGAAATGTAACTCATGTCATGTATCATCTTGTTTATATCATGCCTGAAATGTAACTCATGTCATCATGTATCATCTCGTTCATGTCATGCCTGAAATGTAACTCGTCATGTATCATCTCGTTCATGTCATGCCTGAAATGTAACTCATGTCATGTATCATCTCGTTCATATCATGCCTGAAATGTGAAATTTACATTCAAGTAAAATTCTTTAAAAGTTGTCAGTTTTCAAAGAAGAACATAAATAAATATTTCCTTTGATAGCTTAAATATTAAAAAATAATTTGGCATTTTCTCTTTATTGCTCATCTAATCTTTATGTAGTACAGGAGTCATGACGATATTTAAGGAGGTTCAACAGGTAAAATGAGTTATATTATAAATATTACCATGCAGACTTCTCTGCCTCTCCGGACTCCTCTGCTTTCTTAGTCAGGAAGTTCCTCACTCGTTTTAGTTCATCTTCCTGCTCGTCTAATCTAAATAATAAGACAGAAAATATATGACATTAAAACAATTTAAAATTCATTGTCATTTAAATGACAATAAAGTATGCTTCTTTTAAAAAGCTCTTTTCTGGATTTACTTGAATTAGGAAGCTCAAAGGCCAAATATTAACTTTTTTTAAAACTAGTGTTAGTTATAAATAGGTGATCATGATCAGATCTACCTTTTGTCAAAACAGAAGTCAATTCCTTGAATTGTATGGTAAGGATACTATAATTCCACTGCACATTTTGGCTCCTTGGTATTGTGAAGGGGCAAACCTTCTGGAATAAACACAGTAAGTACATGTACTGTGAATAAAGTACTTAACAGAAAAAAAAACTGATTGCACTTGAACATTACATGAAAACAATAACATATTAAACAATGGATGAAAGTCATTATGAGGAAATAAACAAGACTTACTTCTTCTGTAATTTCACCTGGAGTTCTTCTTCCGTTTTCCTTGCTTCGTCTGAATGTTTTAATTTAAATGATAATTCCTTGACTTGTTCTTGTAGCTGTAACATATCTTCTTGTAACTGGAAATAAATAATAACCACTACAGTAATGATTAGGCTTAGATCATTGGAACTACAGTAATGATTAGGCTTAAATCATTGGAACTACAGTAATGATTAGGCAACTACAGTAATGATTAGGCTTATATCATTGGAACTACAGTAATGATTAGGCTTAGATCATTGGAACTACAGTAATGATTAGGCTTAGATCATTGGAACTACAGTAATGATTAGGCTTAGATCATTGGAACTACAGTAATGATTAGGCTTAAATCATTGGAACTACAGTAATGATTAGGCTGGTATAACAATCAATAAAACATAAGTATTAAGCTGAAAAGAAATTTTGGAATGTCACTTCAAGATGAACATCAGCAATTAATGGCTGTTTTTTTTTTTTATATATGATCAATTATGTATACTTCGAAGTATACTGTAAAAAAAATTGCTGTTGTGAATACTTTTTCTCATGTTTAGCCTTTTAGCTGACTTTGTGTTGATTAATTGTAACCATTATTCAGTTTTGTTGATGTTTTCATAATAAAAGAAGCCCAAATTTTGTATTTTCGTGGCAATCTATATTCACTATATTTTTGCTCTACCAAAACTTATGAAAATAATTATAAAAAAGTTAACATCCAAACCTTAAGATTTTCCTTGTTCTTGATTTGAACTGTCTCACGAGATTTCTCCAAGTCATTAAAAAGTTGTGTATTCTGTTGTGACAGCTTGTTCCTGTCTGATTCTATCAGCTCCCTAAAAATGTTAATATACATAGGATACATTAAACCAACACAAAGTAACACATGTAAAATGATAAAGGAAGAAACATTATGTTTTCTCTTGTACAATATAGAACAATCAAGGTACAAAAAGTCAATTGGAACCATGATAGTTGTGTAAAACTGTGGACTATCAATTATTATCAATTTCAATGTTTAAATATATTTAAAGAAAAGGTTGCTGTTTAAAGGATACATACCCCATAGGTTAAGAATGTAGCCCCCGTAAGAGCAACAGCAAATAAAAGGTGATTTATAGATACCCAATAACCAAATGAATGGAGAATGTGTCCCATGGACACATCCCGCTTGCATAAAATGCTATAAAGGGACATAACTAGAGAACTGTAAAAGTGACACCACCCAAATTAGAACTTGATCTGTGTTTTGTGGTAATAAGCTTTGTGTATAAGTTTCATAACATTTGGTAACCGCAAACTAAAGTAAGAGCATGAAAAACCAATTTCAGGAGGTACGGCCAGACGGACGAGGGTAAATCTTAATGCCCCCTCCACTATGGGGAAGGCACAAAACTGTCAAATCATTGCTCCTAAAACAAACAATCTGGTACAGCCTGATGGAAATAGATATTACTTGTATAATCCTTACAGTCAAATACAGCACGTAATTCTTACATATGCTGATACACAAAATATCTATACTTACATTTGTTGTGACAAATCTTTGGCAGATTTTTTAAGTTTAGAATTCATCTGAACCTTCTGACTTTCAAGTATCTGTTTTAACTTTCCAACCTCATTCTGAAAATTGAGAGAGAAAAGTTAATCTCATAATAACATCATAAATATGTACTCTGAATCAGAAAACCTATTTTTAAATAGTCTTAGGCTATTTCTGGAAAGTTTTTGCATTTCCATGAACTTTTGATTTCATGGATTTGTCAAAGTCTGCTTAGAAGCCTATACAAATTTTATGCTTCATTGAACATCTAAATTTGTGTTTAACCTTTATTATGTATACCCATGCAAATGTGTACAGTATGAATAATAATGAATCTTCCAATACCTCATTCGGTGCAATATATCATATAGTCATTTTCAATGCCAAAATAGAGTAGTCATGCCCTCTATGATGAGCAGAGGACCTTACTGCATACCTGTAGTACATCCACCTTTTCTTGCTTAGCTCTGGCATTAGATTGCTGACCATAGGCTGTTGCTTCATATTCCTGACTAGCTTCTATGGCAGCCTTTAACTTTTCTCTATCTGACTTTTGTTCCCTCTCAAGTTTACTGATTGTTGACAGTGACTGATTTAGTTTTTCTTCTGTGAGGAACTGAAATAAAAAGAAGTTGATGGGAATATATATAACTGACAAATCAACACATCTTTTTATAAATGGACATAGCACATTTTAGAACAAATAATACTGTTCAGACAAATAAAACTTGCTTAAACTCCAAATTAATTTTTCAGTTAATTAACTGTCAGAAAATAAAGATTAAATTTGAAAGGATATTATGTTTAATTTAATGAAGAATTATTGCTTTGAAATTATGATATTAATGACATTCAAGTAAGAAATTTCATTACACTGCAATAGTGAAATAATATTTCTATTCTAAATGTGAATCAATAGACCTATTTCACTCAGAAATTAAGAGTGGTTGGTAGAAAATTGCATTAAATAAATGCTTAAAGGGCGGTTGTATTCAACAAGAAGAAAAATTGCATAGAAATTAGAAAATTTTATATTTTATTAGGTAAGAGTATTGAAAAAGAGCCTATCCCAGCATTATATTATATAATTACCCTTACTTTATATTCATTTTTACACACTCCACATTTTTATCATTTAAAGCTCAAATTCAGTTGATATTTCAATATTTGGCAAAAATAATTACCCTGTCTTTTCTGCTGTCATGTAGTTGACCTTCGAGGGTATCAGCTCTCTGTTCAGCCACTTTCCGTGAAGTAGACGTATCATGAAGTTGCTCTCTTGTTTCCTCCACCGTCCTCTGAAGAAGTCTGCATTCTATCTGAAGTTTATCCCTGGAGGTGACAGCTGAGGAAAGACTTGATTGTAAAGACTGGATCTGTGACTGAGTCTGCAAAAACATTTTATAATTATTTTGTTATTTATAATTCCTATTACATGTGAATAATTCATACTTACTTTAGGTATATATTCGTATGTTGTTTTCTTTTTCTTATTTTTCAAATTTCACTATGCAGGACTCAAAACTTAATTCCTGTAAGCTTTCTATCTTATATCTATAGTAATATAGTAAAAATCCTGTATTACAAAATACTATCATGAGAATATTTCAATTTAATTTTATTCCTAATTCATTCCCTCTTATTTATATATATATTTGAATTACTTAAGCCTTTAACATGTGTTATGCAGATTACCTGTGAGAGATTATCTTTCAGGTAGAATTTTTCCCCCTCATTAGCACTTTTCATGTCAGCAATAGTTTTCTTGAGTTCCTGTATCTGTACAGTAGATGATTCCTCCAGTCTGTATAGCTTATCTTCTACACCAGCCTTCTCTAGTTGTGTTCTGGACACATTTTCCTGAAATAAGAGGCATCAATATTGGAAACATTGTACTTTGATAATAACATTGAAATACCATATAAACCTAAATTTAAACAGTTCTGCTATTTTGGAACCTACGTAGATATGGTTATATAAGATAACAACATAATTTATTAAAATAAAGTATGTGATCCTCCCAAAACAAGTAATTAATGTAAGAAATCATTTCCATTATCATTCAGTGGAAAATTTTGTCATTAGTTTTTTTTTCAGATGTATTATAAACTTCCCCATATACATCTTTTTATAACAAATTTATTTTGGTCAAAGCGTGTGGTCGATGTTATTCTGAAGAAAATAGTATTTCGATATAATCTTAGTGTTATTTTGAGGGTTAAATTTAGACCTTTCTTGTCTTACTCCTTTTATAAAAGTACTCAAAATTAACAGTTATAAACAGGAAGCAGGGGTTCAAATTAACATTTGGTACTGGAAGGTCCAGGACCTTTGACACTCCAAACTGAAAGGTCCACAACCTAAATTCCAGGTCCTACTTTTACTTAAAATATTTCATAACTCAGTAAGATACAAAATTAATGTGCTTTTGGTGTTTCATTGTCAGTGTCACTGTTGTATAACATGTTCAATAATTAATGTAGTTGTCTTGTATATTATGAATTCGAATAATCTTTTTTTTTTTGTATTGGGGAGGGTGTCACTGTGGGTGGGTGGGTTGTCTCAACGAATGGTAATTAATCACTAATTACTAATCATCTCATTATCTCAAGGCTCACACTTCTTCAGCTCGATTGCAAAAGCTCACTAGAGCTTGTGTTACTTTGTTTACATTGTATCATATCTAGTTGCACTATATTTGTGAAAATAAAGTAAGAAACTTCCATCTATTTACTGGCCCTTCAAAATTGAGAAGAAATCACCCCTTGGAATTGTAGTAATATGTTTACACTTCAAAAACATCTACATGTTATTGTAATATCAACATTTATTTATGATAAAGAAAATTACTGTCACATTGTATTGGATTTTGACATGAAAATTTGTCAACTAAAAGTAATTTTGAGTTTCTGAATACAAAATTTTCTGCCTTTTCTTTCTTTTCCATATATCTTTTGGTATTCAATTCTAGTGTTTATATTTCGTAATCATAGATGTATTTTGTCACCTGCCTGGAATTAATTTTTTTTATTGTATTTGATCGGCAAATAGGAATTACCCTTATCCGTCCCCGAAATCTTATCCGGTATTGTAATTGTCTTCATTTCCTGTTGATGGCATCCATTGTTTTTCAATGTTGTTTTTGTCAGTCGGATACGAATTTAATCGGATTTACACATTACTTGTCAACGATTTTCGGTATAAAGCTAGCGGTTGAACAAAATGAACATCGCTGTCATGAATAATAAAGATGAAAATAAATTTTGAGATCGTTTATTTGGAAATTTTGGTAAAAAGGTCGGCAAAGTTAATTTTTATTTTCTTTCAAATCGAAGGTCCGTCGGGCGTAGCTAGTAACCAAAACGAAAGTCTGATTGCAATAGTGGAAGGTAGCGGACCTCGGACCACCGCTAATTTGAACCCCTGGGAAGAAGACATGTGTAATGAGTGTAACAGCTAATTTCATCCGTTACATGTCATAAAACATATTGGATAGACTTGACCACATTTTGTATATTTTTCAGACACAAGAAATAAAGGTATTTGTCAATCAATAAAAATTGTACATATACCTGATGTCTAGATAATGATTCCTGTAGTTGTTGTATCTCCTTTTTATGACTGTCCAGTAATATCTTCATATCATGAACTGCCATTTGTGATTTCTCATGTTCAATTTCAACCTCTTTCTTTTTTCTTCATAAAAAAGTATCATTATATACACTGTAAATGTTTGCATTGTTTTTATTATTGCTATAATTGCCACGGAATAGGCTTTGCAAATATTTAAACCGGCATTTTGAATATTTACAGCATTATTTATATGCAGCATTTACTGAAATTGCAATAATTAATTTCTCCTTTTTTTTTTGGCATCAATAAAACACAGGGGGGGGTCTCTTCTTATATGAAGGTATATACATATGTGCCGCTGGAATGGGTCCCTTTTTTGATACGTCAAATATATCAATGGGGTGCAATTTTACCAAGGAAATATATCAATAGGTAGTAATTGTATATGCATAAAGGTACTATTTGAGCTGATAAATATATGAATGGGTTATGATTTTGCTGTGAAATATATGTATAGGTAGGGATTTCACAATTATTCAATATATGAATGGGGGGTGTTTTTTAAATTCCAGCCGCACAACTGTACCCAAAATCCCATGTTGAGACCCCCCGTGCAATAAAAGCACACACTGGTTTCTGAATTTACAGTATTCACGTAACAGTCCAAATTTAGAAGCTATAACAATAAATCAGTAACTCACACTATTCTATAACATAAACATTACCAAGTGGTTTCCAAATTGTCTCAGACTTCAAATCAAAATTCCCAGCTTTAAAATTCCTCATGGTTTAAGAGCAATATTTCATATCTACATGCAGAAAGTTCATAATCTATACCTGTATTACATTACACTTTCAGCTGACTTTGTGTCAAATGCTAAACAGTGATAATTTGAAAAAGTATTGAGTCATAGCTAAAGCCTATTTACATTTAAACAAAACAGATAAGACTGATCTACATGATGAACCTACCTGGTGGCTTCTTCTAATTCTTGCAGAGATCTTCCAAAGGTAGATAACTCTGAATCTTTGTTCTTCATTTCAGAACTCAAAGTTGTAACTTGTTCTCTGTAGGAGAGGAAACATTAAATTGTATTGTATAAGCAAATCTTAAGGAAAAAATCTGCCAAAATGAAATTGGTTAAAGTACAGTAGACTCCACCTTATCGGATATCGGCTATTGTAATATTATTTCAAAACACCAAACCCTTCCCTATATGTTTAATGTAAATTTTATCGTGTAATCGAATATCAGATATAAGAATATATCGGCAAATAGGATAAGAATATTCAGGTCATTTTGTTCAAAACCATGCACAATCGGATATTTTCAATATTTTTCTGACAGGAAATGGACCCAGAAGTTATGCAATTACAATCTTGCAGACAAAAAAATTGTTTTTACTTAATAAAAGGAACTATTTCTTAATAAATTGTTGTCTTTATTCATTGTCTTCCTTTGTAATGTGAATAAGATGCCCTTAAAATTCAAATGGTTTGAATTTATTTATAAAATATACAAGAGCAGTACGTTGGGATAATTTTGATAAAACTGTAAGTGCTCACAGAATCAGAAATATGAATGTACCTCCTTTTGAGTAATTTATTGCAATATACATATAAATCCCTTTTGACAAGAGAAATCTGACTTTTGTCGGATATAATTTTGTAACATGTGCATGACCATATGTCATGGACGCCATTTTCTTTTGTTTACAAAATATGAAAAAGCCTCGAGAACCATGACCTTAACAGTAAACGTCTTCAGAAAACTTAAACTTGACGCAATAGTATTTTAACAATCATGATTATCTTCATTGATATTCAAATAAATTTGATTATTTAAAGAAATAAAATATATAACAAATACGATTTCGGTTTAGAGACAGCATATGCTGTAATCTATTTTTAAGCCAAATTAGCTTACCTGTGATTTCACCACATACAAAAGTAAATATGGATATTACTTCATTTATAAAACAAATAAAGACACAAACTATGGATGGTAGATGTCTATTCACATAAATATTTCAGGACATTTGATTTGTTTTAATAAATATAGGATTTAAAAACTGAAAACAAATATGAGCATTACATAACCAGCTGATATTTTATGTTACACAAACATCGTGGTGAGGTATCTTATAAAAATCAATCCAACCCTTTTATATATATATAGCAATGGCCAGGGCTAGTAACATCTCAGGATTAGGTCAACTCATTGCAGAATATTCAATGAATATACATTTATTGTCTAATTGAATATATTGGATAATGGGATATTTTTAGCTGACATTTTTGGTATCCGATTTGCCAGAGTCTACTGTAGTAAAATTTTCCAATAAAAACGTTTTCCTGTTATTACTGAACATGAAATTAATTATGAGAAAAATAGAAATATAGGGTTATTGTATGAATATTTGTAAATATTGTCCAGAGTAGGCTTATATTGCATAAGCTTGCAATAATTAATACTCACCACTATTCATGAAATAACATTCCTATCATATAGAAAAGCTAGAAAACTGTCTAAAACATATTTGTTTCACTGAAGATGTCATATTTTAAAGCTTTACGATATATTATTACATGCTGACTTTTGGTTATGTGCTTTCTATGTTTCTCAACCAGTGATTGCACTTGGATTACAACTAGTTGCTTGGAAATTATCCTAAATAATACAATAACTAATACACAGGCAAATATGAAAGCCACTTAATCCAATCCTTATTCTTACTTAGTGATATCTAATTCCCTCTCTGTTGATGTTTTCTCTAACTCATGTGTATGTTTCTGTAGATGAAGCTCTTTCTCCATGTCAGCCACTGTAATATCTAACTTTGTCTGTAGTTCTATAATCTTCTGATCTTTTTCGCTCATTCTTTTTATCATGTTCTCATATTCTGAAATAATGAAAATGCAGCCATATTGAATTTATTTTCACTCTTTTTTTTGTTTCCAATTCTAAGCAATCAAACACCTGAACCTAAAATGAATGTCTTTACCTCAAAATGAAACTAAGAATACATCTTTTAAGAAACCATTTAAGAACATACATGTAAAGAAGACATATGTAGAAAAACAATTACTTGGAATCATTCCTACTTTTTTGTCCAGATACATCAAACAATAAAATCTGATGTATATGTGTCTCTAGTATGATCTAACTAGAAAATATTCAGAGCAACAGAATATGAATAAAAATAGATGATTTACTGTAAAATCAGAAATGTTTGTGATGGTTTTATCATTGCTTAAATTGAAACTGAATAGGTTCCGCAAAAATTAAAACTTGCATTTTAAAATTTTCATGGCATAACTTGAATGCAGTATTTCCTAAAATCACAATAGTTTATCTCTCTTTTTGTCTATTATTTAAAAATCGCAAAAATAAATGCATGCAGACTGACTGTAATCCATCATACCATGATACATGACTCCTTTGTCTTGTTTGGCATCCTTCAGTGCATCTTGACTGGAATTCAGTTGTTTCTGACAGTCATCTAATTCTGACTGTATATCTCGTAATTCCTGTCTTAAATTCTTGTTCTCTGATGAGTAGATCTGACTGTCATTCTGTAAAGATATAAATCATTATCATCCTTATTTAGCAATAACAGATCACAAATATTATTACACAAATATCCATATTTGTTTATATAAATTAAAACATCCTTTTGGTATTCAGGGAAAATGGACTTTAAAGCAAAATTAACTAAAAAAAAAAAAAATTCACTAATCTAATTTTGAAATTGGTCTTTTTTGCATTTCAAATTGCTCTTCAAAAAGAAAAAATCTGAACTATAAACTTGAAATAACAAGTTTCAACACAACTAGAGCAAATCATTTAAAAATATGAATAACTAAATCTGTTGACTATTACTTAGTACATAATTAGGAGATAACTGTATTGTATTTTAAACTCCGACGGCATCAATTGGTGATTTGATGGTCGCAAATTAAGTTTACTGGTGACACGTTAGCCAATTGATGCCATCGGAGCTTAAAATACAATATTGTTATCTCCATTCTAATGAAACTGACAGAAAACAAAGTCAAATCATGCATTAAAAATCTGTCATACGTATTCTGCGCTTGCGAGTACCTTTTCATAGCATTAATTGTGAATTGATGCCATGAAAATTGGTGACATTATCCAATCAAAATGAACATTACAAACGATGTTGCATGGAATGGATAGTAACTGTCATCAAAGTAGTCAAATAAATCTATCATTTTGCCAAAGATATGTAGGTACCTAATATAATCATATAATAAAAAAGATATTCTTTAAGCAGCAAAATGATATATTGGAAGCACATGTCACTAAATATACAGACCAAACTTTTGTTTCAGTATTAAGTAAAGAACCATTCTTACATGAAAAGTATTTGTTGCTTCTAATTTAAAACAGATAAAACAATGATTTACATTATGTTTCTATCTATGATTTGAAATCAAACAGAAAAATCGTACCCTATTGCAAATGCTATTCATATCAATCCAGTTATCTCATATTAATCTATTTAAATTTTTGGGGGTCATACTCCTATTTAAATTATTGGGGGTCATACTCCTATTTAAATTATTGGGGGTCACACTCCTATTGGTAATCTTTGACGATATGTCAGTGGTTAATAAGATGCCATCCTGTCTCAAAATTTTGTTATACCTTTTACCATTTCACGCAACGTCTATTTTTTTTTCCCCTTTTGTTATAATTATGTATGTTTTAGTATGTTATAAATCATATTTGAGAGTTTGAATCAATTTAGTTATTAACATTTCACAAAATGTTATTTTCCACAATACAGTACCTATTCTACAACAACTACAACATTAGTAAGACTAACTATAAATTACACAAGTGCATGTTATATATGTGCTAATACTACAGTGCAACTACATGTATCAAACTAACTCACACCAACATTAAAACAAACACAATAATTAGTGACAACCAACATGAAACATTAGTGAATCATTTTAACATTAGTGCAATAAAAACATCTATTACTGCAACAAACAACATTTTCTACATATCTTAATGCAGTAGTGCACATCTATATAAAAGCCATTACGTTTAACTTTTCCTTCAGCTGTTTCTCTGTATTGAGATTATTTAACACATGGTCATGCTCCCGCTGGAGCAGATCTAATTTGTGGTTCGATGATGTCACTTCCTGGTGTCTCTCCTCATACTGAAAATATTACGTTACACAATACACTTTCCACAATTTGAATTATGTCTATCAATTTGCAGGTCATAATCATCGCTGCACATAAAGACACTATCAAGAGGTCTTTAAAAAAACATTTACCAGGTTTTATACTGCATGAACTTTGTTTTCCTTTATTTTAGGGGTGAGAAAATTTTTTCAGTCTGTAAGAAATTTGTTGTGGTTACTGCTGCATGGGCACATACTTATTTTCTTTGTCAAAATGTAAGAATCCTATGGCAGGAAATTAAAATGCATAAGTATGAAACTATCAGGTGATCAGTTTCAAGCCAAAACAGAGTTAATTCTTGTATGACTAAGTACTGTACATTGTTAATCTTCATATTTGAAATTCTAATTATAAAAAGAGAAAAAAAAGGTGTTTCTCTATCTCAATTTACAATTCATGTATTTAAACAAAAAAAAGGTCAGAATAAAATGTAATTTTATAGTATGTATGACTTTCTCCTATAGTTTCTAAAGATGCCATATTTAAAGGGACATTTAAATCTTACCATTTTCTTCTCCATTTCTAGTTTAGTTTCCAGGGATGAGTTGATAGTTGACAATTTCCTCTGGTCGTTAGTCAGAGTCTCTACTTGGTATCGTAGCTGTACATTCTCATACTCATTTTCCTGTAAAGACTTTCTCACCTGCTCTAAACTCTTCTCCAGCAGAGAAATCGTGGCATCTTTTTTACTAAACTCAGATTTTTCAATCTATTATTAGAAGAAGTGAAATTTGAAAGGATCTTAAATGTAGTATAAGTGGATGAAAATATAAACTCTTGTATTGAGGAAAGATAAACAAAAATAAAAGTCTATAACATAGCTAGCAGAGAGATACCATGATTTATCTGAGCAGTTACTGGGATTCCAATTGTATTTTACAACTAGGAAAACATTCCTATGAAATAAATATTGGCAATGAGTTATAACAATATTAGCAGAGGCAAGTTTCACTCACATTGTCACTTTACAAATAAGGATTTGACACAAACCAATTGATAAGATTTCAAAAAGTCAATCCATGTAGGTTTTAATCAACAGAACTTGCCTTGGACTTATTGACAGCCCAGGTTTTAGAATTTTTCAGTTTAAAAAAGTTGATTTTTTAATATTTCCATCTGCTTTTTATAATTTAACACAGATTCACACAACATTTATTCCTTCTTCGATTCCATTTCTACATCTACTGTAATATCCAGCCATTAATTACCTCTGTTTGCTTGACTACTTGTAACTGTGCTGTTCTTTCTAAATTCTGTTCCAATTGTGTCAACTCTTTCTGTTGCTGAACTCTTTCACCTGACAGAAACTCATTCAACTGCCTTGATTCAACTCCTTCTTTCATCTGAAACATTTCAATGATAAAACATGTCCAATATATCATGTTATATCTTTCACTTCTCTTTAGATGATGCCACACCCATTTTTGAAGGTCAACATTGGTACAAGTAGAGCTGTATACCAGATATGATTTTGTTCTTTGAAGTTGCTTAGGCAAATATGACAAAACAGACCATTACTTAAATTGAACCATCAATAATTAACCAGTATATCCAATAAGATATAGATCAATAGTTAGAGGTTAACCTGTATATCCAATAAGATATAGATCAATAGTTAGAGGTTAACCTGTATATCCAATAAGATATAGATCAACAGTTAAAGGTTAACCTGTATATCCAATAAGATATAGATCAACAGTTAGAGGTTAACCTGTATATTCAATAAGATATAGATCAATAGTTAGAGGTTAACCTGTATATCCAATAAGATATAGATCAATAGTTAGAGGTTAACCTGTATATCCAACAAGATATAGATCAATAGTTAGAGGTTAACCTGTATATCCAATAAGATATAGATCAATAGTTAGAGGTTAACCTGTATATCCAATAAGATATAGATCAATAGTTAGAGGTTAACCTGTATATCCAACAAGATATAGATCAATAGTTAGAGGTTAACCTGTATATCCAATAAGATATAGATCAATAGTTAGAGGTTAACCTGTAATAAGATATAGATCAATAGTTAGAGGTTAACCTGTATATCCAATAAGATATAGATCAAAAGTTAGAGGTTAACCTGTAATAAGATATAGATCAATAGTTAGAGGTTAACCTGTATATCCAATAAGATATAGATCAACAGTTAGAGGTTAACCTGTATATCCAATAAGATATAGATCAATAGTTAGAGGTTAACCTGTATATCCAATAAGATATAGATCAATAGTTAGAGGTTAACCTGTAATAAGATATAGATCAGTAGTTAGAGATTAACCTGTAATAAGATAAAGATCAATAGTTAGAGGTTAACCTGTATATCCAATAAGATATAGATCAATAGTTAGAGGTTAACCTGTAATAAGATATAGATCAATAGTTAGAGGTTAACCTGTATATCCAATAAGATATAGATCAATAGTTAGAGGTTAACCTGTATATCCAATAAGATATAGATCAACAGTTAGAGGTTAACCTGTATATCCAATAAGATATAGATCAATAGTTAGAGGTTAACCTGTATATCCAATAAGATATAGATCAATAGTTAGAGGTTAACCTGTAATAAGATATAGATCAGTAGTTAGAGATTAACCTGTAATAAGATATAGATCAATAGTAAGAGGTTAACCTGTATATCCAATAAGATATAGATCAATAGTTAGAGGTTAACCTGTAATAAGATATAGATCAACAGTTAGAGGTTAACCTGTATATCCAATAAGATATAGATCAATAGCTAGAGGTTAACCTGTATATCCAATAAGATATAGATCAAAGTTAGAGGTTAACCTGTATATCCGATAAGATATAGATCAATAGTTAGAGGTTAACCTGTATATCCAACAAGATATAGATCAATAGTTAGAGGTTAACCTGTATATCCAATAAGATATAGATCAATAGTTAGAGGTTAACCTGTATATCCAATAAGATATAGATCAATAGCTAGAGGTTAACCTGTATATCCAATAAAATATGGATCAAAGTTAGAGGTTAACCTGTATATCCAATACGATAAAGATCAATAGTTAGAGGTTAACCTGTATATCCAATACGATATAGATCAATAGTTAGAGGTTAACCTGTATATCCAATACGATATAGATCAATAGTTAGAGGTTAACCTGTATATCCAATATGATATAGATCAATAGTTAGAGGTTAACCTGTATATCCAATAAGATATAGATCAATAGTTAGAGGTTAACCTGTAATAAGATATAGATCAATAGTTAGAGGTTAACCTGTATATCCAATAAGATATAGATCAAAGTTAGAGGTTAACCAGTATATCCAATAAGATATAGATCAATAGTTAGAGGTTAACCTGTATATCCAATAAGATATAGATCAATAGCTAGAGGTTAACCTGTATATCCAATAAGATATAGATCAAAGTTAGAGGTTAACCTGTATATCCAATACGATATAGATCAATAGTTAGAGGTTAACCTGTATATCCAATAAGATATAGATCAATAGTTAGAGGTTAACCTGTATATCCAATAAGATATAGATCAATAGTTAGAGGTTAACCTGTAATAAGATATAGATCAATAGTTAGAGGTCAGCCTGTATATCCAATAAGATATAGATCAATAGTTAGAGGTTAACCTGTATATCCAATAAGATATAGATCAATAGTTAGAGGTTAACCTGTATATCCAATAAGATATAGATCAATAGTTAGAGGTTAACCTGTATATCCAATAAGATATAGATCAAAGTTAGAGGTTAACCTGTATATCCAACAAGATATAGATCAATAGTTAGAGGTTAACCTGTATATCCAATACGATATAGATCAATAGTTAGAGGTTAACCTGTAATAAGATATAGATCAATAGTTAGAGGTTAACCTGTATATCCAATTAGATATAGATCAATAGTTAGAGGTTAACCTGTAATAAGATATATATCAATAGTTAGAGGTTAACCTGTATATCCAATAAGATATAGATCAATAGTTAGAGGTTAACCTGTATATCCAATAAGATATAGATCAAAGTTAGAGGTTAACCTGTATATCCAATACGATATAGATCAATAGTTAGAGGTTAACCTGTAATAAGATATAGATCAATAGTTAGAGGTTAACCTGTATGTCCAATAAGATATAGATCAATAGTTAGAGGTTAACCTGTAATAAGATATATATCAATAGTTAGAGGTTAACCTGTATATCCAATAAGATATAGATCAACAGTTAGAGGTTAACCTGTATATCCAATAAGATATAGATCAATAGTTAGAGGTTAACCTGTATATCCAATAAGATATAGATCAATAGTTAGAGGTTAACCTGTAATAAGATATAGATCAGTAGTTAGAGATTAACCTGTAATAAGATATAGATCAATAGTTAGAGGTTAACCTGTATATCCAATAAGATATAGATCAATAGTTAGAGGTTAACCTGTAATAAGATATAGATCAACAGTTAGAGGTTAACCTGTATATCCAATAAGATATAGATCAATAGCTAGAGGTTAACCTGTATATCCAATAAGATATAGATCAAAGTTAGAGGTTAACCTGTATATCCGATAAGATATAGATCAATAGTTAGAGGTTAACCTGTATATCCAACAAGATATAGATCAATAGTTAGAGGTTAACCTGTATATCCAATAAGATATAGATCAATAGTTAGAGGTTAACCTGTATATCCAATAAGATATAGATCAATAGCTAGAGGTTAACCTGTATATCCAATAAAATATGGATCAAAGTTAGAGGTTAACCTGTATATCCAATACGATAAAGATCAATAGTTAGAGGTTAACCTGTATATCCAATACGATATAGATCAATAGTTAGAGGTTAACCTGTATATCCAATACGATATAGATCAATAGTTAGAGGTTAACCTGTATATCCAATACGATATAGATCAATAGTTAGAGGTTAATCTGTATATCCAATAAGATATAGATCAATAGTTAGAGGTTAACCTGTAATAAGATATAGATCAATAGTTAGAGGTTAACCTGTATATCCAATAAGATATAGATCAAAGTTAGAGGTTAACCAGTATATCCAATAAGATATAGATCAATAGTTAGAGGTTAACCTGTATATCCATTAAGATATAGATCAATAGCTAGAGGTTAACCTGTATATCCAATAAGATATAGATCAAAGTTAGAGGTTAACCTGTATATCCAATACGATATAGATCAATAGTTAGAGGTTAACCTGTATATCCAATAAGATATAGATCAATAGTTAGAGGTTAACCTGTATATCCAATAAGATATAGATCAATAGTTAGAGGTTAACCTGTAATAAGATATAGATCAATAGTTAGAGGTTAACCTGTATATCCAACAAGATATAGATCAATAGTTAGAGGTTAACCTGTATATCCAATAAGATATAGATCAATAGTTAGAGGTTAACCTGTAATAAGATATAGATCAATAGTTAGAGGTTAACCTGTATATCCAATAAGATATAGATCAAAAGTTAGAGGTTAACCTGTAATAAGATATAGATCAATAGTTAGAGGTTAACCTGTATATCCAATAAGATATAGATCAACAGTTAGAGGTTAACCTGTATATCCAATAAGATATAGATCAATAGTTAGAGGTTAACCTGTATATCCAATAAGATATAGATCAATAGTTAGAGGTTAACCTGTAATAAGATATAGATCAGTAGTTAGAGATTAACCTGTAATAAGATAAAGATCAATAGTTAGAGGTTAACCTGTATATCCAATAAGATATAGATCAATAGTTAGAGGTTAACCTGTAATAAGATATAGATCAATAGTTAGAGGTTAACCTGTATATCCAATAAGATATAGATCAATAGTTAGAGGTTAACCTGTATATCCAATAAGATATAGATCAACAGTTAGAGGTTAACCTGTATATCCAATAAGATATAGATCAATAGTTAGAGGTTAACCTGTATATCCAATAAGATATAGATCAATAGTTAGAGGTTAACCTGTAATAAGATATAGATCAGTAGTTAGAGATTAACCTGTAATAAGATATAGATCAATAGTAAGAGGTTAACCTGTATATCCAATAAGATATAGATCAATAGTTAGAGGTTAACCTGTAATAAGATATAGATCAACAGTTAGAGGTTAACCTGTATATCCAATAAGATATAGATCAATAGCTAGAGGTTAACCTGTATATCCAATAAGATATAGATCAAAGTTAGAGGTTAACCTGTATATCCGATAAGATATAGATCAATAGTTAGAGGTTAACCTGTATATCCAACAAGATATAGATCAATAGTTAGAGGTTAACCTGTATATCCAATAAGATATAGATCAATAGTTAGAGGTTAACCTGTATATCCAATAAGATATAGATCAATAGCTAGAGGTTAACCTGTATATCCAATAAAATATGGATCAAAGTTAGAGGTTAACCTGTATATCCAATACGATAAAGATCAATAGTTAGAGGTTAACCTGTATATCCAATACGATATAGATCAATAGTTAGAGGTTAACCTGTATATCCAATACGATATAGATCAATAGTTAGAGGTTAACCTGTATATCCAATATGATATAGATCAATAGTTAGAGGTTAACCTGTATATCCAATAAGATATAGATCAATAGTTAGAGGTTAACCTGTAATAAGATATAGATCAATAGTTAGAGGTTAACCTGTATATCCAATAAGATATAGATCAAAGTTAGAGGTTAACCAGTATATCCAATAAGATATAGATCAATAGTTAGAGGTTAACCTGTATATCCAATAAGATATAGATCAATAGCTAGAGGTTAACCTGTATATCCAATAAGATATAGATCAAAGTTAGAGGTTAACCTGTATATCCAATACGATATAGATCAATAGTTAGAGGTTAACCTGTATATCCAATAAGATATAGATCAATAGTTAGAGGTTAACCTGTATATCCAATAAGATATAGATCAATAGTTAGAGGTTAACCTGTAATAAGATATAGATCAATAGTTAGAGGTCAGCCTGTATATCCAATAAGATATAGATCAATAGTTAGAGGTTAACCTGTATATCCAATAAGATATAGATCAATAGTTAGAGGTTAACCTGTATATCCAATAAGATATAGATCAATAGTTAGAGGTTAACCTGTATATCCAATAAGATATAGATCAAAGTTAGAGGTTAACCTGTATATCCAACAAGATATAGATCAATAGTTAGAGGTTAACCTGTATATCCAATACGATATAGATCAATAGTTAGAGGTTAACCTGTAATAAGATATAGATCAATAGTTAGAGGTTAACCTGTATATCCAATTAGATATAGATCAATAGTTAGAGGTTAACCTGTAATAAGATATATATCAATAGTTAGAGGTTAACCTGTATATCCAATAAGATATAGATCAATAGTTAGAGGTTAACCTGTATATCCAATAAGATATAGATCAAAGTTAGAGGTTAACCTGTATATCCAATACGATATAGATCAATAGTTAGAGGTTAACCTGTAATAAGATATAGATCAATAGTTAGAGGTTAACCTGTATGTCCAATAAGATATAGATCAATAGTTAGAGGTTAACCTGTAATAAGATATATATCAATAGTTAGAGGTTAACCTGTATATCCAATAAGATATAGATCAACAGTTAGAGGTTAACCTGTATATCCAATAAGATATAGATCAATAGTTAGAGGTTAACCTGTATATCCAATAAGATATAGATCAATAGTTAGAGGTTAACCTGTAATAAGATATAGATCAACAGTTAGAGGTTAACCTGTATATCCAATAAGATATAGATCAATAGCTAGAGGTTAACCTGTATATCCAATAAGATATAGATCAAAGTTAGAGGTTAACCTGTATATCCGATAAGATATAGATCAATAGTTAGAGGTTAACCTGTATATCCAACAAGATATAGATCAATAGTTAGAGGTTAACCTGTATATCCAATAAGATATAGATCAATAGTTAGAGGTTAACCTGTATATCCAATAAGATATAGATCAATAGCTAGAGGTTAACCTGTATATCCAATAAAATATGGATCAAAGTTAGAGGTTAACCTGTATATCCAATACGATAAAGATCAATAGTTAGAGGTTAACCTGTATATCCAATACGATATAGATCAATAGTTAGAGGTTAACCTGTATATCCAATACGATATAGATCAATAGTTAGAGGTTAACCTGTATATCCAATACGATATAGATCAATAGTTAGAGGTTAATCTGTATATCCAATAAGATATAGATCAATAGTTAGAGGTTAACCTGTAATAAGATATAGATCAATAGTTAGAGGTTAACCTGTATATCCAATAAGATATAGATCAAAGTTAGAGGTTAACCAGTATATCCAATAAGATATAGATCAATAGTTAGAGGTTAACCTGTATATCCATTAAGATATAGATCAATAGCTAGAGGTTAACCTGTATATCCAATAAGATATAGATCAAAGTTAGAGGTTAACCTGTATATCCAATACGATATAGATCAATAGTTAGAGGTTAACCTGTATATCCAATAAGATATAGATCAATAGTTAGAGGTTAACCTGTATATCCAATAAGATATAGATCAATAGTTAGAGGTTAACCTGTAATAAGATATAGATCAATAGTTAGAGGTCAACCTGTATATCCAATAAGATATAGATCAATAGTTAGAGGTTAACCTGTATATCCAATAAGATATAGATCAATAGTTAGAGGTTAACCTGTATATCCAATACGATATAGATCAATAGTTAGAGGTTAACCTGTATATCCAATAAGATATAGATCAAAGTTAGAGGTTAACCTGTATATCCAACAAGATATAGATCAATAGTTAGAGGTTAACCTGTATATCCAATACGATATAGATCAATAGTTAGAGGTTAACCTGTAATAAGATATAGATCAATAGTTAGAGGTTAACCTGTATATCCAATTAGATATAGATCAATAGTTAGAGGTTAACCTGTAATAAGATATAGATCAATAGTTAGAGGTTAACCTGTATATCCAATAAGATATAGATCAATAGTTAGAGGTTAACCTGTATTAAGATATAGATCAATAGTTAGAGGTTAACCTGTATATCCAATAAGATATAGATCAATAGTTAGAGGTTAACCTGTATTAAGATATAGATCAATAGTTAGAGGTTAACCTGTATATCCAATAAGATATAGATCAATAGTTAGAGGTTAACCTGTATATCCAATACGATATAGATCAATAGTTAGAGGTTAACCTGTATATCCAATAAGATATAGATCAAAGTTAGAGGTTAACCTGTATATCCAACAAGATATAGATCAATAGTTAGAGGTTAACCTGTATATCCAATACGATATAGATCAATAGTTAGAGGTTAACCTGTAATAAGATATAGATCAATAGTTAGAGGTTAACCTGTATATCCAATTAGATATAGATCAATAGTTAGAGGTTAACCTGTAATAAGATATATATCAATAGTTAGAGGTTAACCTGTATATCCAATAAGATATAGATCAATAGTTAGAGGTTAACCTGTATATCCAATAAGATATAGATCAAAGTTAGAGGTTAACCTGTATATCCAATACGATATAGATCAATAGTTAGAGGTTAACCTGTAATAAGATATAGATCAATAGTTAGAGGTTAACCTGTATGTCCAATAAGATATAGATCAATAGTTAGAGGTTAACCTGTAATAAGATATAGATCAATAGTTAGAGGTTAACCTGTATATCCAATAAGATATAGATCAATAGTTAGAGGTTAACCTGTATTAAGATATAGATCAATAGTTAGAGGTTAACCTGTATATCCAATAAGATATAGATCAATAGTTAGAGGTTAACCTGTATTAAGATATAGATCAATAGTTAGAGGTTAACCTGTATATCCAATAAGATATAGATCAATAGTTAGAGGTTAACCTGTATATCCAATAAGATATAGATAAAAGTTGATTGAAATGATCAGGCACTATTGTAAATTATATATTAATATACCTTAAGAATGAGTTGATTAGTCATACGAGCGATGTCTAAATGATATAATATAACTTAAGAATGAGTTGATTAGTCATACGAGCGAAGTCTATATGATATAATATACCTTAAGAATGAGTTGATTAGTCATACGAGTGATGTCTAAATGATATAATATACCTTAAGAATGAGTTGATTAGTCATACGAGCGATGTCTAAATGATATAATATACCTTAAGAATGAGTTGATTAGTCATACGAGCGATGTCTATATGATATAATATACCTTAAGAATGAGTTGATTAGTCATACGAGCGATGTCTAAATGATATAATATACCTTAAGAATGAGTTGATGAGTCATACGAGCGATGTCTATATGATATAATATACCTTAAGAATGAGTTGATGAGTCATACGAGCGATGTCTAAATGATATAATATACCTTAAGAATGAGTTGATGAGTCATACAAGCGATGTCTAAATGATATAATATACCTTAAGAATGAGTTGATGAGTCATACGAGCATGTCTAAATGATATAGTATACCTTAAGAATGAGTTGATTAGTCATACGAGCGATGTCTTCTCTATTACTTTGATTATCACTGTGCAGTAGTTCTATTCTTCTCTGTAAAAACTCCAGATCCATTTGTTGACGACTATGAACAAATATATGAAGAAAATATTTGAACAGATATTGGTCAGGGTTGATTCTAATCTAGTGATTTATGAAAAACTATTTGCAAGTGTGTTTTCGACTTTATGGATCAAGATTTGACATTAAACATTTACATTAAATTTACGGCATTCAGTTACATTACCTGCCATCAATATGAAGGTCAGTTTATATTTTTTCTACACATTGTAAATAACATCACTAATGAACTGCATTGGGCATAATTAATGTCAGATACAATCAACAGTTTTTGAAAGTTTTTTTGACATAGATATTTATTCTACAATTAATCAGCCAACCATGAATCTGAATGTTGAAAAACATGAATAATAAAACTACCCATTCATAGATTTATATCTAAAAGTATAATTTTTGCAATTGTAATAGGTGGTCCAGTTACTGTGGATTCATTTATTTTTGTTATTACCAATTTCAGTGGATAGAGGAAAGATTGCATTTTCGTGGATATTAGATTTCATGGTTTTTGCCCTTCTGCATACAAGCCTATAGAAAATTTATACTTTGTTGAACTTGGCAACCCTTTTCCAACAAAATTGTTATCCCAAGAATAATAAAGAGCTGTGCCATGAGTGCATGATAAGCCCGTCGCTTTTTCAACGAATAAAGTTCCATACCTCCTTAATGTCATATGAGAAATTAATAAAAAAAATTAAAGGGAGCTTATTTTAATAGATATAAACCATTCACCAAAGTTTCATGAAAACTGCTTAAAGTAATTTTGAGTTATTGTCCAAAAACTGGAAAATCCCCCCTTTTTTTTATAAATGATATCCAAGTACTCCAAAACGAAAAATCTAAAATTTATAAAAATCGAAAGGGAGCTTACATCAATAGATATAAACATTTCACCACAGTTTTTAATGAAAATTGGCTAAAGTGTTTTCAGGTTATTGTCTGACATGTTGACGACAGACAACAGTATACCATAGTACGTCCCGTAAACGGGCGTATTATAATGAATCTGTAGTAATAAGACATTTTCTGGACCTGAAAACAATTACTACCATACCTTGCCTTGGTTTGGAACATTTCTAACTCTTTATCCTTAGATTCCAGTAATGACCTGAGAGTTCCCAGTTCTTCAGCCATCTACAACAAGAGAAATGAACAATGTAGGTGTATAATATGTCTCTTCTTGTGTCTATGAATTCTTATAGGTTGCAAATCTTTGGTTGGAATATAATAACTAATCCAAGAATTCAAATATAGCAAAATAGTCACAGAGTAATCAAACAATACATTATTTCCTGAATATGCATAGCACATGAGTTATTCATCATTGCTGTTCATTCATGAGTTGAATATTTTCAGATATTTTAATTCTTGCATTAGTTCTTCTTTTTATTACATTGACTATGAACTTCTTAATGGGAATCAAATCAGAAATGAAAGGAACTGTATCTTTTTTTTTGCATTCTCAATTTTTTTGATGCAGAGTCATTGACAACGTCTTGACAAGACCTATTGTTGTATGACATCAGAAAAGTGAAATTATCAGATTTATTTCACATGTGAAATTATCGGTTTTTACTTCAATGGGAAATCACGATAATTCATTGAAACAATAATAATCTAATTCTTTTTTTTTAAGCTGAGTGTTTAATACAGCACTTTGACCCCCCAAAAAAAAAAAATTAAAGGGGAACCCACACATTAAAGCATCAGAATCAAAGTGTTATATATCTATTTTAATTTTGCATCATTGATCAATCAGAAATTTCAATTTCAGGAATAACACTCCCACAGATGATTTCATCAAGATCTTAAGCATCGGAAGTTTGAAAGTTGGATTCCTAGATGGAATCTATAAAACATAATTTGAGAAAATCTACATAAGCAACCATTTTGTTATTGTCTTTTGGCAAAAAAAAAAATGGTTGTGTAGAATCTAAGGAATACTGAATATTCATCTAGCTTTTGGAGAAACAGCGCTGATTTTTTTGCAGTTCATCGTCATAAAGAATACTATCAAAGACCAGAGCACTTCCCTTATTGAAGGCATGATTAATTAAATTAAAAACAGTTATTTTCTGCACATTAAGGGCTAAAATATGATAGTACATGTATATTGTAGTTCTAACCTGGCTAAACTCTGCTGGTACATCATCATACTGGTTTCCAAAATTACCAAGCTGTTTTCTGGCCTCATTCTCCAAGGTTTCAACCAGCTCTTGTAGTTTGTTTTCTAGTTTTACAATGTCTTCTTCAGACTGAGCTTTCTCTTGTATCAAGGCATCATGTTCTTCTGCTATCTCCTGGTCAAATACAAAGTTAGGATGCTATTTTAAATCTCAAAGCTAAATTTGATTATTTTGTTTTTCTCAAATTTCTGGATAAGTCAATGAAAACTATTTTCATAAAATGTCTTGTCTGGAACATATGCATGAAATATTGCATATTTTCTTTCTTCAATCAATTTTCACACTGCTTTTAAATTTTAGGAAAAAATTTCAAAGCAAATTAACTTTAATTTTGTTTGACTGACTTTGTAAACAGATAGATGGTACGGGGTAGATAGTTTATGTCCTTTGGAAGACAGGCATATACAAATTTAATGCTTTTTTTAACCTAATTTTATATATATAAAAGTATCTTGAGAATGCAGAGTAAATTCAAGCCTCCTATAAAGGTCATCTCTACTAAGCAATCAAAGCACTAAAGCGCTGCAAAGGCAGTTAATTACAGGTTGTGTGTATTTTAAGTCCAGTTATATCATTATCTTGCATAGTACAGTGTACTTATCAGAGGTGGCTTTCAGTATTTAAGATTTAGATATTGAATAAGTTTTATGAATGTCATATTCTGAGCACTATATGAAGGCGATTGTTCTCACTTGTTTATGAACTAGTGCATTATGTCCAGTTTGTACCTTTTTTATCTATGTTTATAGTCAAATTAGTTATCAAAGGTACCAGGATTATAATTTAATACGCCAGACGTGTGTTTCGTCTACATAAGACTCATCAGTGACGTTCAGATCAAAATAGTTACAAAGCCAAACAAGTACAAAGTTGAAGAGCATTGAGGACCCAAAATTCCAAAAAGTTGTGCCAAATACGGCTAAGGTAATCTATTCCTTGGATAAGAAAATCCTTAGTTTTTTCATTGGCAATCATAACACATCTCCTTATTTATATAATGATCTATATTCAACGACCTCAGGTACAAAAAAAATGTATGTAACTAAACTATGATGGGAAACCTTTGACTTCTTTCTTTATATAAACTTTTGATTTGGTACCATAGAACTATGTAGAGTAAATGTACATTGCAACATGTCAACTCTTTCAACTCCAAGCAAAATTATATTTCCAAGCATAAAGTAATTTATGAATGAAATAAAATGCTCCGCTGGGGCGCAGCTTGATACGACCACAGAGGTCGAACCCTGAACAGTTGGGGCAAGTATGAACACAACATTCAAGCTTGATTCAGCACTGAATTTGGATTGTAATTAAATATTTGACACAGCATTGGTTTCTGACACAGAATGAAAGTGGTCTAAGATACTTAAAAAAATTTAATTTACCTATTCAAACCATATCATTATTATTTGCTTTTATATATAAATCAGAAATAACCAATTTAAAATGGAAAATTTTAAAGAAAAAAATGGAAAAAGAATCCCCCCCCCCAAATTTTTTGAACCCCCTTATGATTCATCACCCCAAAACTCAATCCCAGCCTTCCCTTTGTGGTATGGTACCTTGCAGTACAATTTCAGAGAGATCCATACACTTGAACACATGTTATTGTCTGGAAACTAGAAAAATGCTTGTTTTTTGGCCCCAAATTCCTAAACGTTTAGGGCAATTACCCCCAAACTCAAACCCAGCTTTCCCTTTGTGATATGGAACCTTGTAGTACAATTTCATAAAGATCCATACACTTACACACAAGTTATTGCCATGAAACTAGAAAAATGCTTGTTTTTTGCCCCTTTTTGGCCCCTAATTCCTAAAATTTGGAGGCAATTACCCCCAAAATCAATCCGAGCATTCCCTTTGTGATATGGAACCATGTGATACAATGTCAGAGAGATCCATAGACTTACACACAAGTTATTGTCATGAAACTAGGAAAATGCTTCTTTTTTGCCCCTAATTCCTAAAATTTGGAAGCAATTACCCCCAAAATCAATCCCAGCATTCCCTTTGTGGTATGGTACCTTGCAGTACAATTTCAGAGAGATCCATACACTTGAACACAAGTTATTGTCTGGAAACTAGAAAAATGCTTATTTTTGGCCCCTTATTCCTAAACTTTTTGGGCAATTACCCCCAAACTCAATTCCAGCTTTCCCTTTGTGATATGGAACCTTGTAGTACAATTTCATAAAGATCCATACACTTACACACAAGTTATTGCCATGAAACTAAAAAAAATGCTTGTTTTTTGCCCCTAATTCCTAAAATTTGGAGGCAATTACCCCCAAATTCAATCCCAGCATTCCCTTTGTGATATGGAACCTTGTGATACAATGTCAGAGAGATCCATAGACTTGCACACAAGTTATTGTCATGAAACTAGAAAAATGCTTGTTTTTTGCCCCTAATTCCTAAAATTTGGAGGCAATTACCCCCAAAAATCAATCCCAGCATTCCCTTTGTGATATGGAACCTTGTGGTACAATGTCAGAGAGATCCATACACTTACACACAAGTTATATCTGGAAGTTACAAAAATGCTTATTTTTGGCCCCTTTTTGGCCCCTAATTCCTAAACTGTTGGTACAATAACCCCCAAAATCAATCCCCACTTTTTCTTTTGTGGTATTGAACCTAAATTTAAAATTTCATTGAGATCCATTCACTTAAACTAAAGTTAGAGTGCGAAAACTAATGTGTCTTCAGACGACGACGCCGGACGACGCCAACGTCATACCAATATACGACCACAAAAATTTTTTTGCGGTCGTATAAAAAGGAGTTTTTAATTGAGAAATAAACTGATTCGCTGAGCGCAGCTGGATACACCCGCAGAGGTACTACCCTGAACAGCTGGGGCAAAAATGGACACAATATTCAAGCTTGATACAGGTCTGAATTTGGATTGTAATTAAATATTTGACATATTATAGTTTCTGAATAAATGTTGTCAATGAACTTGAAATCGGTTATATGAATTGAATTTATATTCAATTAAAGATTTCTTGCTGTTGTGCAATACACTGTGCTGTTGTGCAATACTTAATAAATCTGTTGCCAGACTATAAACAAATAAAGTTCAATTTCTTCTCAATGTCATATTTGAAATTTATGAAAATCAATAGGGAGATTATATCAATAGCTATAAATAATTCACCAAAGTTTCATGTGAACTGCCTAAAGCATTTTTGAGTTGTTGTCCAAAAACTGGAAAATCCCCCCTTTTTTAATGAATAAAACCCCATAACTCAGAAATGTAAAATCTAAAATTTATAAAATTCTAAAGGGAGCTTATGGATTGATAATTTAGTCTTAGATGCAAGATTTTTTTATCAGTTGTTAGTGGCTTTGAACTAGCTGTCAGTAACTGCGAGTACTCTCAGATTTGTACTTAGTGTCTTTTTGTTGTTTGGATGTACAACTACCCGACCATGTCCACTTGTATTTGTATTTATCCATCTGATGAGTTTAGCCTCTTTCAACTGATTTTTATAGTTCTTTCTTATATTGTACTGTTACACCACTGTCCCAGGTTAGGGGGAGGGTTGGGATCCCGCTAACATGTTTAAGCCCGCCACATTCTGTATGTACATGTATGTGCCTGTCCCAAGTCAGGAGCATATAAAAGTGTAATTCAGTGGTTGTCGTTTGTTTATGTGTTGCATATTTGTTATATTTGTTCATTTTTTTACATAAAATAGGCCGTTAGTTTTCTTGTTTGAATTGTTTTACATTGTCATTTCTGGGCCTTTTATAGCTGACTGTGCGGTATGGGCTTTGCTCATTGTTGAAGGCCGTACTGTGACCTATAGCTGTTAATTTCTGTGTCATTTGGTCTCTTGTGCATGTGTGGAGAGTTGTCTCATTGGCAATCATACCACATCTTCTTTTTTATATTTACATCAACAGATATAAAAAATTCACCAAAGTCAAGGTGAGACAACAAAACTTAGTTGTAAGATCTCTGAAATTTTTTACAGGGTACGAGTTTTTCTCATTGTTGGAGATTGAACGGTGACAGTAACACCTGTAACTGCTTAAACCCATTTCTTATGCACTTTAGTTTGATAAACTCACTGAATATCATACCACATCTCCTTATTTTTATATGCATTACAATTTACATGTGCATGTAATTGTAAATATATACATGTATATATCAGAACAAAATTCATTGCGTCACTTTTATTCATGCATCCTTTGGCACAATACAAGTTCTAAAATTACACAACATAAAACAACTAAATGTTATTTCAGATGAAAGTTTTGTTTCAGTTCCATTCATAGGATTTATTAGAATTTTGTATGTTTTGCCAAGTCCAATAATTCGCTCTATGTGACATAGAGACATAGTTGACTAAACCACCAGGTGTCGAACATTCAAGAAATTTCAGCGTTTCTGTTTTTATTTGATGAAAAGGTTGCCTGAGCTCTAGGAGCTTTAGGTTTTATCACGGGATATTCTGTGCTGTCAATAATAATCCAAGTCGTAGGAAACTTTAATTTGAAGTTGGATGGTGAAAAATACCTGACTAAACCACTAGATGGCCAAGTGTTAGCCTCACACCACTGTTTAGACATAAAAACAATCCATGTATACACAATATTCTTAACACTAGATTCAATCTAGAATCTAGACAGTTCAAAGTTGGTTATATGATGCCTCAATTTCATCAAAGTCATAAAAAAACTGATTTTCAACTGACACCCTATCAATTTGAAAATATATGTATCTCAAACAATGTGCTGCTGGACCAAGTGTGGTCAAAACAAATAAAAATTTAGTATACAACTCTAAACCCGTATAAAAATGCATGGCTGTGTCACGTGTCTTCATTTCAAAATTCTCTGTTAAAAACATAGGCATTGATGGTGTTTGCGTAATTCCATCTGTGAAGCTCAACATTAGCTTGGCAGTTGGTGGTGGACAGTCATAAATCCTTTCTGCAGTATGAATGACTTCTTCAGGAAAACCAACTTTACAATCAAAACTTTCCTCTAGATTTCTACTACAATATTCATCAAGTTTAGTTCTTTTGTTTTCACAGGAAACTGCCCTGATTTTTCTTTTTGCAGACGATTCAGTCTCTTGCTTGGTCCAGGAAAATAGGCTGGGAATTGCAGTAGACTTAAGTCTCTGTATGGTGGGTTTGCGCCCTGAAAAAGGTTATAAAACATTAGTTTTTTTATAATTAAATGAACTTCCATTAGCAATGTATACTTTGTACTACAAGGCGAAATATTAACTACATGTAGATTTATTCATTACAATCTGGATAAAACTATGTTTGCCTGATTCAATGTATGTTACAGTATGTAAATCCAAAGGACAAACAATGAGAGACTTATGCAACAAACGTACATTGTTTGTACCTAAATAACTATAATATAGATGACAGCATGTCATTGTTTTGTTCCTGTTAACATTGTCATTGATATTTTTCAAGAAAGTCTATGAGGCATAGCTTAATTATGTCATTACTACATTAGCATAATTACTGCTAAAATAATTCTCAGTATGATATACCTCTTGTAAGAAATCATTATAATTGTAGCAATCACCAAAAAATCTCAAACAGATCACATTGAATCGTAATCCAAAAAATTATGACGTCTTGAATTACCCACCCCCTTTTATTCTAAAACGATAATTGCGGTTGTAAACAGACTTTGGTTTATTCGCATGGCGATTACATATATAACTATATATTTCACAAAGAAAATAGAGTTTTACCATGAATAGTTTCCTGCACGTAGTCTTTTTCAGTAAAACGTGCCTTGCAAACAACAGCTGATTGAGATGGACTCCACGATATCATCGTGTTCTCGTCCAATCTGCGTATGGGCCATGGCGTTGATCCAACTTTTCCTTCTTTTTAAGTCATTTGGAAATGCATGTCCTCCTCTTAAATGACATCCAGGTACACAACAACAAGTACTTGGCATCGTTAATTGAAAATATAACTGAAATAGTTGCACAGTGCAGAAACCGGAAGAAGAGGAACAGGATCCGCTACCACGGCGCCACCTATTCAGGAACGATAATTTGCTACTTTATATAACTGCGAAAATAACGTTAGACGGGTTCACGTGCATAAACAGAAATGCGCTTTAAATTGTATAATATAATTCATGTTCAGTCGACCTTTAATTATTATATCAACGATTGAAATGATTTATAAACATCTAGATTGCAGATAACACTCGAAATTAACCCGAGCTCTTTCCACACGGAATTCAAATAATATCTAGTTTGTCAATCGGTTGACTGCTTATAATGCAAAATATTAATATATCAAAAGTTTTTAAAACTAACAAAACACAATGATTGTTTCTCTATTTCCCAATGTAAATGAAATGAAACAAAAAACATTTTATATCGCAATAAGAAGAGGAGAGAATTCAACATTTCCGGATCTACTTGGAGTCTAATGACCCCCCACGTAGATAAGTTGGATATCGCGGAAGGAAGGATTAACCCGGCAACTTGAAAGGCATTAAAGCACTGCCTTTAAAAACCAGTCTTTGCAGGTCACCCTCTTGTTCTGATGTAGTAATATCTATGCATTTTGAACCTCAATTGAAAGGTCATCTCTTATAAGGTCAGTTTTCAATGGTCTAGTTAATTACCTTTTATACAGGTTTCTTTTTTGACTGTATGATGAATTCTCATCTGACAAAAAGTATATAACCCACATATAAATATCTTATAAAATTGAGAATGGAAATGGGGAATGTGTCAAAGAGACAACAACCCGACCATAGAACAGACAACAGCAGAAGGTCACCAACAGGTCAATGCAGCGGGAAATTCCCGCACCCGGAGGGGTCCTTCAGCTGGCCCCTAAACAAATATATATACTAGTTCATTGATAATGAACGCCATACTAAACTCCAAATTGTACACAAGAAACTAAAATTAAAAATAATACAAGACTAACAAAGGCTAGAGGCTCCTGATTTGGGACAGGCGCAAAAATGCGGCGTGGTTAAACATGTTTATGAGATCTCAACCCTCCCCCTATACCTCTAGCCAATGAAGAAAAGTAAACGCATAACAATACGCACATTAAAATTCAGTTCAAGAGAAGTCCGAGTCTGATGTCAGAAGATGTAACCAAAGAAAATAAACAAAATGACAATAATACAAAAATAACAACAGACTACTAGCAGTTTACTGACATGCCAGCTCCAGACTTCAATTAAACTGATTGAAAGATTATGTCTTCATCATATGAATATCAGGCACAATCCTTCCCGTTAGGGGTTTAGTATCATACCATCATAACATATATGAGAAGAACATAACCCGTGTCTTAATCCATTTACAAAAGTGAAAAATACCTCGAGATGTTGTTCTAATTCTCCTTTCTCTGAAGAAAGCTGTAAGAGATCTGCCTTCTGATTGGTTACTTCTTCCTGTAGTTTTTGTAGTTCTGAGGCCATTTCCTGCATTTCTTCTTCAGTTGTTTTTAATTTAGAATATGCCTCCTGAAAATATGTTTAATCAAATATATATGACAGTTGTTTTCCATACTTTGATGTGTTTGAGCTTCTCATTTTGCCATTTGATAAGGGTCTTTCCGTTTTGAATTTTCCTTGGAAATTGGTATTTTTGATATTTTACTATATACATGTACTTCCAACACTGATACATTCTCAACATGGTAGGACATCTGTTTGAATGTACTTGATCTAGGAGAGTTGTAATATATTAATTCTTAACTTCAGATATATAAGATACCTGATAACATAGAAAAAGACATTTCACCTGTAAAAAGACAGTGATTCACAAACTTACAGGAATATGACCTAATAAATTGAGTAAACAGTTTACAACAAAATATGACTTTATTAGATGATGAAGAGATATACTAACCAGCAGCTCTGATTTGATCTTATCTCTCTCCAGTTCTGTTACTAAAGTTTCAGGTACCATAACTCCTCCTGGAGTTTCATTATGTGAATTCCTCTCTAACTGGTGTATTTTATCAGTTTGTTGACTAAGTTGAACTTCTTGAATCTTAATCTGAAATATATATATATATATATCAACAAAATGTCATTAAAAAGATAACAGGTCACAATTTCCAACCAAAACTTTAAGGTTTTGTCCTAATCCCTTTCGGGATTCTGTGTCAAGAGAGATTTTCTGATTTGGCTGCCCTCAGAAACCCTTATCAAGCCCTATTAACTCTTTTCAGGGAAAGCTTTATAAACTATATCACCTCCATACACCAAATTTAATTAACCTATTACTTATATTGTCAGAAATACTGACTTGACCAATATATCTTAACCATGATCACTGATCCATGAAATGACAAAGAGGTCAGATGAACCCTGCCTGACTGACATGTAGACCTTACAATGATTCATTAAATGGATATCCATACAATACCATTTAAAACAATTAACATATATTTTAAACAATCATTTTCCCCAAAGAAGAATTTATTACAATTATCTTTCAATTTATTATGTCAAAATTGCAAACAGGATGGTATTGACAAGATTTCAGCATCTGCAGTTCAAAAACATCTTAAATAAACAAAATCAATTCTACACACTTAGTCCTATAAAGAATTTCAGTACCTGTCCTTCCTTTTTCTTGAGATCTGCATGTACAGAGTCCAGAGTGCTCTTTAAGATTTTGTATTGAGACAACTGTTCCTTTTCTGTTTCAGAGATCGCATCAATAATTCTACCTCTCTCCTCAAATTCCTGCTGCATACCTTCAACCTGAGATATATATACATACACTTTATAGTCATATATATTACAACTGTACTGTTATTCCCAAAACATATATACTCTATTTCCTTTTATATATGTAGACTTATTGCTTTGTTTTATTTCCATTCCTATATATTGTGGATTGTTAAGGAGAAGGCATCATTCCTATATATTGTGGATTGTTAGGGAGAAGGCATGGTATGACCAACTCACTCTTCCTTCCAATATAATTTAAAGTAGAGGTACTTGAGTAAAGCTCAAGAAATTCTACCTCCACCCCTTACAAAGTCCATGATTTACTAAAGGAAATCCCAAAAATAATTTGAATCATAAAAAACAAAATAGGAGTTGCACAATAGCATTACAAGGTTAACATTGAGACAAAGTTTCATTAGTTTGTAATAAAAGGTTTAGGAGGAGTTGTGGATACAAAATTGGTACTACAGTGTGTAGACAAAGTCCATGTCATCCCAAAGTTAACCTCAAAAATCATTCAGATGAAGGAATGAAATTCGTGCAAAAGTGCTTATGTGAGCAAGATTGTCTGAAAAATTCTATCAAGCCGTTCTGGAGCAGTTCCCAATAACGAAGGTAGAGTGGAAAGACAAACAGATTTACTCCCCTTTAGGTCGTGCACTATGTCTTAAACATTTACTTCTACAAGCATTTTTGTATAGCTAATGCTAAAATTCACATTATTCTATAAATAATTTGGAAAGGATTCAATATTTTAAAATTTTTGCAGTCATAAGTCCTAGATTATTGCTAATTTCTATACTTAATATAAAAAAAAAGGAGATGTGATATGATTGCCAATGAGACAACTATCCACCAAAGTTCAAATGAAGTGGATGTAAGCAATTATAGGCAACCATAGGGCCTTCAACAATGAGAAAAGCCCATACCGTATAGTCGGCTATAAAAGGCCCCGACATGAAAAATATGAAACAATTCAATTGAGAAAACTAACGACCTAATTCATAACAAACAATTTACGAAAAAAAACAAATATGAAAGACATGAACCAATGACAACCAATGAACTACAGACTCCTGACTTGGGACAGGCACATAAAGAATATGGCGGGGTTAATTATGTTTGTGAGTGCTCAACCCTCCCCCTAACCTTAAACTTATTTAGATTATATAAAATTACAGGTATTCTAATGTCATTTAAATCATTTTTGTAGCATGCTTGTTTTTTGGCAAATGTATACTCGTACATTTTTGTATTATTCAAAATTATCAGAAAATTGTGTGCTCTACAAGGATCACCAGTCCTTCACCTTTCATCTGATACCTTAATTACTAAAATATATGCTACATAGTTTAAGATTTACCCTTATGCGTAGGAACTATTTTGTTTTAAATATGTACTACTTTCCAGTATGTTCTTTTATGACCAGGCCCAATTAGGTGGTGTTACATCTTACAAAGTATATCCAAATTATTTTTGCAAAGAATTCCGCTCAAGCCGGTGCTAGGGGTCAACTTAATCTTGCAGTGAGGTGAGGTTTTATTTATTTATTTATTTTTTTGCTCCGTGTTGAAGGCCTCACTGTAACTTTGAGATGAAGAACAGCAATAAAAGCACTGTTCCTTTGCTTTTTGTGTGGTTTTTTTGCTGTGCACGTACTGTTTTGTGTCATGGATGGATACCCCATATCTTTTGTTTTTCTATTACATGGACGTCTATAGTATATTCACACTGACATTGCAATTTTTCCAAATGTTGTTGACCAGCATTTAAATAATAAGTACACAATAGAAGAAATAAAAGGTATACCTGTCCCTCAAAATCATTACACTGTAGTTGTTCCTGGTAAAGATCTTGTCTTGTTTGTTGTAATGCACTGTCTAGTTTCTCTATTTCTTCTGTCATCTTCTCAATCTGTCTGCTCTTATCCTCCAGTTCTTCTTTCACGGAGAATGACATCTAAAATATAGGGAAAATATTGTACTTTCTCTAAACAGTTGATTATTTTTTTCATAATCAACTTCTGGTTTGCTTGATGTCAGTTCTTCGTTGGGGAAAATTTAATTATGAATGGATTCAAAGTGAAAACAAAAGCTTCCTAGAAAAAATAAAAATCACATTGACTTAATTTCCTTCCTTTTTTTTCATCTGTCTTTTGTATTACTAGAACCAATGCTTTGTTGCAAAACTCATATAAAATTTAGCTTCCTTTTTTGATTGATTCAACATTTATAAAATACATATTTCTCCTCATGTCTTTAATAGTTTTCCAGAGACCATTGGTGTTCCTAAAATATTGTTCGAGTAACTTCACTTTTTACCTTAGTGTCGGCAATTCCTGTAATTTGTCTTTGTTTAGTTTTGACGGAAGTGAGATCTAACTTTGTAATATCTAAATCCATCTCTAATGACCTGTTTTCAGCTAACAATCTATTGTATTTGTCATTCATTAGTCCAAGCTCCGCCTGTTTACTGTTCACCTGTAGAGAAGAAAGTTGAATTAACTTGCCCCAGAAAATAAAAAAACTAAAAATGACTGTTTCATTACTAACCCCCTACGAATCAATAGGGGGTCACCATGTGACGTCGTTTAACCAATCACAACATGATAATTTACCCGCGGTGCGATAAGAAGTAACGTCATAATTATTGGTTTGACAAAGTTAAAATGAAATTGAAAGTAAAAGTTAATAATGAATTGTCAGTATCTTACTATATTTAAATTTATTGTGTTTACACTAAAATGACAATAATGTAATATTCCTGGTTATATACCAATAGCATATCCCTTTACTGGGCCCCTTTGGTAGGTTATCTGAGCTTATGCGTTTCTGAAATGAGAAGGGCCTTAATATGTTTCTTAAGTGTGCAAAATTTGAAGTATCTATGTCTATAAGATTTGGATTAGGTCTGACATACAAATATTTTTCACTGATCTTTTTCTACCATAGGTTACTGTACTAAATAAAATATGTGCAATCAATAATAAAAAGATATTGTAATTTCAGAAATCATTGCGTGCATTTATTATTGCGATCTTTCAAAAATGAACAAGAATGCGATTTTAATTATTGCGATTTCAGAAAAATCTACATACAGATCTATGTTTTAGTTATCAAAATGCGAGTTTTTATTATTGCGATACTCACCTAGTATTATTCGCATTAATACAAACCTCGCAATAATTTCTGAATTAACTATCGTTTACATACTTTTCATTTAACTTAATTTTTAATTATATACCTGACATAGCATTTTTGGTAAGTACGAAGTATTGATATTGTGTTGCATGTATTGTTATTAACACAAAAGAGAAGTAAGTAACCATTAGGATTTGGACTTAAAAGACACCAATCTGTTAAGATCATTGTCCTATCACCAGTGAACTATGATGTTTAGTCTCAGGTAAAACATGTCATACCTGTGCAGTAAGTTTATCAATTTTCTGTTGTTTTCTTTCATCTCCATTACCAAGGTCCATTTTACTGTTAGCTAGTTCCAGTTCACTCTCCACATCTCTCAGTGTTTTTTCTCTAGCCTCCATCTGAACTTTTAATGTAGTTATCTCCCCTTCTGACATTTGATTGGACCTAGTTAATGATTGGACTTTACCTTCTAATTCCTGGATCTGAACTAGCTGAATTTGTTTTTCACCTGAAAATTAAAAGGAAAAGATCAAAATGTGAATATAATTAACTTTTCTTGAAATGAAAAGAATGAGACAAATTGGATGTGTTTAAATATACGCACAAGGCAGCTTATGGTTACTCATGGTTTGATATTTTGAGAAGTAAAATGTCAAACTATAGGTACCAAACAGTACAGACCGCCTTCTGCATATATCCAAACACAGTCCAGGACTTCAGCTTTCTTCCCTGAAAAGAGAAATAGTGAACTTCCAGACAGAGAACCAAGACATTCGTAATCACCAATAGCAGTTCAGTCATTTCTTGAAATTCTTGGTAATTCAAATAGACATAAACATTTCCTTTTAAATCTGAATCTTTTATTTCCTATAAATACTAGTTGAAATCAAATAACCACTTATCACGAATTCAAAAGTATGATATAACTATACAATCTATTTTTAAGCAGTGTCGGTGATCCTAGAAACTAGTGTCGTTGGTGATCCTAGAACCTACAATTATTATGTAAACAAAACATCTTAAACAAAAGATATGTTTGTCAGTTTTTTTAATGATGTTCTAATGTAAAAGTGTTTAATGATCTTAATACTTACTGTCTTTTCCATGAAGAGACTGCATAGAACCAGCAGAAAGAGCTGGTAAATTATTGCGCAAAATTTCATTTTCACTTCTTGTTGCCTCTAACAAATCTTCTGCTGTTTTCAATTTGGCAAAGGCCTCATGCCTCTCCTTTACTAAACTGGTCAGTTGTCTGTAAAGCAAAACGATACTGACATTAATTTTTTATCACAATTTCTAAGTTTTAAATAAATCCCTAAATTTTACAACTGAATAGCGACTTAGACATAAATTTAATTTCTACTTTGCATATAATGGTATTGGAATTGTTTGGCAAGCACTTCATTACACCTGTTTCTTCTAAGCTTTAAACCAACAAGAGGCTCATGAGAGCCTGATATCGCTCACCTGTAATTTCAGTTTCAGGCATTTGACTTATTTGTAGATCTTACTTTGTTGAACAAATTTGTTATTTACACTTTCTCTCTTTCTATAATAATATTAAAGATAATACATAACCCAAAACTGTAAAATTGCCTAAAAATCAACTATTTCTGGACAGTAACCCAACAATAAGTTGTTCTATTGGTCTGAAGATTACTTGACAGGTAGATCTAAACCTGTTTAACACTTTCACTTATGTCAGTTTTGCTCTTATTGCTTTAGTTATTTAGATGAAAGCCAAAAACTTCATTTGACCCCTATTTTCTATTTTTAGAAACTGCCAAGATGTTTTTGAATGGATCAAATCCCCTAATACAATCTATAAACAAGATACCATAAGGAACATTCAATTAAAGTTTTTAAGTATTTGGCCCACAAGTTTCAGAGAAGAAGACGACAGACAACGAAGGAGGCCCTTTGGGCCACTTGAGCTTATAAAGGTTATAAATTTATATTTGTAATTAGACTTTCACAAAAAAATGTATTAAAATATTTTTTTTTTTTTAAGGGCAATAACTCCTTAAGGGGTCAATTGACTATTTTGATCATGTTGACTTATTTGTAGAAATTACTTAGCTGAACATTTATTGCCATTTATACTTTCTTTCTATTTATTATAATATTAAAGATAATAACCAAAAACAGTAAAATTTCATAAAAATAAACTATTTCGAACAGTAATCATACAATTGGTCTGAAAATTTCATAGCAGAATGATTTTGACTTATTCATCACTTCAACTCCATGTCACTTTTGCTCTAACTGCTATAGTTTTTGAGATAAAATTTTGAGACCCCTATGTTCTATTTCTAGCCATGGCCGCCATGTTTGTTAATGGATCAAAACTTCGGATACAATTTATAAACTAGCGGCTCTTTTCACAAAAATTCTTAAGAGTAAAAATACTCGTAAGTCATACACATTTCAGTATAACTTACGATCAATTTTAATCGTAAGATTTTTTTGTGAAAAGAGTCACTGTTACCCTAAGGAACATTCAGTTAAAGTTTAGTAGTATTAGGCCCAGTAGTTTCAGAGGAGAAGATTTTTAAATGTTAGCAAACATGATGGACAAATTGTGTAAAATTGTTTTTAAAGGGCAATAACTCCTTAAAGACCAAACAGCCTATTCAGTTCTACCAGTGATTTTTCCTTAAAATTTGGTGTGAAGGTATTTCATGATTTGAGGAACAAAATATGATAAAAAAAATTGGGGGTCACCGACTTAGTTTTGTCACTATAGCAACCTCAGTTTCGTGTTTTCCCGAATATTAACATGATATTTTCTTGTTATTTAAACTCTCAAAAAATCCCATTATATCAAACTTACAAGCATAATTCTTGTTTCAAGTGAAACAGTAGATATGTGTCTATCAAATACAGGTTCAAGAGTTTAAGACTCTTATTGTTTTGATCTTAAAAAATATGATTTATTTCATTCCCGCCAAAAATAAAACGCAAGAATGAAAAACGTTTCAAGTATTAAAAAATATCTACCAGTGATTTTTTCATAAAAAATTCAAGAAGGAAAGTGCCATGTGTACTCTTCAAAATAAAGCAAAAAAATGTATATGTCACCGACCTTTCAAAAAAGTTATGATTAATTTTCATGTTTTTTTCTCGTTCGTTTTGAAGAAAAGAGTTGTCTTTCTTGTGAACATTGAATCTGACGTCATAGTACAAGTTTTCCTTGCTGGCGCACTGTTTGAAAAAAATTGCAAATTGGACGTTTGAAACCCCACATTTAAATTTTCAAGAATCAAGAATAACAACTATATTCACCTACTTTATTATCCGGTAATACAAGAGATCACATGTATGTATCAGTATCAGATCTCATGATGTTGTTGCAGCACAAAATTAACCTTCAGAAACACCATCCGTCGGAATGAAAAATTGTTCGAAATAACCTTTTACGACGCTTTAGAAAGGAAAGTCTGTTTTTGTCCTCTCCCTCTCATTAGCAAAATCATTGAAAATAAAAAGAGAAATGAAATGGCTAACTTACAGACTATTTGACTATATTAGATATAGGAAGATGTGGTATGAGTGCCAATGAGACAACTCTCCATCCAAGTTACAATTTATAAAAGTAAACCATTATAGGTCAAGATGTGTGTTTTTTTTTGTCGCGTCAATTTCAGAACTTCGCCCTAGCGCACTCTTTCGCTACTGTTGACAGACGGACAGACATTAGCACGGACGGACTTCTTAATAACATTATGTGTCCCGACTAAGACTAGCGTATACAAATTATTCCATCTAGTTTGTGGATTCATTATTTCTGAATATTTAAAATACAAGAAAATTAAAATTATAGGTATAATATATGAATTAAAATTTTTGATTCTAAAACGTTTTACATCCATTTAACCTATCATAAAATACGATCCCCGTTATTACTACCTCACGTGGTTTGAATAAACGAGACAGTAAATATAGAATACAAATAAGTTTTTAATTCAAAAAATGATTTAGAATCTAAGAAATAATTTCCCGTTGAAAACTATAAAGTATTTCTCAAAACAGGATGAAATATTATGAATCTAAATAGCTCATTTTGGAAATTAAAACAAAGACAAGGTTGTATGTATAGATTGCCGGCATTGAAAATCGAAATTTGTTTTCAATCTTTCCGGTCATTGTAGCTTTTTGAAAGTGAGAAATTTTATGTTGGATCTTATTCTTGAAGCAATTGTCTTTGTCATAAGTTAAATTTACAACAAGTTTAGTTTTAAAAACCGTAAATTTTTTATTCTAATTCACATTCACTGAGTATATTATTTTCTTATATTTTTTGCCTTAAGCTTCTGTGAGAGCAGGCGAAATCTTTATGATTTCTCCTTGAGACAATTTGAAATGAAACAAATGACAAAAGACAATGAACCTTTATCATTTTTAGTTTTACTATAAGATTTTGTCAATTAAGCAGTATAGATAAAATTTAACTTCATTGCAAGATCACCATTATTGTACGAGAACCTTAAAGAAATAAGTTAATCTCAACATGCATACGTTGCCAGTATATCGAAACTTCTAGAAAGTATTGTTTATCGGCCTAACCTTCTGAAAACTCAGTTTTGAAAATAACATATTAAGTAAAAATTCTAAGCGTAAGTCATATAAATTTACCAGTGTAAAGTTACACGGGCGTACGAGATTTACGCCGATTTAAAAAAAGATTTCGATCTTTAATTTGCGCCGATTTGATTCTTTCATTAGCGCCTATTTTTTTTTTATTGCTAGCCCCGATACTTTATTTGCTATACAAGTAAATACATGTACATGAAGTAAACCTAGAATGTATATTGCATGGTAATATATGGATATAAATAGTGTTCGAGAACTTCGTTTTGACACGAGAAAGAAAAGATGGACTTCGTTATTGGTAAGTACAACAAGTATAGAAAAGATAAAATGACAAGAAAGGAATATATCAGATGTGTGGCATATAAATTCTCGGCAAGATAAGAATTCATTGTACTAGTATTACATTTTTATGGATTTTATTGTGGTGCTTTGAAATGCTGTAAATAGAATTTTACTCCGTGATTTTAGTGGAAGGAAACAGAGTGCACAAATATCTTTTAAATTGACTTATTCTGCTCGAAATTCTACTCAGTCCCACCTCTCCTTTGTGAGCAGGGGACAACAGTTATATACATGTTATAATTGACAATTCATAACACATGTACAACTGGTTAACGGAAGAGGTTTATATGATAAATAAAAAAATAACTTTCACCTATAATTTACCTGTCCACAATCGGCGCAAATGAAAGACAAAATCGGCGCAAATGCAAAAAGCCGAGTTCAAAATTTATATTTTTATTATTGTTTTTATTAGAACGGAGGTTACAGATATTGTAGTTCTTTTGTGTCCATTTGTGTTTAATTTCTACTAGGTATCAGTGCGACGCTTAATTCCACTTTTCTTGGAAGGGGGTCTCATTGGGGGGGTCTAATCCCGGATCCCGCTTATTGTTTTGACAGATTCCCGTATCCCGCTTATAATTTTTTTAGTTTACCGTTTCCCGCTTATATTTTTTTTTCTATAAGAAGTCGCCTTGCAAGAGCCCTCCTATCGGTATATCACACTTGTATTACCATTGGCAAGATATCAGGGAACCGATAAATGGCTTACTGTTGTCACAAATTTAGGAATGATACAAAAAGTTTGTCAGTGACTCGCCAAAGGTGGGTGGTACTCTGGGCGCCAAGACTGTGAGAAGTGTAACTACATGTCCAATAAACTGTGGGTAAAAATTGCGACAGGGAATCTGGGGCCGCTGAATGCACCCAGCAGGTCTAGGGTAGATTTGAGAGTACTGGAAGTTGCTTAAAGCTAGTTGATTGATTGATTGATTGATTGATTAATTGCTAAAAATGGCAAATAGTTCATGATTGTTCAGGACAAAAACAAATTTACAATAAATACAACAGGTAGCTAGGTCCTGATCGTCGAGGATGAAGGTCTGGAATTTTAGAAATGCAATGCATAGAAAATGTGGTTTTCTTGGATAGGAACATAGATTTTGCCTTTCAGTAGACCACCTACGAACCCCTCAAAGAGTTGTTGCAAGTTGCTTAACTTGAGAGAGCGTGGCATTCTCTCTACACTAGCGGCATCGGATTTAACGTCCCCATTCTGACCAGACGTGACTGCGTAGTTATACATTACGCACAATCAAACGAACGCCTAACTTCGGCAAGGATTTTATTGTAGGTCGGATAAGGACCAAGTGGAAAGCTAGTTGAAAGTCAACAACAATTAATAAAAAATAAATCATGTATATAAAAAAAGGCAGGGTTTTGAGCATGATGAGGGTAATTCAAGTATTTGTTGATAGAAATGAAATGATCTGAACCAAAGATCTAGTTTTTAGTTTGTATAAGGTGGAATATAATGACATTCTATCCAATACTCAATTCACTAAGGATGATAGACTAGTGTACAAATGACATTTGATAATTAAAGAGTTTTACCGAGTTCACATGTATCTACAGATAATGTTGTTTTTATTTTTTGTATATAAAAAAAATATTTGTGAAAAAATATGTGTATAGGTACGTGCCTAAAGTGCCTAACGGCAGCTACGCTCCTGACTGTCAAAAGATTATATTGAGAAAAAACGGAATACATTTGATATGATAAACAAACAAAAATTACTTATATCCCCATCACACTAGGACCACGATCCCACTACGATCTCAGAAATTATAAAATTTTGAAAGTCATAGTAAGATCGTGGTAAGGTCGTTATAAGGACATGCCAAGTCTTCATGATCGTGGAGCTTTGAATATGCTCAAAACATTCGTAGTGTAGTCATGGCCAAAACTAGTTGAAGTAGAACCGTATGAACTCAGTCGTAGTAAGGATGTAGTTAGATCGGGATGGGCGTAGAAGCATCTTATTGGAAACGTGGTGCAATCGGGGTAGCCAATGGAAAATATTTCGCTGCAACCTTAGGTAGGCCTATAAGATTTCACTGCGACTATCCCGATTTGACTATACGTCTTAATTACGCTTCTACAATATTGATTCGATTATTCTACGATGAGGAAGACAATAATGCGCTGCTACTTTGCCCTTGTCGTCCTCGTCCACATCACTACGATTCTACTACGTCCTAGCCACGAGAATTGTGTTATATTTCCTAATTTGCAAATTGGAAATATCAAAATTGCATACCTTTTTTGAGACCTCTGCTTTTTATTTAGCACCCCGATCTCTAAGTGTTTTTAATACCTTTAGTGGAAAGTTATTTCCAGGAAACTGATGTGTACGATGGGAAAGTCAAGATATTTATAGGGACGAAGAGCGTAGTGACAACCACGTGGAGTCGTTTTTCGATCGTAGTAGACACGTATTGAAATCGCATGCGATCGGGAAGGTTTTGGAAGAAGCGTTCAGAGATCGTGTAAGTCGTGGAAAGGTCTTATTAGACGCAGCAAGAGCGTGACAAGATAGTAACTATAGAACGTGTTACTGTCGTAGCGAAATCGTAGCAGGATCTTATCAGGATCATAGCAAGATCGCAGTATCAACGTGAAAACTATGAAATAAATTAATTAATATTCAAGCCAACCATACCACGATCTCACTGCAATCTTATCTATTTTAGTTAGTGAATCACTCAAGTATGAGGTCAACTCCTGATTCATGGTCTTGGTCTAGTGTGATGGGGGCTTAACATCCACTTCATTTGAACTTTGGTGGACATCTGTCTCATTGACAGTCAATCCACATCCTTTTTTTCATTTTTTGACAACAAATTTTGATTCACGCTTAATAAAATGATGATTTTCCCGGATTCCCGGCTCATTTTTTGGTAATTTCACGTGTCCCGCCAGACTTTATTTCCCGTTTTCACGGACAATTATTTGACTTTCACGTGTCACGCTTACAAAAATCGGTCAATCCCGCGTCACGCTTAGACCCCAATGAGACCCACTTGGAAGACGTAGTTTTAAGCGTACACCATGATGGAATCCGTAAAAAACGCGAAATAGGACGTTATAATTTGACGGTTTTTTTCATGGCTAGAAACAACGTCATAGAGCTTTTATGTCACTACCAAGTTGCGTTAGTGGATGCGCATCAACAATAGGCTGTTTGGTCTTTAAGGGGTCAATTGACAATTTTCGTCATATTAACTTTTTTGTAGATCTTACTTTGCTGAACGTTTTTGCTGTTTATCTTTATCTTCAATAATATTCAAGATAATAACCAAAAACATCAAAATTGCCTTAAAATTACCAATTTAGTTGCAGGTACCCAACAATGGGTTGTTCAGTTCATCTGAAAATTTCAGGGCTGATAGATCTTGACCTATTGTACATTTTTACTCCTGTCAGATTTGCTCTAAATGCTTTAGTTTTTTGAGATATAAGCCAAAAACTGCATTTGACCCCTATGTTCTATTTTTAGCCATGGCAGCCATGTTTGTTGATGGATCAAAACTTCGGATTAACTTTATAAACAAGATACCTTAAGGAACATTCAGTTAAAGTTTGAAGGTATTTGGCCCAGTAGTTTCAGAAGAGAACGACGACGACGACAGACAACGAAGGAGGCCCTTTGGGCCAGGTGAGCTAATAAAGGTTAATTGCTGAAACAATGTATGACTAGTCCATATATCCTGATATTTACTGATTTTTCTTCCTCAGGTACTATAAAAGAATACTAACTCTTTGTATGTTGCTTCAAATGTAAATTTTTCTGACTTTGAATCTTCAGCTTTTTCTTCTGCCTGTTTCAGCTTTAGTTCATACTGATGTTTCAAGTCTCTCAAATTCTGTAAATCATAACATATAAAGTCAGAACAAATTCTGTAAATCATAACATATAAAGTCAGGACAAATTCTGTAAATCATAACATATAAAGTCAGGACAAATTCTGTAAATCATAACATATAAAGTCAGGACACATTCTGTAAATCATAACATACACTACAAACCAGTAAAAGTCTGAAATGGCCTATATTTGTACTCGACTGTACTGATTTTTACTCGACCAGTCTGAATTGGTCTGAAATTTACTTGATAATACTCGACTGTAGTCTGAACCATACTTAACAGTCTGAACTTGTACTCGACCAGTACTTAACCATTTTATTTTCGTCTGAACCATGCTCGACCTAGTCTGAACCATACTCGACCTAGTCTGAACCATACTGGACCTAGTCTGAACCATACTCGACTAAGTCTTAACCAACCTAGACCTAATTTTTGTATCTATCTATAGTATTTCATCAATTTAGGAACTGTTTTTAACAGCTATTTCCCCTGGCTAGAAATTTGAACAACAATTTGAAATTCAAAATGTATTCAATATGGCATATTGAAACCAAAATTTCACAATAAACATAATATAAATTCAACACCATATTTATCAACACTTACATATATATATCACCTTTAAAATAAAAATAAAACAAACTGATCAAATAATCTCAAACCGAATTGGGACTAACATTTTCAATGTTATTCAAATTTTTTTGAATGTTTCAGATATATTTTATGGTTACTGGACAATTTTCACCATTTACTTAAGCCTTGTATAGATTTATGGTGTCAGTTGAGTTTAGTTAATAATGCAGTGAACATTTTTTTTATTAAAATATATTTAAAATAGTATATAAAGCAACTTAATAAATTTTAAAAATAACACCTTTGTTTTGTAAAACCAAGAATTTAAGATAATCATGATAATAGAACTTCCATAGCAATCCTTGATAACCATTTAAAAAAGGAAATGTGTTCCAAAGCTGCAGAAAAAATTTATTTCAATTAAATTTAAATAACTTTTGTCAAAATTAAAGACATGGCATACAAGAAGCACTTTAATAAGGTTTATTTATCTCAGTACATGTGTGTTTTACAGGTAAAAAGAAAGCCCTTTTTTTCTTAAACTCGTGTATTACTTATCTAGTGAATTCAAAAGGCCTTGCGATTTAAGTTTTACAGGATGTTGCAATTTTTAATGAATGTTAATTAGAAATTAATACTCTCTGACCAGGTGTGATCTTTTAATGAGTTTGCCCCAAGCAGGAGGTATTACTTTATAAATCAGAAGAAAAAAATTATCTATTTCTTTAATTTTTTTATCCCCTTTTGATATATATTATATATAATATATCCGAAATTATAACAAAAATGGATATATTTCTAATATAAGGTTAAACAATTTCAGTGATTTTTTGGCTGTTGTTACCTCATTAAAAAGATAATTATATAACTATTGTATATAACCATGAAACCTATATAGTTTTTCTTTAGGAATTTAGGAAAATTAAGTTTAAATAAAAAAAACACACATGCCAAACAAGAAGCACCTTAATAAGGTTTTATTACTCTCAGTAAAGGTGTGGTTTTTAGTTAAAAGAAATTTTTTTTTTTAACAAAACTCTAAAACTTTAAAATTAATATAATTAAATCATTATATAAGATAATTTAATTTAACTATCTCTATTTGATAAATCTGAGAATCATGTAAGGATGTAAAAATATATTTTTATATATATCTTTATTTTATTGTGGCTGTTTTCATTGTCAGAAAAAAAGAAATTAATTTTAACAGCTAACATTTAAAAAAAATATAGGTTTTTTGGTCAAGTATGGTTCAGACTGGTCGAGTATTGTTCAGACCTTTGGTCGAGTATGGTTTAGACTGAAAAAATTGGTGGAGTACAGGTCGAGAATGGGTTAAGACTGTTTCAGACTGGTCGAGTAATAGTTCAGACTATTTTCAATGGCAAAGATAAGGGTCAAGTACAAATCAGTACGGTCGAGTATGGTTAAGACTGGGGTCGAGTAATGTCGAGTAAAATTCAGACCAATTCAGACTGGTCGAGTAAAAATCAGTACAGTCGAGTACAGATATAGGCCATTTCAGACTTTACTGGTTTGTAGTGATATAATGTCAGGACAAATTCTGTAAATCATAACATATAATGTCAGGACAAATTCTGTAAATCATAACATATAATGTCAGGACACATTCTGTAAATCATAACATATAAAGTCAGGACAAATTCTGTAAATCATAACATATAAAGTCAGGACAAATTCTGTAAATCATAACATATAAAGTCAGGACAAATTCTGTAAATCATAACATATAATGTCAGGACAAATTCTGTAAATCATAACATATAAAGTCAGGACAAATTCTGTAAATCATAACATATAAAGTCAGGACACATTCTGTAAATCATAACATATAAAGTCAGGACAAATTCTGTAAATCATAACATATAATGTCAGGACAAATTCTGTAAATCATAACATATAAAGTCAGGACAAATTCTGTAAATCATAACATATAAAGTCAAGACACATTCTGTAAATCATGTCATATAAAGTCAAGACACATTCTGTAAATCATGTCATATAAAGTCAAGACACATTCTGTAAATCATAATATATTAATTATTCAATATGAAATAAAATGCATTTGAACTCTACACAAAGTTTTACTGCAGCGTCAAAACAATTAAAGGGATCCTTTTTTAACTAAAAACTAATTTTTAGTTAATAACTGTAATTTGAGCCAACAAAATGTTCTGTATGTGTAAATTTTGACATCAAAATTTTAATTATGTCAAAATTTTAATTTTAACAATACCGATGAAATGAAGGAAACAAGGAATGGGGTTTGTACAATACAAAAAGCAAAATTATAAGAATATTAAACATCTTTGAACTAAATAAGTATAATAATTACATCTACAAAACTACAAAATATAAAATGACACCATGTAAAGCAAAGAATTTTAATCACCTTCAATCCTTCTGTTACGTCATTGTCTCTCAGGTTTAAGTCCTGAAGCATTATCTCTAAGTGACGTAATTGACTGTATGCTTGCTCTCGAGTTATCCATAAATGGCAAATCATGTCTAATTCTGATTTTACCCCAGCTTGTTGTTCCAGTTGTGAGGCTATGTGTTTAAAATCATGATTCTGTGGTATGAAGAAAAGCAACTTAGATATTGTGATATCTGTGAATTTGTGTTATTCTATATCTATAAGCCAATTACCAGGATTACAATTTGACAACCAGAAAGAAACAGTGAAAAAGAAATAATTTGTATGTGAAAATATAATATAGATACAATGCGATACTTCTAATATAGAACAGTGATTTACATAATACAACATCATGGTGTAGTTGTTTTTATATATGAAGAATCAATACATATAAATATGTAAAATATCAGCAGCGAGCCACTTTGTTAACCTTTTTGGCAAGTGAGCCTTTAAATACATTTAAAAAAAACCATAAATTACCTAAGCTTGAATGTTATGCTCTTGTTCCAAGTTAAAATATGCATATCACAAAAAAATGATCACAAAACTAGGACTCTTAAGTATTGAGACTAACCTTGACAGATTCATGCCTTTGACTAGAATGAGTACTGTATGGTATATCATATTTCAGTGAGGTCAATGAAGTATTGAGACTAACCTTGACAGATTCATGCCTTTGACTAGAATGAGTACTATATGGTATATCATATTTCAGTGAGGTCAATGAAGTATTGAGACTAACCTTGACAGATTCATGTCTTTGACTAGAATAAGTACTATATGGTATATCATATTTCAGTGAGGTCAATGAAGTATTGAGACTAACCTTGACAGATTCATGTCTTTGACTAGAATGAGTACTGTATGGTATATCATATTTCAGTGAGGTCAATGAAGTATTGAGACTAACCTTGACAGATTCATATCTTTGACTAGAATGAGTACTGTATGGTATATCATATTTCAGTGAGGTCAATGAAGTATTAAGACTAACCTTGACAGATTCATGCCTTTGATGAGTTGAGTACTATATGGTATATCATATTTCAGTGAGGTCAATGAAGTATTGAGACTAACCTTGACAGATTCATGTCTTTGACTAGAATTTGAGGTCAATGAAGTATTGAGACTAACCTTGACAGATTCATGTCTTTGACTAGAATGAGTACTATATGGTATATCATATTTCAGTGAGGTCAATGAAGTATTGAGACTAACCTTGACAGATTCATGCCTTTCACTAGAATGAGTACTATATGGTATATCATATTTCAGTGAGGTCAATGAAGTATTGAGACTAACCTTGACAGATTCATGCCTTTGACTAGAATGAGTACTATATGGTATATCATATTTCAGTGAGGTCAATGAAGTATTGAGACTAACCTTGACAGATTCATGCCTTTGACTAGAATGAGTACTATATGGTATATCATATTTCAGTGAGGTCAATGAAGTATTAAGACTAACCTTGACAGATTCATGCCTTTGACTAGAATGAGTACTATATGGTATATCATATTTCAGTGAGATCAATGAAGTATTGAGACTAACCTTGACAGATTCATATCTTTGACTAGAATGAGTACTGTATGGTATATCATATTTCAGTGAGGTCAACGAAGTATTAAGACTAACCTTGACAGATTCATGCCTTTGATGAGTTGAGTACTATATGGTATATCATATTTCAGTGAGGTCAATGAAGTATTGAGACTAACCTTGACAGATTCATGTCTTTGACTAGAATTTGAGGTCAATGAAGTATTGAGACTAACCTTGACAGATTCATGTCTTTGACTAGAATGAGTACTGTATGGTATATCATATTTCAGTGAGGTCAATGAAGTATTGAGACTAACCTTGACAGATTCATATCTTTGACTAGAATGAGTACTGTATGGTATATCATATTTCAGTGAGGTCAATGAAGTATTAAGACTAACCTTGACAGATTCATGCCTTTGATGAGTTGAGTACTATATGGTATATCATATTTCAGTGAGGTCAATGAAGTATTGAGACTAACCTTGACAGATTCATGTCTTTGACTAGAATTTGAGGTCAATGAAGTATTGAGACTAACCTTGACAGATTCATGTCTTTGACTAGAATGAGTACTATATGGTATATCATATTTCAGTGAGGTCAATGAAGTATTGAGACTAACCTTGACAGATTCAAGCCTTTGACTAGAATGAGTACTATATGGTATATCATATTTCAGTGAGGTCAATGAAGTATTGAGACTAACCTTGACAGATTCATGCCTTTGACTAGAATGAGTACTATATGGTATATCATATTTCAGTGAGGTCAATGAAGTATTGAGACTAACCTTGACAGATTCATGCCTTTGACTAGAATGAGTACTATATGGTATATCATATTTCAGTGAGGTCAATGAAGTATTAAGACTAACCTTGACAGATTCATGCCTTTGACTAGAATAAGTGCTGTATGGTATATCATATTTCAGTGAGGTCAATGAAGTATTGAGACTAACCTTGACAGATTCATGCCTTTGACTAGAATGAGTACTATATGGTATATCATATTTCAGTGAGATCAATGAAGTATTGAGACTAATCTTGACAGATTCATGTCTTTGACTAGAATGAGTACTGTATGGTATATCATATTTCAGTGAGGTCAATGAAGTATTGAGACTAACCTTGACAGATTCATGTCTTTGACTAGAATGAGTACTATATGGTATATCATATTTCAGTGAGATCAATGAAGTATTGAGACTAACCTTGACAGATTCATGTCTTTGACTAGAATGAGTACTATATGGTATATCATATTTCAGTGAGGTCAATGAAGTATTGAGACTAACCTTGACAGATTCATGTCTTTTACTAGAATGAGTACTATATGGTATATCATATTTCAGTGAGATCAATGAAGTATTGAGGCTTACCTTGACAGATTCATGTCTTTGACTAGAATGAGTACTGTATGGTATATCATATTTCAGTGAGGTCAATGAAGTTTCATCAAATGGTACTTGCAACCTCAACTTCTCATTTTCATTCTTCACATCTTTGGTTTTCTGTTCAAGATTACAGTTCTTATCCTTTTCTCTCTGTAACTGTCTGCTTAATTCTTTTTCTGTTGCCTGTTCACCAAAAATTCATGCATGTGATTAAAGTCTACTCCATATACAACACAGCCTACATTTGTTTTTGTTTTTTTTTTTCATTCTGAATAACAAATGCTTTAACAAAAGCTGCTTCATCAGGATTTTTTTATCACTCTTACATTGTCTTAAGTGAAACTAATTTTCTGTAAATTCAGAAGTCAAGAAGTACATTTATATAAGAAAATTACAAATATTACAATAAATATGAAATTTCTTCAGTAAAATTCAGAAGGAGGATATAATAAATTTTATTATAGAATATCTCAATATTTGCATCCTATGAGGAAACAAGTGATGTTCAACATTCTACATATGGTTTGATACTGATATAATTTAGAATATGGTACAGCTACATTATGGCCTCAATTTTCAGTTAATGAATAGTATATACATATTTCTTGTTTTTTGTATTTGTTTATTTGATGTTTTTTACATATTTGAAACAGTATTTTGATGATCATGTATTTAAACAAAAGCACACTTAATATGTGTATATACATGTATGAAGACATTAATAGTCTATTACTTGCCAATAATTATTGATTGGATATAATCCTCAATATTAATTTGGTAAACAGTCTTAAATTTGGTTTAAATGTAGACCCCTTCTAAAAAGAAAATAGAGAAAAAAAAACAGCAAACAATGAAATCCTCTCATTTAATTCATTCACACTTTAATTTTGTTTTCAAATTAATATTAAAGTAAATATACCAAATCTTAAATACAAATTTTTCAGGAGATGAACTAGTATTTTATATTTGTGAATAATCTTGTTTTAGAAGTGTACAAATCTTTCAAGTACCAATACATAATTTCTCTGACCTGTAGTCTAGCATTTTCTGTCAACAGTTTATCTTCCACTGCTGAGAGGTTATTAGCTCTATCTGATCTCTCTTGGTGAAGTCTCTCTTCTGTAACTCTTAGTCTCTTTTCTAAGGATTTTATCTATTTAAACAAGAGTTAAATGTGAGTGAAATGAATGTCTTCTAGCATTCCTATTGCACTGGTTAATAGCAAGCACTACTATTTCTAACAGATATCATACTTTCGCTTAAAATTATATTCTGTTTGACATATAGTCCACATTTCTTCTGTGTTACAGTGGTTGTATTTAAAACATGATTCTAAACAGATAAATCCTAACTCTGTAGGGCTGCTTCAGATAAAGGACAAGGTATGATAAGGGCCGTTTCTGGACCCCCTTTTTCCAGAATTTTGAAACTTTGAAGTTGAAACCCATTCCGCCTGTGGAATGAATTGCAGTATCTGCTCGTCCACGTAGCACCTTATTTTATTGTGTTATGTGCTCAAATCTGTGCAAACTTAGACCTTGAAAAGGCTATGAACCACGAATAGTGTAAAAAATCTACAATTTAGTCATGTTTGGAGAAGAAATTTTACATCAGCGCCAACGTAGACCATCCTGAAATTTTCAACCATCAACTCTACTCTTATGTATCTTTCATTTAATAAAATATCATGGTGGTCTACTTTGGCGCTCATGTCTTAATTTAAAAAAATAATCCGATTGTTTACAATTTTGTCAAGTCCATATAATACGTCAAACGAAACGGCAGGGGTTACGAGATTATTCCGGAGTCCACAATTAATCAGAATATCACGTACGAATAGCTTTTACGTCGTATCCAGTCATCAAGACATGTCATTCTTTTAAAGATAATATGTTGTGCGTGTAATTAAACCCAGGAAAAAAGTCTACCACCGCTTTATTACATAAATGCAGGGTGGTGTTCCTTGAAATATGGTGAATTAATTTCCATTCATTATTATTTTCAAATATTCAATTAAATCTTACAAATGAATTTTATAATAAGGTCTGAATACATTTAAACTCTTTTTGTAATTCTGAAGTAAATTGTTCATTTCCTCAAATATATTTTGCACTTGAACATGTTGAAAGTTTTCTACTTTACCATCTACAGATAAATTGATTTAGACATATTTATTTCGTCTACTCATTTAACAAAATCTGTAAAACAGACAAAAATCTTGTGCAATGTACAGATAATAACAAAGTAGTATTATAAAGAAACATTGTTCCTTGAAAAGTGCAGTTCCATTATATAGTAGCATTTCATTAACTTAGCTCCTGTTTGGATTTTCAAATAAAACATACTACAAAAAAGTCTTAGTTTCATAAATACAAATTGAATAAGACCCATGGCAAACAGACTTGAAGTCCTAAGTATTCGTGAAGAAATATGTGTATTTCTTTTTGCCATTTCAAACATTTATAGCTATTTTGTCTAAAGTTCTTTCATGCTAAACCTATACCTTATCTCTGAGTGCACTTGTTCCTAGAAGTATGGTAGTACAGAACAGGTACTTCTGACATGATCAATGTACAGGTAAACTATGCCCTCTTATTTCAATTTCTTATTTGTATGCCCCCCCCCCCCCCCCCCCCCCCCCCCATGACAGAATGTTGAGCGGGCATACTAATTTAGACCTGTCAGTCCATCCACACGTCCGTCCGTCTGTTTGTCCTTCCGTATATAGATACATGATATATCTGGCTATCTCCTCCTACAGTTTTTGAGCTACAGCTTTAATATTTTGTAACATGTTTTTACACTTAATAGAGGTGTGCATGTCCACAGGATTTGAATTTTTTCAAATATTCTCTAAATGCCAGGTATTTGGGCTTAGTCATTTTTGGGTACTAGCTGCATACAGAGATCGCATTTTTCTGGCTATCTCCTACAGTTTTTGAGCTACATCTTTAATATCTAATAGGTTTATTGTACACATAATGGAAGAGTGCATGTCCACAGGATTTTTTTTCAAATACTCTAAAAATGCCAGGTATTTGGACATTCAGTCCTGCAAATGAAGACATTCAAAATAAAAATAAAAGATAGATCATCATGCACGGCATTGAATTTATAATGACTTATGATCAGGCGGGAGCATCATTTGTGTCTTACAGACAGCACAACAATTTCCAGTTGTACTTCAACATCACTGTTTCTCAAATCTAAATTAGTGGAACTATACTCATGCATATGACAGAGCAGAGGTGGGCATCGTCCATATCTAGTTTGTTTTTTTGTTTTTATTTTTAAATGGAAAATTTGAACAAAGTTTCAACTGGCCCGAATAATGGTTCTATATCTGTAAAAGTTCACAGTGTAGGATACTTAAAATGACCAACAATGGCATTGCACAAGCAACGCGTATTTGTTATAAATACTTAAACCGTATTAATGAGATACTGAATTTTCAATAGTATTTTAAACTGGTTTGTGTTTTTTTAATGTAATCATTATGTAAATGGTACTGCTAATGCTATATTCATAACTTCAAATATTATTTATGAATATGAGTGTCACTATAAAGCTTCTTTTATTTTACCTAACTGATCTGCTTACCCTTCCGGAGCACCTGAGATCACCCCAAGTTTTTGGTGGGGTTCATGTTGCTTAGTATCTTAGTTTTCTATGTTGTGTCTTGTGTACTATGATTTGTCTGTTTGTCTTTTTATTTTTTAGCCATGTCGTTGTCCGTTTATTTTCGATCTATGAGTTTGACTGCCCCTTTGGTATCTTTCGTCCCTCTTTGTTTATGTAAAGACTGTTCATTTCTTACTGTTTATTATTTGACAATCTGATTTGCATTTATGCATTTCTGTGGAGTACTCTGACAAATTCCTTTGTAGCTGTCTTTGATTTAATTCTTTTTTCTATGTTGTGGTTAACAACATATGAGTTAATATGCTCAATATTAACTTCATCCAATAATGATGTCAGAATCATACTTCAGGTAACAAAAAAAAAAACATGTTTTAACCGTTGCTACGCACTATCTTGATTGCTAAATTGTTGATTAGCATGATATACAATTGAATTACTTTCATTTCTTAGTGCTCGTTATTCTTATAAACCAATCTGATCTGCTTTTACTCTGATTTGTACAATAAAAAAACAACTGTATTTTTGTATTTAAGTTTAATTTTATCTTTTTTGGCTGTTGCTAAACTATTGGGTTGCTATGCTCAATATGAAATTCTTAAAAAAGAAAAATGATGACTCAGATATCATATATGAATGAAAAATCATTCATGGCAGCTAAATCTTCAAACATTGCTATATTTATACCTCATATGGTAGAAATTACAAATTTTTGAACCGTTGCTAGGCAATAATTTTGTTGTTAGGTTGTTGCTAAGCATTTATTAAACTGAAATTGAAGTGCCTATTCATTTGCAAATTCAAGTTATTGTTAAACAAATAATATTATTTTGAATTATGCTAATTTGTAATGAGAAAGCAATGCATAAGTGACAATTTGGCTATTTAATAAAACCGTTGCTAGGCAACCTTCCTTTCACCGGAACACAAAAAAATCATTGTTTTGTCTAGTTTCTATAAAAAGGCTATCAATGATCTATATATATAAACTTATTCGGGAAGGGGGCCAAAAACGCCCCTTATCATACCTTGTCCTTTATCTAGGGGTCTTTGAAGTTACTTGCATATATTGAGTCTAGTATATATAAGAATCAAGACCTTACATCATCCATGGACCTTTATATAGCATTTAGATTGAAATTTTTGTGATTTATCATTTTAGAGTAAGTAGATAAAAGTCTTTGCTTACACATTCCTTTCAAATACCAAGCATGTAGGATAAATTAAAAGTGTTAATCATAATTTTGCAATAGTTTTATTTTCATGGATGAATTGTTTTCTGTAGAAAAAGCAAAACCAAAAAAGACTGCTTTTATACAAAAATATTATTTATTTTATGGGGGAGAAGTAATTCTAAACAAGAATGTGTCCATAGTACACGGATGCCCCACGTGCACTATCATTTTCTAAGTTCAGTGGACCGTGAAATTGGGGTCAAAACTCTAAGTTGGCATTAAAATTAGAAAGATCATATCATAGGGAACATGTGTACTAAGTTTCAATTGATTAGACTTCAACTTCATCAAAAACTACCTTGACCAAAAACTTTAACCTAAAGCGGGACAGACGGACCAACGGATGGACGAACGGACGTCCAGACTGAAAAACATAAAGCCCCTAGGTGGGGCATAAAAATCAAGTAGTGAGCAGAAAAACATTGAAATGCATGATCACAGATATCATAATGCAATGTTGTCAAGTAACCATCAATAGCAGTATAAACTGTAGGATTTTTGTTTAGAAAAACTATTAAAAATGTAGGAAATATAGGATTTTTTGGAATATGTAACAACCCCCCCAACCCCTCAAAAAAAAATCAAACTGGTCAGTAGCATATCACTATAGCCCTCTAACAGTTATGAAGATCTTGGCAGATATATGGAAAACGCATGTATTGATATATAAATATCACAGAGCAAATGCTTACAATTTGTTACTAGCTTACCTGCTTATCTACAACAGTATTCCCTCCACCACTCATATCAATGTGTCTGAGAACCAGAAAGTTAATTTGGCTTGGCCTTACAATGGGTTACTATCTTACCTGCTTATCTACAACAGTATTTCCTCCACCACTCATATCAATGTGTCTGAGAACCAGAAAGTTAATTTGGTGTGGCCTTACAATGGGTAACTATCTTACCTGCTTATCTACAACAGTATTCCCTCCACCACTCATATCAATGAGTCTGAGAACCAGAAAGTTAATTTGGTGTGGCCTTACAATGGGTAACTATCTTACCTGCTTATCTACAACAGTATTCCCTCCACCACTCATATCAATGTGTCTGAGAACCAGAAAGCTAATTTGGTGTGGCCTTACAATGGGTTACTATCTTACCTGCTTATCTACAACAGTATTCCCTCCACCACTCATATCAATGAGTCTGAGAACCAGAAAGTTAATTTGGTGTGGCCTTACAATGGGTAACTATCTTACCTGCTTATCTACAACAGTATTTCCTCCACCACTCATATCAACCTGATGCTGCAGTAGATTCTTCATCTCTGTTAATTTGATCACCTGTTGGCTTGTCTCCCTTGATCTAGTCTCTTCTTCATGTAGATGGCGCTCACTCTGTTCTAGTAGTAACTTCACTTTAGACACCTCATCCTAGCCAGAAAAATAGGGAATTAAGCATGCTAGTCAGCCTATTTGGACCAATAAATGTTCATTGATGTTTGTGCATCTGTTGGTTTTTCTTTGTTTTTTTTTTGAAAAGGGGGGTTGGGGTTGGGATTGAGATGTGTGTGTGGTTTGTGTGGTCTCATGTGCTGTCAAATATTTTTGGGCAATTGCTGTTATCCTTTTTAGATGTTTGTAAGCTACAAAATGTTTCTGAAATATACATTAGCATAAGAAATTTAAATTGATATCAATACCATTGCTGTTTATCTCCTTCTTTTACACTTAATTCTGTAGAATTTTTTGATAAATGAAATTATATGGAATTACTAACATAGCATTTGTTTCAAAAAAAAAATTTTTTTTCCCATCATAATTTTCAATGAAAAGTTTATATGGCAGCATATATTCATTCTTGAAATATGTTACAAACCTTCAAAGAAGCAACCTCCATCTTATAAGCTTCTAATGTTTTATTCTTTTCATTGTTCTGTCTGGCCATTTCTACCACACCATTAGCCGTTTGTAGTTGTGTCTCTAAATACATCACCTGTGTTAATAAAACCATTCCTTGCAGGTTTTACATATATATATGAGCTATTCTTACTGTCTTAAATCCATCACTACACCATTGTATACTATGATCAACTTTCAGTAAAATAATCACCGAAATATGGCATACCCATGGTAAAATCTTCATTCTAATATGATGTTCCTCCTTTCGCTTTGAGGAGCCATGTTCTAATGCCAATATACATATAACAGAAGTGTATGTGATTGACATCACGATTAAAATTGCAAGGTTGGTTGTAATTTAAACAACTCCTGAGATCAAAATAGGCAATTATGTTGGTGTTGCTTGCTGGGAATGAAATAAAAAATCATCCTAAAAGTAAGTTTACATGTATTTATTTCTTCATTTTTCTAATTGTAAAACAGATGTTTTTTTCCAATGTTTTTGCTTCATCAAATCAAAATAGTTACTTTTTGCCTGTGTCTTATAGGTTGGCCTCAAAGTACAAAAGTATCCCTATTATTTTCCTATTAGAATCGAAAGATATTTGATATAAAGATATTAACAAATCCTAGAATAAAGATACTTGATATAAAGATATTAACAAATCCTAGAATAAAGATACTTGATATAAAGATATTAACAAATCCTAGAATAAAGATACTTGATATAAAGATATTAACAAATCCTAGAATAAAGATACTTGATATAAAGATATTAACAAATCCTAGAATAATGACAACCCATGTTAAAATAAGCATATTGCATAGAACATGGTACAAAAAATTGATTTTCTTAAATAAATTAATCGTTTTATATTGAGAAATTAATTCACTTTTCCTGACCATTTGTTTGTAACATATAAATTACCTCAGACTTCAAATGTTCATTTTCCTGAACAAGGGAGGTAACTTTTGATTGTAAATAGTCCATGTCTTGTGCCATTTGTGATTTACTTTTCCTTTGTACTTCTGAGACTTCCTCATTAACAGACTGCTGTAGTGATTCATAATCAGATTTCGTTTCAGTAAGCTCCTCCTCTAAATCACTTATCTTTGCTACAAAAAAATCAATCATAAATCAAAATACCACATAATGCGTACTGGTAGTCATGGTAGTACTGTATAAGTGTAACCTTTTTATTGACATATGTTTTCTTCATAAACCTTTGATCTTCATCATACTAAGCAGTTTTCAGTAGATTTTGAACATAGTGCAGTCTTATTTTCTTTAACTGATTTGAATGAAAATACTGGCACATCAGAGGCTAAAATTACACATTTTAAAAAAAATCTGATTTGAATAAAAAATACTAGCACTTTAACAATGGCATCGATGTAATACTGACAGTATATAATTCATTACCTGCAGATCGGTTGTATTTATCTTTGAACAGTTTATTTTCCGTTGTCAGTGTAGATATTTCCAATTGTAACTTTCTGTTCTGGCTTTCCATAAGTTCCTACAGAACCAAGAGAAAAACATTCCTTTATTTTGACAAGATAAGATTTGTATAACATAATATGACTTTAAAATAAGATTTTTTTTTAGCATTTATTATTGCAATTGTTGCATTTTTTTGCATTTATAAAAACATCGAAAAAATTCATGTTTAACTCCACCACATTTTTTATGCCTGTCCCAAGTAAGGAGCCTTCAATTCAGTGGTATTCACTTTGGTTACGGTCTTCCATATTTGTTTGTTCCTTCTTCGTTTTTAGCATAAATCAGGCCTTGGTTTTTCTCTTTCAAATTGTTTTACATTTTGTCATAGCAGGCCTTTTATAGCTTACTATACTGTATGAGTTTGGCTCATTGTTGAAGGCCGTACTGGTGCCCTATAGTTGTTATCGTCCTCGTCCTTTGTTCTCTGGTTGTCTCATCTCAATCATACCATCTCCTTATTATTATCAACTTTCTTTAGTTGTTTTTTTACTTTGTTCAAATTTCTTTTCTTAGACAGACATCTGTGTAAGAAATATTTCTCATCTGTTCTCATACTTAACAAGGAGTTTTTTTCACATGAAAGCTAAATTACATAAAGTTATTTAGTATACAAATCACTTTCAACTTGTACATTGTATCTTATAATACATAATTTCTTATTTTTGTTTTTTGCTATATCTTATTTTGATTAAATTCATTCCTTACTTTTTCCATAAAGAAACTCCTAGAATCAGGAGCACTACTGGTAGGACTCTGTGGCAATGCTCTCTTTTTCTGTGTATCAGTACTGTATCGAACCTTAAAATAGAAAATGACACAATAAATGAATGTAGAACTTTGAGGGTAGCTATTAGGTTAGTATGATTATCTCTTGTCTATGGTATATAGTGAAAACCTTTTTAACTGTTTTCGTTCATACTAGAATAGAATTGGTTTTGAATAGACCAAATTTCTTATCGTTCTGCATTTTGCCACAAAAGTTTATGCAGTAAACAGTAAAATAGGTTACTACTAATGTAATACTGTAAATGCAGAATATTTTGCAATGTTTTTATTATTGCTAAAAGTACAAAAGATTAGGTATGGTAAAAATAAAAACTTGCATTTTAATTCTTGATAGCATTATTTGTATGAAGCATTAACTGAAATCGCAATCAATGATCTCACATCTTGTAAAACATCGTAATAATAAATGCATGCAAAAATTTCAGAATTTACAGTATACAGGCAACTAGAATCAACATCCAACTCTATCCCACCCATCTGTGTTAACAGACTTTATACAAAGTGAACTGAATTTTGTACATTGAAACTGAGCTTATTTGAAACTTCAGATTATTGGAAGTGCTCTTCTGTCTTCGGAAGGACAGAACTACTACAAAGACCAGACTTGATAACTGGCTCAACACAAAATCATATATATATATCATGTCTTAATACAAAATTGAATAAAAAGAAATATCATTAAATCTGACAAATATAATTCACCATTACTTATCTGGAAGTATAAACCAAGACAGAATTTATCTAGAAATATAGGAAATCAAATAACGAAAATCAATAAAATATTGTACATTATCAATATATTGATTATTAAACTATCAATAGCATTGACTGGGTATTGTTAATGAGGACATGCACTTGTAGAGTATACAAATGTTAATTTCATCAAGGTGAAACTGAAATGAACAAAAACATTACCAGTACATGTTACACAAAAATTCTGAGATAACCATAAAAAGTGTTCAAATAACTCCATGCATATAATGTAATTGTTAAAAAGGAACAAAACCAAATAAAATATTAATATAAAAACAAATAATATCACTAAAAAATTCGTAAGGGTTCCACGGAACACAGTGTCTCGCCTACTTTTGCTGTTAATCGCAGGCTCAACAAAAATGAGGAAAAAAATAAATAAAAATATTCCTCTCTATACTATCTTTTGATTGTTAGTAGCTTCTGTCCAAGTTTGGTAAAAATCCAGGATAGTTTATGAATCTAATAAATGTTTTAAAAACTTAAACTGCAGACTATGTAATGTTAACTGGAAGAAAAACAAAGTCCATTTATAAGTAAAATACGGAAAAAATCAAACAAAATTTTAACAAAATTTCCTTCTTGATACTAGCTTTTAATCATAAACAAGCTTCTGTCCAAGTTTGGTACAAATCCAGGATAGTTTAAGAAAGTTGTTAAAATTTTAAAAACTTTAACCACTGAGTGAATGTAATGTTAACTGGCAGAAAAACTAAGTCCATTTATAAGTAAAATACGGAAAAAATGGATTTTTTTTTTTTACAAAATTTACTTCTGGATACTATCTTATGATCATAAACAAGCTTCTTTCCATGTTTCGTAGAAATCCAGGATAGTTTAAGAAAGTTATCAAAATTTCAAAAACTTCAACCACAGAGTGAATGTAATGTTTCTTGGCAGAAAAACTAAGTCCATTTATAAGTAAAATACGGAAAAAATGGATTTTTTTTTTTACAAAATTTACTTCTGGATACTATCTTATGATCATAAACAAGCTTCTTTCCAAGTTTGGTAGAAATCCAGGATAGTTTAAGAAAGTTATTAAAATTTCAAAAACTTTAACCACAGAGTGAATGTAATGTTTCTTGGCAGAAAAACTAAGTCCATTTATAAGTAAAAAACGGAATTTTTTTTTTATTTTTTTACAAAATTTACTTTTGAATATTATCTTATGATCATAAACAAGCTTCTTTCCAAGTTTGGTAGAAATCCAGGATAGTTTAAGAAAGTTATTAAAATTTCAAAAACTTTAACCACAGAGTGAATATTTGTGGACGCCGCCGCCGACGACGACGACACCGACGGAATGTAGGATCGCTATGTCTCGCTTTTTCGACAAAAGTCCAAGGCTCGACAAAAACAAAATGATTTGGAACAAAACATTCACAAAATTCATCTGACAAGAAATTATAGGTATTAGTGCATTTTTAGAATTAAAAATAAATACTTTTGTCACTATATATGTAAAAAGACTTGAATCTTGCATATAATTTTTAAATCTTAAAGAAAACTTACAAAAACAAAATAATTCTTGCCAGCTTTTAAACAAAATATAATAAACAAACAAAAAGAATTGCAACAACTCCCACCTCTATGTTTTGGTGATCATCACAGGTAAAGGAGCGGGGGGCATTGGAATATAAATCTGACAGTGAGTTAAGTGCAGACTGTGAAGGTAAGCCAGTGTCAGAGTTCAGGAATCGCTGCATCAGATCTGGATAGGAGGAGTACATTGACCAGAACAGCTGGTTGATAGACACTGTATCATCTAGCGGTTTGTACATTGGTATGCTTTCCTCTGATGATTTACCACTCCTTGTGCTTTCTTCAGTGAAACTGTCACTTGCAAATGCTTGAAAGCTTGGATTCAATGATGACAAAGATTCTCTGTATCTTAATGAGTCCAAGCTCATTGGATATGAAGAAGAAATTTCTGACTCTTTCAGGAAAAGATGCTTGTTTTGGACTTTTGCTTTATATTTTTGTACTTCATCATATTGTAAATCATCCATCACTATAGCATCAGGTGGTTCAGTAGGACTGGTTTCTACTGGAACAATGGCACCACCAGATGATGAGGAGGAGCTTAGGAGAGGTTCTGTACCCTTGATGTTATAAGCACCAGCAGTGTCTTCATCTATCAAACTAGGATGAGAGTAATCACAAAATGATCCAAAAAATTCTGGTTCACTTCTATGTCTCTTGTTTGGATATCCATCTTCATTTGACTGCTTGGAGAAATAAGCTGTGATATCACTGTGTATATGTGATAAAATTGCTTCTCTTTCCCTTTGACTTCTTTTTTCATCTTTAGATTTTTCATTCTCAGTCAAGCTTGATGTTTCTGTATCTAAACCACTATCGTTCAAACTCCTGTTGGCATCATACATGTCATTTGAAAGTCGATTTGGTGCAGAAGCAATTTTATGCAAATGAAGTAATCTTTCGCTGTCATCTTCAGTTGGAGCTGAAGTCATCGTGTCAGATTGAACCATCTGTTCCTTATTCAAAGCTTGACCTGAAATTCTAGGTCTATATCCTAACCTCCTATTACCCTGTTTTGTTGTCTCAGAAAGTTCTTCTTGTTGAAAACTAGTTTTAGAATCCCCATATCCAAGTTTTTTGGCTATGATGGAAGGTGTAGTACTGGAAAATGATCCATAACGAGTGCTTTCTGGTGCTCTGTTCCCATAGTTCCCCTGTCTCACCATTTCAAACACCTCTGAAATAGTTGGTGATCCATAATGAGTGCTTTCTGGGGCCCTATTACCATAGTTGCCCTGTCTCACCACTTCAAACAATTCTGATATAGTAGGAGATCCACATTCTTCCAAACTTCTTTTGCCATTTCTGTGTACCTCAATGTCACTTCCTGATGGCATCCTTTCATCCTCCTGTTGAGACTGACTTAGACCAATTAATTTTGATGGTGTGGTATATTCCAAAGTACCATAACCAGGCTGGTCTTTTCTACATGCTCTATCTTCTCTTTTTTCAACCTTCTCTAGGAGTTTGGATGGTGTTGTGTAGCTTAAGTCATAGTGCATAGATTTTCTTCCATCATGATATCTGAATTCCCTCTCCTTCCTTCTTTCCCTAGCTTCCCTTTTCTCAACTTTTTCTAACAGTTTTGAAGGAGTAGTATACAAAATCTGTGCCTGATCATCAATCTTCTCCTTGTTTTCAGTGAATAATTTTGAAGGAGCTTTTTTATCTAACACACCAGGTAAATTTTGTCTTTTTCCTCTCACTTCATTTTCATCCAGTAATTTTGATGGAGTATGGTAAAGAATTGGTTTATTGTTAGCACTTTCCTCTGAATGTTCAGCAGTCATATTTGATGGAGTTTTATAGTCCAAAACACCATATCCAGAAAATTCTTCTTTCTTTCTCCTTTTTTCCCTCAAGTTAACTTTTTCCAGTAATTTTGATGGTGAAGTGTGCATTTCAAGTAAATCCTTATGACTTCTTGTCTTATTTTGTTCTGCAGCCATTTTGGATTGTGTTTCATACTCTAGTAGACTATATCCAGAAGACATTTCTCTTCTTTCTCTCTCTATAATATTTTTTAGTAATTCTGATGGGGTAGTATAAAAGAAAGGTTGTTCCTCAGCTCTCTTTTCTTCATAAGGTTCTGAAACTAATTTTGATGGTGTTCTGTACTCCAATACACCATAACCTGGAAATATTTCTTTTTTTGCTCTTTTTTCTCTAGTTTCAACTTTTTCTAGCAACTTTGATGAGGTTGGGTACAGAACTTGTTGATCACTTTCAACCTTTTCCCTGTTTTTTATTGCTAGTTTTGATGGCGTTGTATAATCTAAAACTCCATAGCCTGGAAATTTTTCTTTTTTCTCTCTTCTTTCTCTCGTTTCAATCTTTTCCAGTAATTTAGATGGAGTGGTAGATAGATTTCCATTTTCCTTTGATTGTCCATGTTTTCCAGAGGGCTCTGTTGTATCTAAACTGTAGCTGAATTTGCCATTTGGAGCAGACAATACCCTATGAAGTAACCCTTTGTAACCTTCTTCACTGGATGCACCTGCTTCAGTTGTTATATTGGGACTGCTCATCTGCTCTTGTTTCTTTGTTCTATCCGCCAGTCTTTTATTACTTGGTTTTGGCGTCAGATCTGCTAGTTCTAACTGGATACTTATACTGGAATCTCCATGTCCTGATTTCTCCTCCATATTTATGTACATCTCACTGGAGAGAGTGTCTGAAGCAGAACCCTCTGAACAACTGTTTCTTTCTGTGAA